TGTAGTGAGAAGGTAGCGAAGAATTGCCCTAAAATATGAAGTGTAAATGGTAATTAATCATTTTCGGTTGACTTTAGTTTTGATAAGGCGAAGAATATTGAATCTCTGGTAGACTTTTTCAAAAATATTCTGAATATGTAATTTCCACGATGCATCATTTGTAAAAACTTGTCCTTAATGTTAATTGGATGTTTTGTCTGTAATATGGCGATTCTAAAAAGTTATAGGAGGGTGATGAGTCATGCTTTCTAGAAAATGCAACTGAATTAATTGATTTAGGATTAAATTTAATATCCTATGTATTTGCCCATTCACCAATGTAAGTTAGGTCTGTTGCTAGTTCCTGTGCTGCCTGGGCTGGGTTGTTGTCAACAATTAAATATTAAGATGTGTGTCATTTGCATAGAACTTAATATTAGTAGAAATATTAGTAGAAATGTTTTCAGTGATATCATTTATGTATAGAAGGAAACGAAGTGTCCCTAAGACTGATCCTTGTGGTACCCCGGCATTTATTACCATAAACTGTGAATGGTAGCTCAGTGCTAACTCTTTGCATTCTATCAGAAAGTTTTAAACCAAATAAGTAAATTTCCATCAACACCATCTTTGTTTAGCCTATAAAAGGGACCTTGGGGCCACATTCGGTCAAAAGCCTTACTGATATCACAAAAGACATACATTAAATCCTTACCCTGATCTATATTACTGATGATTTTATTATATATATAAACAAAAAATGCTTAAACTGTAGCACCACCTGGTATGAATTTAGATTGATGCCGAGTTATATGGATACTTGTAAGAGATTTTGGTGAAGTGCTTGTTAAGGATTTCTGCTTTGTCAATAGGATGGTGGAAGATTTGATTATCAAGGGGAAGGATAGAATAGGATTTGTTAGAAAAGCTGGCGATAGATTTAGATATCTTCCAACGTTTATCAGGAGGGACCATATCATCATTAAGAGAAATTTTTGTTATATAGTTAGCTTTTGCTTTACGAATAAGGTGAATAGTTTCATTCCTAAATAGCCGGAACTTGTACTAATTATTAGTAGACTCTGCTTTACCATGCATTCCATTTCTTTGTCTTATTTTGAGTTTGATGATGTTACGCATCCAAGGTTTATCATCAGAGCGTTCTGCTATTACTTTGCTTGGAATAAAACTATTGATCTGTTCTATTACTGACTGGATCACAGTAGTAGTGAATGAGTCAATGTCTTGATCAGAGGAAAGATATAACCAATCAACATAAAGAAAAGCATTGTTCATACATACGAAACTAGCCTGATCATACTTCAGTATGGATTTTTTATGACTCATTTGCTTAAATATATTAAAAGAAATTACCGCATGAACTGATGAATACTCACTACAGAAGGGTAGTGATACAGAAGCATTTTTGATAAAGATTCTGTTGTAAGTAAAGATTGTGTAATTGGACGTAGCACTCGCCGTTGTGATTTTTGTTGGTTCGTTGACGAGACTAGATAAATTATGTTTGGTAAGTAGTCTTATTAGACGGTGAAGTAAATGTACACATGTCAATATTAATATCACCTGTCAATATTACACCCAAAGAGGTATCGACGGCTTTAGCCAGAGTTTCATCCGACTTATCCCAATAATTTACATTACTCTCTGGTCTATATAAGTAGGAGGCGTACACAGACATATCACAGTCTCCCGATAATATTCACTCAACATACGCCTTCATCTCGCATACATATAGAGATCATCCGTAAATGACCATAGGTGTTTAAAGATTATTAAACAATATAGGACAAACGATTCTTCATTAATAATGATGATGATGATGATGATGATGATGATGATGATGATGATGATGATGATGATGTCGTTGTCTAGTTTATAATATGACCATTTAAAGCACAAGTAAATGTATATGCAATTTTATTATCAATTATGTGAAAACTTAAATGGACATATCTTTACTAAAAGACGTCATTAAAGATACACATGACATAAAAATTATACTTTGAGATAACACTACGGATGAAATTCAAATCAAATTACGGGTTTAAAGCAGAACTTTATCACAAGTAGACTTTCGATTCATATTGCATAATGTTGAATTAGATACCTCTAATTAAAATAAACACCTGTAAAGTAGTATACGAATATCTAAAAGAATGCTTATAGAATGCTGTTCTGTATTTAGGAAAATAAAAGAAGGAATTCCCCTTCTTTATAACTTGACTGACTTAAGTAAACAAATGTTGCTTTATACAAATCGAGAGCCTCATCACTGATTATCAATATACCATAGGTATAGATATCAATTGTTGCAAATTGGGGAAGTTAAGAATATCTATTACATTTAAAATAACTGTATCAGATCTTTTTGAAGTCAATGAGACTGTTTGTCAGTAACAAGTTGTTAGTATTACTCCATACAGAACATGAAATGCGGTGAAACGATGACTGTATACTCTTTTTAAAACTCGTATCTTTTTGTCAACTTGTTACAAGCACAATCAAAGGGATTGATCCAAGAAAAGCAACTATCTATACAAAAACTCCTGGCAATTTGCCACAGTTTCTGGGATAGCGTCGTCTACTTTCATTTTCATTCTCTATGTTTCGCGAGCTTTACGGAAGAACCAATCAGCTTCATTGAGATTTTGTTCGAGTTTGACTCATTTAATTTAGGGTCTTCTACTTACTAGGTAACAGGGAGTCCTCACTTAATTTACTCTCAACCTCATTAGCTGACTTGCCTTTAACACTTTGAGAAATGTCACAAGTAAAAATGTAGGAAATCTTTCAAGTGAAATATTAAGGTCTCAGTATCGTACGTTGTGGAACAACAATATTTATACTCTTGAAGTATGATGATACTCCTTTAAACATTTGAAATCTATGGATTATTCTGAAACACCGTAATCCTAGAGACGAAATAAGGACACGTGATGGTTAGGATCAAGGGTTCTATGCAAACTTTAAAAAATGTCTATACTTTGGGAACAGGCGTTTCCTAATCTGTATCTGAAATATTTGCTTCTTATGGTAGTTATACAAAACCTTTGATCCTTTCCTGTTGATTAAATTTGTTTGGATACTCTAAAGATAACAAGTCTGTTAAACGAACTTTTTCATCAAACCATTCCAATACAAGTAAATTGTTAACGTTTAGTAATGACCGCCCCCTCTAACAGAAATGACAAATATGCACTTAATCCATTTAATCCGGGGTTTCAATGATATAATGATACAAATGCACCATTGAAAACAACTTAAAAATAATTGCCATTTCCTGCTTCGTAATCATCAAAGAACTGGCGTGTTATATTAGCCATGTTCTGATTATTTTCAGTTGTAGACAATATCATTTCAAATCGAGAAAATACAATGACTTTCGTTGTGATGATGGTAAATACCAAGCAAAATAGATTTTATCTTTTTCGTTTTCTCTGGTCAAGAGGTACTTGGCAATGTACTTGGTCGTCCTTGTTACAATGATACAAAAGATCCCTAACGAGTTGGATATCATGCGGAATGTCCTGAAATTAGACCATCGATTTCATGGATTTCTATCGATACAATACTATGTTGAAGGCGTTCAACTCGCTCTGGAAGAACAAGTTAGCGTGGGCAGCCATCAGGGATTAAGGCGAAATACGTTGATACTGATAAAATAACACGATTTCAATACCTGGTATTGTGGCATGAGGATGAAGATAAAGGTTATATTGGTATCATTTTCGTATGTTGAAGAAGTATGAACTATTTAAAATTATTCAGATGCTGACATCGGCTGCTTGACTAGAATCCATTGGCACGGAATACGGAATTTTGAGTGTTGAGATTAACTAAGGAGTTCGTGGCTTCCGATTCCTCTTACATATTTTTAAACAATATCATTTTGATGTGAATTGGCACGGAATACGGAATTTTGAGTGTTGAGATTAACATGTATTGTACATTTCATCTGGTTTTTATATAGTTGCTTTTTATATAGTATCCTTTGAATGATAATGGATTAGATGAGTTCGGTTGCTGGTATGTTTTATGTACACCTAAGGAGTTCGTGGCTTCCGATTCCTCTTACATATTTTTAAACTTAGAAGTTAATGAATATCAATACTGCTGCCTCTATTTTGATTCTTTTTAATGAATCCTCCTAAATTGTTCTGCTCGGAAATGTCTGAAAAAACATGCCTAATAAAGTCCATTAGTTGTAACAACGTATTGATGTTGAGCATATTTTTATGTTAAACCCTCCTCTGAAGTGATCGCATTTCATTTACAGTCTCGGTAGTAAAAAGTGGTGTTGAATTCCTATATAAAAACGCAGAGAAAGTCATATATGTGCCTTATATTGGAACACTGACCCAAAGGTGAATGGGTGTTATGCTTACGTCGGAAAAACAACATTTGAACTGTGTATGGATTGCTTAAAAGTCATTTAAGATAGAGTACTCTATTCGGGGAAACTCCAGTTGCTTTGTAAATTCCGACGCAAAGGAATCCAGCGTGGAAATATCAAATGAACACAATTTTCAATGTTAATGTTAGATATTGAATATTTAATTTAATGGTTTTATGAGCAGGAACAAACCATTGGGTTAAATAAATGTCATTTCATCTTTAATTCCTTAAGAAACAATGAAAGCGATAACATACAATTGTTAATGCTTTTAAGAGTCTTCTATTATGATAGGAGTCACAAATGTTGAAAAATGAGTTAAAATAGTAAAAGGAGTGAGGTTTATAGCAATTCATGAACAAGTATCTATATGTATACTTTCCACTTCCCATGTTAAAAGAGTACTTGATCTACAAAATGGCATAAGTTACGACCTTTAATGTATATAGGTTCTGACACGGATAATTAATAAGCATTTTTGTTTCCTCCCTTGAACATCATAAAAATATAACAGCCAAGGGAAAGTGTCATAAAAAGAGATTTCCTATAACAGAAAAGGTTTTTAACATCGTCCTTTTCAGTAAAACGTTTTCTTGTCTTTATATAGGTCAAGCTGCAGTCGAGGCTCTCGTGTTAGGCGTTATCATGGTGTTTGCTTTCATCGGAAACGGAATGGTTAGTATATCTAGTATATCAATACAGTCGAACCTTTTTATCTCGAACTTGTATAACTCGAAGAATCCACTTAATTCTAACAATTCCGTCGGTCCCTGCCTAAATTCTAAATTTAAACAAAGTATTCGAACTCTCTTCAATTGAATACTCGAAGTTTTCCCGTGGTCCTGCCGAGTTCGAGATAACGAAGTTTGACTGTATATTGAATATTTATAACAATCAAGCCAATATGATTCATTTTTTTCATAATACATTTCTATGTCGCCCCTATGTGAACAATCAGTGAGAAATGTGTGAAAATAAATACCTTCTTTTTAAAACGAACATTTATCTTTACTTATACTGACAGATTACGTTCTAGCCTGGTTCATAGGTTTTTTAACTTCAATAAGCATATCAGTTATCATCTGTATATATCATATATTTCAGATACAAAATTATGAAATATTCTTTTAAAGACATTTATGTATATATGTGTACATATGTGTGAACGTATTCGTTCTGGATCGATTTCTCTAAAGCAAAGGCTGATATTCTGTAGCATAATCTTGTTTGAAGCTTAACTCAAATGAGATTTTACAGGACGTCAATCAAATCCAAGAATGAGATAAATCGAACATTTAAGGATGATACATTATTTGCAAGTCATTCGTTGCTAATTTTATTATCCTACTTTATTACCTCCCCTTTGGGTTAGACTGTCGAAAGTCAATGGCTCATCTTGATAATGACGTCACGTGCTTGGAATTGTCTCATTAAGATCCCAGACAGAGCAAACAAGACAACAAAATCTAACCCTTGGTAACCTTTGATATATTCTTATTTCATGTAGTGACTGATATCTCATATAGGTAAGCCATCTTCAAATGAAAACATGATATCAGAAATCTACTCCGGTGGTTTGTAGACAAGGAAACACGAAACCTGTTTCTCAGAATCTTCTTCCATCAGATTGTGGTGTAAGACGTTGTAATGAAACTAAAACTACAGAACCAAACGAGATCGGGCCCGCCCTGGGCACATCGTGAAGAGGCGCTAATGAGAAAAACGCCTTCAAAGCTTTAATTGCCATGTTAAAATTAATTTCCTAGTAGTCATAAAGCTTCTGTTCCGGTATTTGTGAAACTTCTAATTAGGCATCCCGCTTCTGTCTACCATGGCATGAACATAATCGTCTGTCCACGGCGCAGAATTTCTCATTATTTAGGTATTTTTTCAGCTAACAGTAAATCCCTTGCGAGTCACTATGAACATTTGTATCTATGCAATATTCGTTGTCAGGTTGCTTTACTTATATATCTACATACACATTGTCCTCTGCCTGTCAAGTATCTAACGAGCAATGCTGTACTTATATATCTACATACACATTTTCCTCTGCCTGTCAAGTATCTAACGAACAATGCTGTACTTATATAAATAATAGTTTCTTAAGTCAAATTTGTTCCTTTTGCTACCAGACCTGTCGCTGTCCATTTTTTGTTTCTATAAAAAACATCCAGAAAATACCAACTTGGCAACATAATCGTAATTCAAACTCAAATTCAATAACACTAGGGTAAAATATGAACAAAAGAAAGATTTACACGGAGACTCCTGAAAAAGTTCAAGGAGAATAAGACTAAGTGTTCCGGAAGAGTAAGCCTCGTTGGCTTCATCGACAACATATGCCATGTAAACATTGGTCAACCCAAATAATTAGTGTCGTGTTCGCAAATAGAATCAACATGCAAACTAACGAGTAACAAATACGTTCAGCTTCAAATAGAATATTTCTCAGTGAGATCACTATGGCGACCGTAACACTTCCCCACAATTTTTATCAACCTGCATCTTTTGAACCCTTGTGTTACAAAGTTGAACTATTTTTGTCATCCATCACCGACAACACTTGTTACGCCAAATGAATCTCTTTTAAAATGCATGAATAAAGTTGATGAAAATACACCTCTATAAACGGCTGACGGACTACCAATAGTTGTCCTCACGATAGGGGTCAAACTTTGACGTCGTGTAAAACAATGGCGGCCTCCCTGACACAGATGTAGACTGTTTTGTATGCTATCTATTAGCATTGAAAACAACATTTGAAATATCTAAATTAGATGTCATTAAGATTGTTACCAAAGTTATCACTGATGCTGCAGTATATCACTATGTATGTCAAGCACACGATGGTAGTTGCAACGTGAAAGTACAAAACCTGAAGACCTGACGGTTGGTGACTATTTACTCTTTTACCCCTCCGCGAAATAATCCATACCGTTTATAACCATATAAACCAATGTAGTCATTTCCTATTTACAAAATAATAATAATAATAATAATAATAATAATAATAATAAAATAGATTGAGTACTTTATTACTGAACACCAGAAGCTTGACGTGGCGTTTACAAAGGTGTTATTAGGTTACTGCAATGCACTCTGGGAGAGACTGGACAATTTGGACTAGATTTTAAATCTCTTATGACAAGCTGTTCGTTAAATTAAGAATTAATGATTACATAATCTTAAGCACTGAACTGAAATTAAAAGAAATTATTGTCATTTAATTTCCATTGAAATTCCAGGTAGTGTGGGCAGTATACAGAAATCCGAAGATGAGGAAAACTACCAACTACTTTATATGTAACCTGGCTGTAGCTGACCTCGTGTTTGCTATGTGGATCCCATTCATCATGGTTACCCGTGTTACCCAAAGGTGGGTATTTGGGAACGTTGTGTGCAAGTTGGTCACTTATGTTCAATTCGTTTCCGGAATATCCTCCATATTAACGTTAATGATGATCAGCATTGAACGTTTCTTCAGTATTTGTCTGCTGGCAAGTAAAAAGATGACGAAAGAAATTGCCGGTTTCGTGATACTTGGAATATGGGTGCTCTCGTCCAGTTTTCCGATACCCATTGCCTGGGCACAATTGGAGCGAGAGCTGGTCCTTGATGACGTCACTTTAACCTACTGTGGAATAATGTGGCCGGAACACTTCCATATTGATGTATATCTCTCGTTCATGGTCACGTTTTTCTTCATCGCCCCTCTTATGATTATAATTATAAACTATTATAAGATTTTCAAGTTTGTACGGAGATCTTTGCGACGCACTGGACGACTAACAAGATCAGAACTCAGAACGAGACGGAAACTTCGACTCACCAAAATGTTTGTCGCGATTGTAGTATCTTTTGTATTGATGTGGTCGCCATTTTTTGTTGTCAGTTTTCTTGCCGTGTACTTAAATTCTATTTCATCGACAAAATTCACCATTACCATCATATTAGCTTTAGCAAATACGGGTCAGAATCCTATTATATATGGTTTCTTTAACAAAGCATTCCGGAAGGAATTTAAAAACATTTTCCATTGTGAAGGTCAACTGAAACCTGCTGAAATTACCGAAGTTAGCAAGAAGTACGTCGCCACGAGCGAAACATCAAAATATATTGGTACTGGCACAGAAGTCTCTGCAGGCACAAGCCAGACAGTGTAATTGGTAATTAAGATCACGTGTTTTTGTTTGTGTATTTAATTAATCAATATCACGTGTACTACTAACTGATTGCATGAGGATGGAGCATTGCCTTTGACGAGAAACGTGTTTTATACGTGCAATGCCTGTATCCATTGTATGTGTTTGTTCTTACGGAATGGTCGCATGTACGAAAGCAGGAACCTATTTGATTGTTTTCGGCCTTTTTATGAAGTTTTGATGAAATCACAAACAGCCGTGGAGGTGTGTTGGTTCACTTTTATTACAAAACGCAAATACGATGAACGTCATTAATTGTCTGGAAGGAAAATATCTCCAATCGTATTTTATCATGTTATCGAACTGTGTCATACATTTTTGTCGCCTACGTCAACATGTTGACGTCTCTATTTCAATTGGTTTGTGATTTATATGACGTCACAACGTCATCTCGATATATGTCGACGCCATGCATGATGTTTGCAACATTGTGATGTCGTAATACAGACGGCAATTTATATGGAAACATATGGAGGAAAAACTGTACAGAGGAGATTATCAACCAAACATATCATAGGAAGCAGAATTGTCGATTGGTTTTGTACAATGCATAGTATCTCAACTTTAAGATGTATATATCGCAAAGTGACGCGAATTAGATATTTAATGTGTATATTGTACTTAATCGTACGTTATGCTACATATAATCAATAAACTCATGTGTATTGTAGGACGCTGTGTGTTTTGTGGTTTTGTTTTCACGGGGTTTTTTTTTCTTGTTTTGTTGAATTGTTTTATATACATATATATATATATTTTGTCAAATGATATTCATGTTATTTAACAAAGCAAGCCTGTTTAGCCTTGGAGTTTTACAGACCAATACAGAGGACATTCCAAATCAAATACCGTTCGAGTGCTGGTGGAATATTAGTACCCGAAGTAACCTGCATGCCACTTTTTAATTAATTCTTCTAATAGAGACACGGTTCAGAATATACACATACATTTACCGTTGCTTTGAAATTATGAGATACATGAAAATTACGAAAATTTGACGGACTAGTGGCACCTTCCCACTTCGACACTTACATTTTTTGTTCACTTAGTATTTTCCACAGCCGCCACTCCCGTAGCAGAATTACGGTCCTAAATATCCCTGACGATTCATGGAAAGACGAAACAGTAGTAAGATGCAGTTTCGTTTATCAATTCACAATGTGCTAACTAGTTCTATATTCATATTTAAGCTTTTCACTTGCGTGTCTTTTGTAAAATCGTATGCATCAGAACTGGATATCGTAGGCATAATCTTCGGCAACTTTAAATTGACAATTGCTTAATGTTATGGTAGATTAATTAAGAATTTTATCAAATTTTGTTAAGAAAATCAACAGGTGTTTTAAAAAAGCAATAAAATGGACACTTATTGTGTACGTATTAATGGTAAGATTTGAAATAAAATTGATTTAATCTCTTCTTGGCCTCCCTTTAAAGACAAGGACAATGTTCTCCATTGCATTCGGTTACAGCTTGACATAAAGTAGATTTGGCATTCCACGTAAACCGATGATAATTTCGTCAATGACACGTATAGCGAGAATAGAAGTGGTCACTGATATAACGACGTCCTGCAAGCCTTAATGACTCTAAGGGAAATTCATGGTGTAATTGCAAATCATTGTATTTTCTCCTGTGTGCAATGATAATTTTTAAATCTGTCATGGGAATAAGATATCTTCTGAGATTAAATGGGCATTTTATGTATATCTAAACGCTGAAGACGTAAAATAGTACCAAATGCTTGATTGGTTTTAGAAATCGAAATGATTTATAAGAATACAAACAATAGTAACAATTACTGTCAAATTATCATGGCACGCCATTTAGATAAATTATTCTTAAAAAGGCACCATGGAGTGAATGACTCAAAGAAGACCGATACAGATTGTGCTGCATGTAAATTTGAGTCAGGTGACAATGTCATACAAATTTTAACATCAGTGTTTTTAATCAATGTTGCTCTTCCTATTTTGGTACTTTTAGAATTGTATAACCGAAACATCAACACGGGTTTAAAATGATTCATGTGTCAGAAAAAGATAGTGTTTCTTAACAATTATCTTTTTTGAGGACGTGACATTACTTACTCATATTGACCAAGATGTCCGGCACACCCGGCCTTATTCTCCTTATAGTTTTCGTGGAGTCTTCGTTCCATTTTTCATTTTTTCTGTTAATATATTGCCAGTTATAATTTGTTGGTATTTTGTTGTTGTTCCTGTATAGGTAAAACCGGTATCATAAAATTAGATATTTACAATTGGACTACGTTCAATGCGTATTGATTTTAAAGGTCAGAATATAATTCCTTCAGCTGACCTGTGATCGATATGATCCTACTCTGATCGATATATAGTTCGATCAGGTCAAAGCCAGCGATATTTCCTGTCTGACCGATCGTGCCGCTGAGAGGAGACACTGTATCTTGTCGACGATGCGTTTGACGGCTTCTTGAATGATTTCGGTAATAATTCAATATAAAGAACTACTCTGTCCTGTTGGATTTACACAACACTGCGCATATATATTAACTAAGGGTGAATTATTTTGTGCAGATGTAATATACCCAAAAGTGGACCCCTCTGTTTGAATTTATTTTAAGTCTGTACTTTGTCGTTGACATCGCTGGATTTTTTCTTAATTACGTCATATGCGTCATATTTAAGTTCATCTTTCATACAAACTAAAAGTGTATGTAATCATATATTTATTCAATTGTGATATAACCATTTCGTAAATATCTACAATGTTGATGACGTATCAATTTAAAGAACGGTAACAAAGATATAAAGTTTGTTTGTTTTTTTTTTTATCTAAATTTATTGGTATTTGTGAAGTAATATTATTATCTGATGTTTGTGTGTAAAGATGAAAGTAATGTCTAACTATTCCTTCTTTGGTATCATTTCCCCATCCTAACAGTTCAACAAGCTTATTACCGATTTTCTACTATTAACAAATTAGCAAGTTACAGACTTCAATTTCAATTATTCAGTTTAACTGGATAATTACGCGTTGCTGCTAATGAGGTAATAATTAGGATAGTAATTCAATTTGTTCATTTCAGAAGTCTCAGGTGTTCGGACATGTCAGTCTTGGCACGTGTTCCCTCAAGAAAATATCGACTTTTCACTGACACAGATCATACTCGTCCGATAATATAAGAAATACAATTATATGTCTATGAACGAAAATACGCCTTGAAATAAAAGATCGCCTCACGAGGCACAAATCTAATAGATTATCTAACTAATAACTTATTGATATCAAAAACCAATAAATCCAAATTTATAGTAAACTATAAAAACAACGAGTAAGTTTGGACGAATTGACTACAGTACATTGTTACCATCTTGTGTATTTTTGGTTTTAAATCTTTTACCATCTCGTCACACTGTTTTTCGGCCATAGTGTTCAAAGGATTATATAGTAGGCCTACAACCGAAAAAAGATGGTCGATTCCTTACCATTTCGCACATTACGCACATATGTAGTACGCTCCACACTGGTAATGTTTCTGATGAAGGTTATCGTGTAGGTATCGAAACTTCTACTGGTTGTGTTATAAGAACCTATGTTCTATTGATAGAAAAAAAAAAGAAAACAGATATGCTGTATTCAAAGGTTAAGGAAAGAACAATGCGTCTGTACCATGTATTTGATCGAATTTTATTTCTTTTTTTTTATTTAAAACACAAAAATATTCTAAAAAAGTGATACCATGAAAATAAGGCACAATTGTGTTTTATCGACTGATGATTATCTCTAAAAACTACCGCAACTGTACAGCGATATCTCGCATGACTTCACACATATCTCTTACCTCATCCGATTTTTGGAAATAGGTTTATTTATATAACTTCTGAAGATAAATCAAATAATAAGTCCCAAAAATAAAAAGATATCTACATGTTTATACCCAGATAAAAACAACGAATGAAAAAATGATACCTTCTAAATGACAATAATTTTTTTTATTTCGGCTTTCAATATATGAAGCGTCAACATGTCACTGAGCTTAAACACACCAGGGGCGTAGCAAGCCCAGCAGAAATGTGTAAGCCCAGGCGAGGGGTCTGAATTTCTTGATTTCAAAGATGTTTTGCATAGTTTTCAGAGACAGTTTTTTTTTTAAATATTTAACAACAAATTTCAGCCCCTGATATTTATTTTCAATCTAACTTTTGTAATTTTGTCCGACATACTCTATGCACGGATTTTTTTTATGTGTAAGCCCGGGCTTTTTCGTTCTATGGAAGCTGCGCCCCTGCACAAAATTTTGACACTGCAATGTCAGATTCAGTTATTTCTACGTCTAAGCGCAAACAAAATATTTTTTTTCTCTGACATAACAATTAATTTACGTCAACAACGATATTCAATATCTCCTTGAGTGGAGAACGGTGAAGACATATTTTTATTAAACATAAATGACCGCAATGATGATATTCAGTTGATATTTTCAAATATCACATGTCTATCATTTTCCACAAGGGTTAAGAGTAGTTTACCTCACACACATTAAGCCATTTGATCGCACAATACTATCTCCCCTCCCCTACAACACAAATACACAGTTTAATATTTCATTAAGATTCCGCAATCACTCACCGCTGATATCATGATACTACTTTATCAATTATTCTCTATATAACGATAGCACTTTATTTTTATTTTTTCTCCATATAAAGTGTTAATACTTCAAATATTTTACAAACATAATTTCGTCTACAGTGCAATTACGATTATCATGGCACCAGCGCCCCGTACATCAAGCTGTAAAATTACATTCAAAGATTGAGCTATTCATACAGAAATAAAATAACATTATGTTTCAGTTTTTCACTTAATGTGATTAAAAATGGTTACCAACAACTTATTGATGTCAATTCTATCGAACATTGTACTTTCTCATTGTGTCAGGGAAGTTAAGTGAAACATTTATATATATATAAATAAGGATAATTTGTATTGCCTAAAATAGAAAATCTTGTGAGATCTATTTAATTTCTCAATGTTGTATATAAATTTACTAAATTAATTTGATAGCATGTTAAAAGTTGTCTTGCCCCATATATCATAAGTCCTAATCAGGATTGGTTTTGTATTTTAAGTAACAAAATTCCAACTCATTTCTAACATGGCAGTGCTTCTAATGTAACAGTGCAGAAAAAAACTAGATATTTCAATGTCAAGCTGACAGTTCTTTTTGAAATATGTTCACTTAAGGTATAACCTATACCATCGTAACCATATGTTTATAGGATATAGATATGTATATGTTTATGTTACCTTGCATATGCAACATCTTGAAATGAAAAGATTTAGTCTCACAAACACTTTAACAAGTATGGTTTAAAGACGTCAATCCTTTTATCAACATTCTGACGACCGTTTAAACTTATCTATTTTGTAATTAAGTACCTAAATTATATAACTGCGGCACTATCGTTATCTGGTTACTAAAATCAATAGAAGTTTATTAGCTATTATTGATATAGGGTATTTATGACGTTTATATTTGGAAAGTATTAAATTGTCCACATAGTCTAGTGATGACTCTGTTTACTCAAACACCAAATAAACCCGATAGACCAGGTCTTATTCCTCTGAACGGCTAAACAGCTCAGAATTTTTGTTACAGATATTTAGCATTGTGTATTTTGGAAGCGTAACGTAAAACTCCAATTTCAGCAATTTGTCAATAAAACGAACCTGGTGTACTCTTTAAAGTCAAATGAAATTCATTTTACACACTGAATACACACATTGACAACTAACATTCATACATCGTTATCAACAAGTTTTCAAACAGACGGCTCAAAAGATTACGTCACAAATGTGGTCATTATGACATAATTTCGATTTTTATTCTGGAAAATGATAAAAATACAGTTAGGTAGTTAAAAATCTTATCAATTAATCATATTTACTTATAAAAATGTTTCAAAGCTATAAATAACCAGAAAAATTCAAATAAGCCGATCTTGAAAATAAGTCATGGACAATATTCATAGATAAGTATCTTGATAATAAGAGGATTAGCTGGGTTCAAAAATAAAATGTTTATTCAAGGCACTGCAAAGTATATTGAAGATACGAAATTGGTACGGAAAACGCATGTTACTGGAAAAGTGCCAAATATCATCACTGCGGTGATGATACAAGAAATCTTACATAATCACTGGTAATAGTATGATACAGCTTTTTACAGTGATTCTACAGCCCTTTTTATTTAAAAGCCGTTGCATTGAAATTTGTCAATATTTCTGTTGTGGAGCAAATAAAGCATTGGATAAGTTGGTTTGTCATTTTTATTTCTTGACATTAATGGTAAGACAGCTTTTCAAGTGATCCTTACAAGATAGCAGCACAAAATGGTAGTTTCCAAATAAAGCAGTCAATTCAATATGGCGTCGCCTTTTAAAATGTAACGTCAAAGTTCCCGACATTAAAGAACGTGCTAACATTTCCCCAACTTCTCTGAATATCGGTCTTGAATGCTTGTATATCAAAATAGATAGATGTATTGTCATTTTCATGCAATATATATAACACTAAAACGAGAAAACTTCAATATTCTCTATCTATTCTAAATATTAAAATCGTTGAATGCATGTTGCAAATTTGTGGTAATTTCTTAAAGATCGTTGGGTATGTAACAATTAATTGGAATTCTCTCAATACCTCACAGCGTCTCCACTGACGTTTTAGTGGACACATTTCAAGTTTTCCTTCCATGATATCATTGGATGCTACACAAGACATTGTATATTTCCTGGGGTGCTAAGGAGGTCGACAGATATGATTGGTAATTAGTGTACTTTCTCGATTCGCTCTCACTACAGCTGTCTCTCTTAATGATGTCACCATATGATTAGCGGAAATAGTGTCCATTTAGTAAACAACTCATTATCTCCAATCCAAAGTTAGAGAGACTTCCATGAAAAGCAATATTTCACGGAAAGTCTAGAAAATTGTATTAATATTTAAGTAAATATGCAGACAGGTAAATTCTGATCAGCTGTTCAAACCTGAAGCCAATTCCTGACAAAACCAGCTAAATACCTACATGTCAACAAAAACATCAGTTAAAAATCAAATTTGATTAAACTTGGGCAAAATATTGGCTCTCTAAAAAATAAATGGGATAGGTTCCGGAAGATTAAGTGTCTTCTGCTTCATCAACAACATCCACCATATGCTAACTAACACGAAATTCTAAAGTTAAAAAAAAAATCTCATAAGGAATTTGACATCGTTCCCAGTGAGATTATTATGATGACAGTAAAACACCCCTATCATCTTCATCAACCTGCATCTCTCGATAACCTGCCAAGCCAAGGGCGTCCTCACGGATTCCACACACCAATGATTAAAGACATCGACAATGCAATCTATTATGCACTCAAATTTTAAAACAATTATCAATATGAAACATACTCTTGCATTTTTTCCAAAACAAACGTTATGTTTTAAAATACTCTGCACATTACAAAGACAGGCACTGATTGTATATTTGTCAGCATAGAACAGGTTCGTTTTTCATAGGTAAACATCAAATGACAATGAAGTAGACTAGTTTGCAACATTAAGATAGAAACCCGCTGAAGTATAATTACCAATGAGACATGCTGTTTACAGTATGAACATTACGGTACCAGTTAGAGTGAAGAGCAAGGCGATCCGGTAGCAAATAGATGAATTTTATTTTGGAAATGTACGTGCATCTCCATAGATCACATCCGACTACTTTCTGATTAAATCACTTTGGGTGTGTCGTCGATGTTTCAATTTCCCTGCGAGATAATGTCTTGAGTGCTGATATTAATTTCAAATGTGATGGAGGCTTCTATCTATAGGCATGTAATGAAAGTGTCCTCTTCATGCCTTCGACATTATACCAATATCCCATTATGGGGTTCAGTCGAGTGTGAAATAGATAGAACGTCAGCAAAACTATTTCTACGACACCTCGAGAGAAAATTCGAGATTTTCTCTTTATTTGTGTGACGGATGCTGCATCTTTAAGCCTCACTATTTACCATGGTAAGTTTTTTCCATAGTTTTTTTATGTATACGTCTAAAAAACTTGAAATAGATTGAATTCTTAAATCATTTCTGTTTGATAAAATATGCTATGTTTTATCTTTTTTATATTTTTTTTCAGAAGGTTGCTTAAACAGCAAACTTTTTACAAACTCATAAAATTTAATTATGAACCACTCAGCAACGTTTAAATAGCTCCAAATCAAAACTGTGGGTTTTTTAAAGGGAAACAATAGATTAAGTATCACAAATTTGATATATTTTGCATAGGCTGACAATCAGATTTCTTTGTTTTGAATGAACCATAAGTTGAAATAGAAATTTCGTGTTTTAGAACATTGTTCAGAGGCACAATATTACTGGAATTCATACAATACGTTTAATTCCAATGCAATATTTGCATGCATATGTCAATAACATTTATAATCATGATTTATTTAAATTCGATATGCATTTTGTAAAAGCAGACCTGGAGTTCCATCGTGATGCTTTATAAACACTTTATTGAAGTCTGGAATCATACTATTTTAGAAAAACTAATTTGTTATCCTGAATATCGAAACCTCTTTTAAGGAAATGTCCAGTTGGTAGATTCTGGACTTCATCATCGATATATATACTTATATCTTCCATGAATATGCGCGATATACACGACACATTTGATAAATTTTGCTCACAGATTTGATTGACACAATTCAGATATCAGACTTTCATGTTTGTTTACTCCACTGTCTTTGAACAGCCGCTGTTGCAGACATCTCTTGTCGAGCTTTGGGGTTCTATCCTAGCACAGGCTAAAGCATCCAGAGTGTCGATCCTTGTTCTTGTGTTCTATACAAACATGCTAGACAATCTACTTCTGACGGCAGTAGGTAAGACATCATCAATCCAGATAGATATATGATCATTGCAACAATGCTCTCATAAATAACAAACTTACGTAACGATGACCTGAACGTAATGGTATGATATACATTTTATCGACAAACTTCAATTAGTCACATTTTTGAAGAAAAAAAGAATATTGAACACTTTTGTAGAAAGATGGAAATCCCGATCATTGCAGACCATGCATGTGTCCACTTTTTATGGTGTGTTACATTTTTAAAAAGATAATCGGAGTTGCAGTGATTTTGTCATACAAATATGCCTTATTTTCAGTTCCTGTTATTCCGGAGATTCTGATAGACCTTGATAAGAAATCATTAGAGGATACCATACGGAAAGGACATTTTTCAAATTACGTAAACGTTACGGATACTATATTAACAGTAAACCAGGAAGTGCAACCTTATATCAACACCACTGAAAATGATATAGGATTGGCTAAAAGGCTGCTTATGTCGTTCAGCGCTGTAGACGAGAACAGTAGAGTTGGATGGCTGTTATCGTCAAAAGCATTAATACAAATTGTAGCAAATCCAGTCGCTGGAATGCTTTGCAATAGGTAAGTTCATATAGTCTTTTTTTTGTCAGGGCACTTGTAAAACATATCCTATTCCTCCAAAGTTTCCTTGTTTATTCTCTTACCTATTAACGATTAGGCCATTTCATTAGTTTCGGTCTTATGTCCCCTAGATGCATGAAGTTTAAGCTCGATTTTACCCTTTTTTATGTAACTTTCAACCCTAAATAAAATTACAAAATAGAGCATTTTTATAACATTTCACCATATTTGAACTGAAAACAAATATTATAAAACATGTAGCAGATTTGTCATGTTGATTGTCTCGATACAATGGCATGACATATAGTGGTTTGTTGCAATCGATTCAATTCAAGTCAAATCAATGACAAGTTTTATAATATACCGGCTATATGTTTTTTCTCAAATGCTTACAAAAGGTTGTGCTATACAGACAACAATGTATTTTATAATATATTTCTAGAGTTACTAAAGACCGTCAGGGGTTTCTGTTATTTTTAGTAAAACACGAATACGTTAAACCGTAATTGCTAAACGATAATTCAGTTATCATCAGGCTGTAGTATAGGGCTACCACAGGTCCATGCACCAATATGACCATCTAATAACCATTTAGAACTGATGGAGAGATGGATATCTAGGACATTCTTAGATGTACATGAACACATTTCAGGATGATTACATTTGATTGACTTTTATTGATTGCTCTTCCCTAAATATCGCAGATTTTCTGCTGCTGCTATTACATGTATTGAATGGTAGGAAAGAGAAAAATTGGTACAAACATGCCCTTGTTCTGATTGGCCAGATTTGTCCATTAATACATTACTGATTTCATTTGATTGAACAAGGGATTATATCATTATATCATTTGTGTGTTCACCTGTTTTATTTTTGATCAATCACATTCTGATAGGGTATGGCGTTGCGTCTGCATGTATTACACATATTGGTCAAATTAAAGTTTTCTTGGTTTCCCCGTCCTGTTCCTTAAATCTGTAGTGTTTGCTTCTAATCTTCATACACATATTTCAATTATCAGTTATTGCATTTGATAAAAGGATTTATCATATAAACTGATATTGTCGTGTCATCGACTTTTTTCTTGAAAACGATAGTTCAAGTCGTTTCGTTTTGAAGAATCTGAGCGAATTTTGCTTATATTCCAGGTTTGGTTATTCTGCTCTGCTTTTCATTGGAACAAACACATTATTGGCGTCCTCCGTGAGTAAGTATGAAGATTTTAATGGTCGATTTGGCTTTCTCTGACTCATCTACTAATTATAAACACTTAACAATACTGAGTAGAAACAGCTGTAGAATGCGTTTTTCTTCACTATTTTACAAAAAAAATATTTATCAATCTATGTGATTGAATTGGCATTTCCTAAATTTTAATAAATCAATCAACCTTTTGCTTTATCGCTAACGTAGCCAACCTTTAGGCATTGCAATGAGTAATCATCTTTCTTATTTTAACATCAGTCTACATTTTCGGGGCGTCGCTTGTCCCATTGCTAATAGCCAGATGTATTCAAGGGATCGGATCAGCGGCTTCTACTATAGCAGGTAAAAGTAAAATGTAAAGTATTACAGTCGAAGAATATCAATAAAGCTGGTAATTGGGCAGTCCTATGATAGTGTGACATAATATTGTTATTTTTTTTATTAATTTAGAAATACATGTTTTTGAAGAACAAATTGTAAAGTCGTTTCGATTTATTTTCATTTCGACATAAAATGATATAATTTTCATCACATTGACAGGAATGAGTTTACTTGCTGATCGTTATCAGGATGACAAAGAGAGAAGCCGTGCTATGGGAGTTGCAATGGGAGGAAGTGCATTAGGTGTTGTTGGTAAGTCAATAGGTACACAATATACTGTAATTAGTCAATTGTATTGGAAATTTCACTCTGTATCCCCAAGGAAATTTACTGCTATTACAAAATATCGATTTACAGAGAAATTAAACTCTGTGATGGTTTATTTTTATCATGATTGGCGAGGATTCTCTTTGCAAATTGAAAGGAAAATTGAATATATTAAATAAGAAAATAATTACGAGTAAATGTTAGGATTTAATTGTAAAATGCTTAAGCGGATTTATATATGAAAGGATATGTATTACTCAAAGATCTAGTTGAATATCACCATGAAAGATGTTATCTAAACATATTAGAAACATAGATATATGATGAATATATTAAACTTCCTAGTATTGCAATAGATCCTTATATAAAAAAACATATTCGGCTATAGGCCCTTCGTGTATTGCAGTTTCCCATGAAGTATGATAAATAGCTCCGTAAGCTTGTTCCTTTTGTTAACACGGAAGTAAGACTGCCCAAACATTACCAAATATAATTCATTTCAAACAGAAAGGTATATATTCTCTGATTTTTTTTCTTAGCATCAACCAGCACTGCTTATTTGTTTATAGTTAAAGTCTTATCACTATTAAAGTATCTTAATGCATTGTTTATTTCTTCTTCAGTTGGGTATCCTTTTGGAGGTTTCCTGTATACGTACAGCAATAAATATACACCATTCGTTACCATAGCGACGTTTGTGGCAGTAGATATTGGTAAGACACATTGTGTACATGTTGATCATACTAAGACTGTGTGTTGTGTCTGGAGCATTACTTTACCTTGATATTTAAAGTGATGTATACATTAATCATACAAAATCAATGTGCAGCGAAACAAAGTCTGGGCCAATGACTACCTCAGGACAGAGTTATTGCCCTTTGTTAAAATTTTGTGTCATGAGCAAAGCTAAAAACTTTTTAAAAAATGAATTATTCAATCGTCATATTAAAATAATGTGCAGTAAATCTAATTCAGAATGATGACCCTTCGTTAAAAGAATTTGTCCCATAAAGTTGCTTTCGGGAACATTTACCAGTTTAACCGATACCCATGTTATTTAAAGGTTATCATATATGCAATGTTAATTTAGCTCGAATTTATAGCTAAAGAAGTGAAAATAAAGTATTGCTACCTCAGTCGGGAAGTCCAGCAGCGTTGAATATTTTGTTACCTGATAATACAAATAGTCGTGAGGTCGAATTTATTTCCAAATTGCTTGTCGTAGAGCACTACAAGGTATTCATGTCTATCTGTAGTACATAACTTTTAAGTTATAAAGTATATAGTGGATTACATAAACTGCGATAGATAAAAATGTCGTTATCATATTCATATATATCTTATTTCATCACTATTGCTCTGAAATGTAGTATATGCAGTGTCTAGTTAGGAAGCTAGAGCACAGTATACACACAAATAAATGTTTGTTAGGACAAGGAAATAAACATAACTGTGACTTCCTGTTTAGTATTGCAGATGGCGATCTTGCGTCCTTGTCTTCATCAGAAGGTAGGAACACTTTGAATTCAATTTCGCGTTCAAAGAAAGTTGATCATAGACGAAAATCAAGCAATATATTCAACAGTCAATGCAAAGACCTTTGTATTAGTATGGGAATTGTTGGTTCCTTTGTTGTTTACCCTATTATCATTTGGGAACGTGAATTTACCCACATGGATTGTCCCAGGTTTGCATGACAAGTGTTGTCGATGATGCAGATCCTCCCGGAACACCTGGTCTAATTCTCTTCATGTGTTCATATTTCACACCTGTTTCATCTAATTTTAGCTTGAATTAAGATTCTTTTGACATGTCTGTATTTTCTCTGTTGTTTTCCTGCTGTCATATAAAGTTAAATATTTCGATATTTGTTGGTATGTTTCGTGGTGTAAATGATGCTCTCATTTCACAACGAGACATGACTTACTTGGCATAACCATCTTTCACATGGATTGACGCTAACATTTCGGAACACCTGGTTGCGTTCTTGTACGATTTCAATGGCTTGTAAACATTTTTTTTTCAGTTTTGTCTCTAATTCATGGACTATGGAATACGATTTTGTCAATCTGTTGGCATTTAAATAATAATTTGATTTTTTTTCAGTTTACAACAGCAGGTACTCCACTACATCGTCTGCTAAGGGATCCATATATACTTGTCGCAGCAGGTCAGTCCTCTTGGTTAAAAGCTTTCAAAACACATAACCCGTTTTAATAAGTATTGATATCGTCCAAGATGGAGATACTTATAACATTAAATATATTCAACACAGGTTTTGTGCCCTATTTCAACAGTATATTTCTATAAAAATGCGTCATTAGTGCTTCTGTTGTTCAAAAAGCTCAATATACAAATTATAGATAGAAACGAAAGCATGGCATCTAGTCATCGATGTTTACCGTAACCTCTGTTAACGTTTTGATATGTTATGAAAGTGGAACAGTAAAGGTCAGAATATACACACTTACACAATATCTCAAGTAGCTATCATCCTTGTGCAAATATACATGCGTTTTTGACATTTACAGGTTAACCTCGTTAACTCGAACTCTTATAACTTGAAGACCCTGTGTAATTCGAAGTACGTCGTTCCCAGCCAAACGTCACACTAAATATTCGAACGTAGCTAAATTGAATACTCGGATAACTCGAAGGTTACCCCAAGTCATGTCACCTTCGAGATAACGAGGTTCCACTGTATTTCTTCTAATTTGGATTCGCTAGGTCGTCATCTGGTTTTCATTTATCAAGGCACTTACCATCACTAACGAGTCCTAGAATGACAATGGTATGATGCAATTTAAGTCATTTTTAAAATTCATTTTATTGTAAATTTGTTTATAATAAATTCATACATCAATAACGAAGGAAGGAAACTCTGATACAATCGAAGATAATTGCCCAATTTTGTTACCTCTCTACTGTAATTTGATCATGTAATCAATAGGTGCTGTGATGTTGACAACGACTGCCATGGCGACACTGGAGCCTACGGTTCCTATATGGATCATTGATACCATGCATGCTCAAAAGTGGCAGCTGGGTATGTAGTAAACATACATAAGTATACCCTGTCTCTCAGATGTAAATTGTAGATTTTAAGATACTTTTTATATGTTTCTCTAAGGTAGTCCAATTCCACGTCTAACGGTGTACTTCATATCTGGGCATTTATCACAGGATGGATATCAGTAGGATTACTATAACCTTGCTACTTATTTACCTTGAATTTTGAAAGGCGAAGATAATCCTCGATGCATAGGATGTGATGAGCCATTCACCATTTTTTTTATATTATTATTGGACTGCATTGACCTTCTGTCTACTTGTCAACAAGTCTAAAAACCTTTTTTGAAACTGTTGAGGTTTTTTTAAATTCTACATTACCTGAAAGATGTTGGTCTATATTATAGACTATGACGTACCATTTTGATCTTTTGTGTTGATATACCCATTTAAGATTTTTAGCATTTGTCTTTTACCTTTTGATTTGTTTAATCCTCTTTCCTTTTGGATCGCTGTGTGTTTTACCGGTTGATGGCCCTAATGACCGTTTATGTGTTGACGGGCCGTTAAGAATGCAATAATGATAATAAACCTTCAATCTACTATATCTGTAAACTGCATTGAGCAGATAGATATAATAGATAATGTAAAATATTTATTGCATTCTCAATATAATTTTTTCCTTGATTCATTGATAATTTACTTTAACAGGTTTGGTTTTCTTACCCGACAGCATTGGGTATTTTGTCGGTGCCAATTTTTTCGGAGTTATTGCTAAACGAATAGGAAGGTAGGAACATCAAACGTTAATATCATTTTAAATGATATTACTACCTAATTCTTATTATTGTATCATCCAAATACTACGTCCGTACATAAGTAGTGAAACGATAATATGTAATTAAAAATTTAAAATGATCCTTTCAGTCATGTTTGACAGTGGCAATTCTAATGTACTTTAATCAGTGAAAATAAGCGTTAAGGAAATATAAATTTGTTATTGTAAGGGAGCTAACTCTTACAAATCACTGCATACTGTATCATCATTAAAGAAAGTACTTCATTGCAGTTTACCTACATTTTGATTGTGGAGGATTATAACAGTTTTTATGCTTATTTTTATATCTAATTGATAAAAATGATACAATAAAACTAAGTGCAGAGGCTAGAAGTGTTTACTTGCTTAGCGTTGTTTAGTTGCCCTGTATCTGATATAATTTTGTTTTAAATGATGCTATTCATTTGTGTGTCTTTTGTGCAATGCTTTGCTTTTTCAGTTTACGTGTTTTACGTTTAATAAATTTACAGATGGGTGTGTTCGCTATGCAGTATGCTTCTTATTGGTCTTTGTCTATCGTGTGTAAGTATCAAGATGTGTTCCGGTACACATCTTCCTTTATACATATACACTATACAATCTATGATGAACTATTCATCTTTATTTCCCAATGCTTATCAGGCAAGAGAACACAATACGTTTTTCATACTTTTCATTGCTGTTATATAGATATTTTTTATAATTTCAAATTAGCTATGCATGATGACTTTTGCTTTAATCGAGTATAAACTTACAAGAATAACGGTTAATCACGTAATCTCAGCATAAACAAGTAACTTTTGTTGTGAAAGACTTCGTGATACTGACAAATTTTCAATTGTTTGTTACATAATATCATTTCTTTTTAATATAGATCCCTCTTGCTACCAGTGTCGCTGAACTCATTCTTCCTCACTTTGGTCTCGGACTAGGCTTAGGTAAGTGTAAACACTTACGGCAAGATCTCTTTACTACGTAATATTGAGCATTTGTGTTAGCTCGGGATTATCAACCACATATTTATATTATTTTATATAAGTTTAACAAACGGTTTATGGTTAGACAGTAAGTTGCGATGAAACAAAACCATCGATGTATTCTAAGTTTTGTCGATTTTCATTACAAATATATTCTTCTTTAGCTATTTGCATAATTAGATAAGTATTTAGACAACAACTGGTCTGAAATCATCGTACTTAAATAAGGTAATATGACCGCATGGAGACATTGTTCAAAGTGTACTTGCCGAAATATGTCCAATCCAAATGTCGTCTGGCCATAATGGTTGTCTATGATATTTTAACGTATTGAAGATCGGCAAAGCTTTATGCTCAAAAGAATACCGTTCTAATCTAATATGTCACTGCTATTATTCTTTTTTGATCCATCATTTTATTCAATCCAATGCCTTCAAATTAATTTCTTTAATTCTAAACGTAGTTTTGGAATATGATAGTTTTAGTTCCGAAATCAAGATAAAATGTCGTCTGTTTTTAACTGATAATGCTAACAAGATGGCGGAATCAGCGTCGAATTTTAAATTGTTTGTTGATCAGAGGTATTTTTCAGTTCATTGCAAGCAGAAATGTGTTATATAATCCTTACTTATGATTTCCACTGGATGGAACGTGCAGCCATGACAGAATTAGTTAATCGCTTGCGCGAGGCTATCTTTGAAATAGCGCGACGGGGTGACTGGTTACGACTCATGAGTTCGAAGCTCAGCTGAGACATTTTTATATACATATCTTTATTCCTTTTTTAAAGCACTGTTTTCGTATAAGACTAACGAATGCATTAAACGTCTACCAAAAATAGTTTCGTGGCACACAGTTTTATAAATCTTCATCTTAATCAATGTTTCACCACGGCCACCGTGTCACGTGTTACAAGACCTGAATGATACACATTTATATAAAAACTTATTACCCGGTTAACTTGTAATAATAGCATTATACATATGTTCCAGTCCTTTCACTTACAGAAGATTTTTTTCTCAAATGGATCAACTCCTGGGATCTCGTCTCGTGGTTTTGGTACATGTTACCGGTATATAGCTTCGCTCTATTAGTAACAAAGTACTAATATAATGTCAGTTGTTTGATACTTTTCATGATTCTTTTACAGGTATCACGGACGCTGCAATCATGCCACTACTAGCTCTTTTGGTAGATACACGTCATGTGGCAGTGTATGGGAGTGTATACGCCATAGCACAGCTAGCTGTCTGTCTAGCGTACGGAATAGGTGTGGTATACTATTTATCATTTAAGACAACATCATGGAAACGTATTTGATGCATGTAAACTAGTGATTTCAATGTACGGCAGTATTTAGAACAGGAAGGACACGAAACGGAAACGAAGTCAGTGAAATTAAAACCTTCCTCTTCTTTCATTTTTATTTTGTGTACTTCGGCACCTGTAAGATAAAATTGGAACGAAATGAGAGATCGAATTTCAGGTAGTTTGATACAGAGAAATGGAGCTTATATAAGTTGTATAAGTTCTATCAGGAAAATCTACATCACTTTAAGTCAAGGTTTCATTAAATCTAACGGGCAAAATAATTTTGCTTTATAACATTCATGAGACAGTTATCTCAGGTGGTTAGTAAGAGAAAAATTGCGGTCGAACTTCGTTATCTCGAGCCCGGCGGGAGGGGGAGGAGTTCAAGATATCCGAGTATTCGATTTAAGTGAGTTCGAATGCTTTATGTAGCTAGGCTGGGACCGACGAAATGATTCGAGTAAGAAGCACGTGAATTTGTTTGATGTATTCATGTTTCTTTGTTACACAGGTCCTTCTATTGCTGGGCAAATAGTGAAGCTTGTAGGGTTTTCATGGTACGTATAAGAAACAGAAGATAACAAACATACAATTATTGAACAGGATAGTTTTGTTAATACAAAAAAGACTGTTAATACGTTGAATCCATATTACAATAAACTATATAAGCGATTTGGTATTACAGTTATGGAATTCATTTTGCAAACTTTTAAAGTGTAATTGGTATTTGATTTACCAACAAGCTTATGTCCATGCTACATTACAGTGTCTATTGTTTGTTAAGTTTTATATTTGTTTCAGGCTGATGTGGGGTATAGCTATCATGAACTTTGCATTCAGCCCTCTGTGTATCCTTCTGAGAAACCCTCCACTTAAGGACGAGAATAAGGTTAGAAATTGATAATATACAGGATAAAATAGATAAGCGAGTTCGTAACAGTAAACAAATATATTTCCGACTTTTGATTATAGGAAATGTTGAAATATTGAAAAATTTAGCATTACTTTTGAAGAAAATGTTACCTTTAATTTGATTGTATTTCCTACACTTGTTCTATATAAAATATCTTTGGTACGTAGAGTTTTATGTATACATGTATCTTACTATCCATCTTGTCATGTATTTGATTGTTAATACCTGTATGCCTCCATGTTACACATTTTCATGTGTCAGTGTGTATTGATGAAACAGAAAAAATAAATAAAAATAAATAGAGATAAATAAATCCAACAACAAACACGGATTCTAAAATGGCTATGATTGTCTAATACTAAATGTAAACAATCTCCTTACGTGAATTAAAGCAATATCAAAATTTTATTCAACAAATTAAATTAACATCCCCCGAATCCTCCTCAAGTTGGAGTCTTTTTAGGCTAAACGTACACGGTACGCACAGCCTATTGCGACGGCCTTTCAGACAAACTTTACCGATCCTGGCCTTCTCATTGGCTGAAATATCGAAAAGAGTTAGAGCCCTCTAGCGGCAATTTTCTGCGTAAATAATGCCGCGATCATTCAAATCGCTATTTTACAGGCATCCAAAATTAGTTTAATTTTTAATAACAATACGATTTCTATATATTTCAAAAAAGAAGTACAGTGTGGTTGACCTATTTATAAATTTTGAACAATATATTTTACGGAATTCTCGACATGACGTAAGCGTACAGAACACTGTACGTGCGAGTTGGCGCAATGATAAGAAGCTAGTCTGGGGGCTTGGTTTGAATTATCAACTAACAGCACTTATAAACAAACAAAACTTACAAACAGAACATCAATTTTGTTTTAATCCTTGTCGTTGTGACAAGATCGTCTTAATATATAACATCACTTAACCTCATTAGACGTCACCGAATTGGACTGTTCGTCCTACGCGCACACCCGCCGATATGACACTTTTTTTCAGGTTTTTCACACCCACCGGCATGACACTTTTTCAAGTTTTTGAAGATTAAAAGTTTACATTTCGTTGGCAAGGTACATTTGGTGCTCATGATTTATGAATGATATATTTTTAATACTGTACTGATCATGATGTTGACTCTGTTATAACTTATATTTTTTGTCTTTTAGTTTTATTTGATGAAGGTTGATTGTGCTGATTTCTCAATGTTTGTTAATGTGTATCAAAGTTCCTTGAAATGAAAATATTCCTTCAAACAAAGCGCGTATAAAAAATACAAAATATTTATGTTTATGATTATCAATTAACTAGAACGAAATATTTCCATAACATATTTATTCATTTAGCGTGTCATGGTGACATTAATGCACTGGAGATCAGAAATAGTAGTAGCTATAGTGAAAATATTGTAAATTTTGTATATATATGGAAGTCTGGTTTAATCTCAAAGAATTATGTCTTTATAGACATAATTACTAGAAGAAAAGTCTAATCATGATACTTCAAGGAAGATAGGCATGTAAATACATTTAATGTAATTACTTACACTTTAATCTATCTGAAATGCTGTGTACACCTTATCTACTTTCCTCAACTACAAATAAAATTATAATAAGTAAGGACTATTACTTTGCAATACATTCAAAATAAAGAAGTAGGTGTAAAGTCCTTTCGATTTGTCTAAATCCTCATATTGATGGGATAGTAATTTCAACATCTTGGATATTTCAAAGGTTTTATTTAGTCAACTCCATCATAGAGCTATTTATCATTTGGCTTGTTGGCGATAAATATATGGTTGTGTGTATTTTGTTATTTTTTTACCTATTTTGATTTGTTCACATTATTGTCGTCAAATTTTAAATAAGAATTAAAGAAGATATAAAATCGCTTAAAATTAAGAAAAACAGCCTCTGGTTCTCTTATTTTAGTAATTGTTGCATTCCAAAATGTAGGAGTATGGGGAAAGTAATATATCTTTGCGGTTATTTGTGAACATTTTTCAATACATTTAGCCTCTCAGTACTTTCAGTACTTTGATTAAACTTTACTCCGATTCTTAAAGTTATTACAAGATAAATATTGATATAAAGAGTAGATGCAGGATCATTGATTTACTTAATGCTATAAACAAATTACGATGATATCGGTTGAAAACAATATTCAGATGAACTGGTTTCGTTTTAATGTTGCAATAGGTACTGTGTTTTGATTTTAAAGTCCAAATTTGTCATCATACATGTACCAATGATTAGTTCACATCATTGACAAAAGAACAAGGAAACGAGATTTTGTTTATCAAACAAGACCGTCGGAGCCAAAATATAACCGCATATAACTTAAGAACCGTTGGTCTTATTGACATAAATATTATGTGAATATTATTGACCATTACAGAATATGTTTGTGAGTTTTGACGAATCCAATATGGCCGCTGCAGTCACTGAAATTTACACGTCAATCAGTTGTTTGATCAGACAACAAACATGGCCGCCAATATAATATAACTTTGAAACTTAAATATTGTCATTTGTGTAAGGCTCTCCCACCCTCTTATCTATGTTGATAAACACTTCATAGGCGTTTAGTCACACCGCAAGGTATCTATTTATTGTCCAATGTAGTTTGCTAAGGAATTGTTGACTGGCCGAGACTTATCTGTGTTATGCATGGCTGCCTTCTCTGTGGCGTAAAGCAGTGCACCAAAGGTCAGGTATCCTGCACCGACGTTGAATAGTATCTGGTTTAGCCGTGGAGCAACTCTCCCCGTTACGATTAAATCTTGTTCTGCATGTGATACTACTGTCATCCGTAGAACTGACAATGCATACGTTTCAGTTCAGGAAGAATATTTGTCATCATTGCCGTAACGGAAAATATTAATCCATCAAACAATTTCGATTCAGAATAATATTCATGCTTTAACAAAGCTTTTAAAAATATGCTTTAAGTACGTTTGCTAGAGAATTGTTGACTAGCGTCCATTGACTGGAGTCAACCAGTACAGTTGTACATATTGACTCCATGAACTGATTTTTCATGTGCAACTCGGATATGTTAATGCATGTAAGCATGTAGTGTAAAATGAAATTAACTTATCTAATAATTGAATTAAATATTTGTTAAAAATGTCCATTTGACTAACCCATGATCTGTATCGTTTGTTTTGCTGTACGATAAGCAGTCGGCAAACGAACAAGCACAGCTTTCCAGACGTTTCTTCTGTTTTTCAAGCAGTGGGCAAACAAACAAACACAGCTTTCCAGATATTTCTTTTTTTATCTTTCTTATTTCAAATCAACTGTCTCCTTTTCATGGAAGTTACAATACATCAAAACCGAAAGTAAAAGTATAAACACTATATATAATTTTTGATTTTGTCCGCTATAATGGGACACTTAAATGTACACCACCGCTCTCGATTTAGATTTATAAATTTGTATTTGCTTTATGTTCTTTGTATGTGATGTAATTTATGTAATATTTGTGTCTCGATAAATTGATAATTTGCTTGTCGATACTGTTGCTATTACTTCATATATATATATATGGTTATTTCTCCTCATACATTTTCGATAAAATCCCCTTATGTATCATAATACATAATACGTTGATAAACTATTACGAATATTGGTCAATACTTGATTTTGTGTAATTAATTCTATCGTTGAAAAGCTAACCTAGCGCTATAGATAGCTTTACATCGATTGTGTATTCCTTGCATGTAACTTTAGTAATAAATCAATCAATGGTAATCAATGTGTTATATATAGGGTATTTTTCTACTTTACAGCCCATGCTGGAAAGTATGGAGAAAATGGACAACTACACGGATACGAAATCGGAATAACCAGGCGGAAAGAAAAGCATTGCTAGCTGTTGTATTCGGACGGACTACAATAAACACTCTCGTCGATATAAATTTTCCTTATTAATGATGGCATTAAGATGTTCATATGCCATATTTCATGACGTGCTGATATTATAATAAAATAGACTTGAGCTAAAGACAAACCGGCAAATGTTCTTGTTGCATTATTTAGAGATGTCAGTGACTGTCTTATGGGTCGGAATTTTACGAGACCCCTGTAACCTTATCGTCAAGCGACTTTGCTGTTCAAACCCACAGATATATTGTAGAGCAGTCTGTTTTACTCTCTCTCTCTCTCTCTCTCACACACACACACACACACACACACACACACCCACACACACTCTCACACACACACACACACCCACAAACACACACACATACACACACATAAAACATAGACAGTATTGTTAAAAATTCTATTATAGCAACATGTGGGAAAATGAAACAAAGTACAATATACTGACATTGTAAAACAAAACAAAAAAACGACTTTATGCCAGCATTACATCATCGGATTATCATCTTATACCACTATAAATGGATATTGAACATGATGCACGAAAATGCTACACACAGATGTAGTATGCAATATTCACATACAACTTGTCCAAATTAGACATTGAAAAGGGACTGAAAACAGGAGAAAGAGAGAAAAAAATAAAGGTTATAACAACTTCATTAGATGTTTTATTCCTCATTAAATCAGCATATCTGATATAAAAAATCACATTTATATCCACTAACGCATTTGAGTAAAACATGTTATTCTCAAAAAATCATAAATTTAATTACATAACTTACATATAGGTGTAAATAATGCATAGCTATGCCGTTTTCTTTATATGTACGATATTAGATGAATAGCTGAGACGGAAATACAAATGTAATTATGTATTGTAGAATAGACAGGTCAAGGACTGCCTTATCCGTTTCCTCAAGCACATATATTATACTGTTGTTGGAAGTGTGCCTTTCGGGAGACACAAGCCCGCCTTGTGTTGATAGTTAAGCCAGATTGACCTGTTCGTATCCTAATTAACTCTAGGTTTTGTATCCGATTACTACAGCATTACAGATTATTATCATATTGATGTACATAGTTTAATGTGTTACCAAGCGAAAAAACTATTAACCCTACCCATCGTTTTCGTCGAAAAATGTATTTCCCGTTCACAAAAAAGATCTATTTTAGTTCAAGTTTCGTATGCCAGAGGTTTATACCAGGGAAAACCAGGAACTCTTTCAGTTTATTTGTACCTACACAGGAAGAAGGTAAGTACATGTTATGTCATCTACATAATGATTTGAAAATATTCTCTTTCAATTTAATATCACTTGAAGTATTCTTACATTCGATCATTCTTTGAGATTTTATTAACTCTGTAGAATCCAGTTAGATATATTTCACTGACGTCATTTTATCCCTATCCTTCTCTATGGTGACATGTAATGTACATCTATCATTCTGTATCGATTAGGATATTTGTTTTTGTGATTAGAGGTATAGGTCGCTAGTATAACTTAAACTTTGATAAATACAATTGTAATATCATTTCACAGCAATAAACTGGTCCACTGACACAACAACTTACAGAAATCGACACATAACTACACGCTACGCTGAGCACAAATGGCCTTTCAAAGTACAGGTATGTGTATATAGTTTATGTGTGTGTTTGTATACTGTGAACAAGTATGTTGGACACAAAAGTCAAGATGTACACTGTACACATACACATTAGTAAACTATCAATATGCTGTCATACGATTGTGAAATTACATTTGGGGAAACGGCAAATAACTTCCTTCTCGTTCACATATACAGCAATTACATCATTCATGTTTAGATAGCTTTGTTTTGTGAAATGACACGTCAACAGAAAGCCATCTATTATTTACTCGAGTTCGAGTCAGAAAATGGGATCAGTGGCTTAATGCACTATGATCTTTTTCATGGGAATTGATTATTATGTACCACCTACTTTAAACAGAACAAAACTTATGCAGAATTTACCCTTTTTACAAGTCTAGTATTGGAAATTCTATTTGAAGTCTATATCTAAGAAACTCAGGCTTTTTCAGATGGATTTGATTATTCATAATAAGCCATAAACGTATCGGTATTTAATATACTGTAAATGACTTATATTTCGCGTGGGATTTATTTTCGCTTTAATACACTCAATTACAAATTCTAATCTCTCGCTATTACTTGTACTTAAATAACTATGGATGACATCCGTGTTGATTCGGTAACCGACCGGAGTCTTCACGTGTCCATGTCACTAATGTTAATTCATTTCTAAATCGCCGTTCGCGAAATCATGTATTCGCGAATATGTCTGAAGAGGTAAGTTCACGATATAAAGTATTCGCTGAATCTAAGTGATTTGCAGTATATCTGTTTTATCTGAAAAGCGACATGAGGACGAGCAACTGTCATTAAATCATTGCTTTGGGTTTATGAATAACTGTTTAAGATTGATTGAATGTCTCATTGCACTAAAGCATAGCATTGAATTGTTTTGATTATTAAAAAACTATATATGTCTTATTAACAGCATCCCTGTTGTGCTAGACTGTCTAAGTTAACCCTATCATCAAGTCCAGTTCTGTGGGTAACCGGAGATAGGATGCCCAGCAAGAATATTGTGACGTCACGATACAACAGGATATGTAGTAATTTTAGTTTCATTATTACATTCGAAGTCTAGTACAGTTGTTATGGGCGATAACGGACAAATATGTTAGTCGAACCTCGTTATCTCGCTTACAGAACAACGAATGTCATTTGCTTCAGATATTGTGTCTAGAACTAAATGGGGAGCACGAGACCCTAAAGAGACCGAAACAATGCAGACTCCGGTGAAGATAGTCTTCATCCATCACACAGCTGGTAAACCTTGTACAACACCGGAGGAAGACATTAAAACCGTGAAAGGGATACAGAATTTTCACATGGACGAACGAAGTACAACTTCTTTAATGTGTTCACCATGCCAGTGGAGAGAATATTTAAAATATATTGATATCCTGGTGTAAAAGTCACACATTAGTATCTTGTGTCCGATGTGAAGAAAATAAATGTATTCGTTGTCATTATTGATAAACTGTGTAGTAGATCACTGCCGTAAAGAATAATTAAACTAACCAGTAAATACTTCCGGATATTGGTAGTCACAAAAAGATATCGCCATTTTAAGGACAAAATTAGATTTGGATTGAATATATTTATCAGATTAAATTTTTCCGGGTTATTTTGTTAAATGCACTCACATACACGGACATATTGATTTTATTATAATGATAGTGACAGATTGTATTGGACCTAAAACTTGCGTGTTTTGATCTTATCAAAGAAACGATTGCTCTTGATTTTTCTTTGCTCAAACTAAATTCTTCCTTATAATTGTAAGATCCAAATTAATGAATACTCGTATTCGATGTTTTGTTAAATGTCTAAAATGAATCCACCATTTGGCTGATATACCTAACCATTGTATTTAACGGGTTGAATAATTATGAGGTTACTTCCGACCGAAATTGTCATTATATAAGTATCCAGTGATTATTTGGCTAAATGAACAACGGAAATTCATTCTAAATAACATTAAACTATTAAGTCTACTTTGAACCTTTCTTCGTGAAATTTTTATTAACCTTCTATGTATAGGCAAGGGTTTTGATCTATTCTATCTTCTTTTCCAACAGAATGGGCTGATATAGGATACAACTTCCTGGTAAATAACTCTGGTCAGGTGTTTGAGGCAAGAGGCTGGGACCGAGTCGGTGCTCATACGAAAGGCTGGAACGCCGCTTCAGTTGCATTCTCTGTAATTGGAAACTTCAATGAGTCTAACCCGGACCAAAGGGCTATCAAGGCAGTGTTAGGTATGATTCAGCTGGGCGTAGACAAAGGCAAAATTTCGAATGACTATAAATTGTATGGACACCGGGATGTTGGCGCGACAGACTGTCCCGGAAAAAACCTTTATGAAATTATCAAAAAATGGAAACATTATTCTGAGGAGAAACCAACCAAATGAACATTCAACAAGAACTTGTTTCCTTGACATTTCCTTAGGAAATATATTGCCATGACTTGTAATAATTGCAATTTGCCTTTAGTGTTTTACTCGGTATCAGTTGGAAACAACCCTTTATTTTTGTGTCTACTTAAACATTCCAAGTTTTGTATTTTTTTCAATTTTAATGCATTTTTTTAAATTGAAATTTCGAAAACCAAGCCAATGCAATGTATGTTTTCGTACTTCATATTGTGTTAAATAAAATGTTACTTCTTTATAACTTTTTGCCGGCTTTATTATGTTGTGTCTTAGTTGAATTAATTGAATCCACCGTTTTTCATCAACAACTTATGAACAGTAGCATTCCCTGAATCTGTGTCAATGACGAAATAAAGAAAATGTTACATACACTTAAATTATGGAGCTGACAATCATCTTATCAATATCTGCTAAGTTTTATATAACTGAAGAGATACATTTTGACAAATTACAAAGTCTGAATGTTGTGGGCAAAATCAACAGAGGAAGCTATTTCTATGCACCATTTTCAATTCCTGACGTAATGTCATTTGTCAATCACTATGATATCACGGCCGATTTCTGACTAACGCGGCAAATGAAAAACACTAGTGACATGCGAAAAAATATTACATAGTTGAGAATTAAATGGATAAGAAGCTAGCTATGGGATAAATACATTTTTTCCTTATTAAACTCCATATGTGTAGTTTTCCGTTCTACATAATAGCATACCAATTATTTCCTTATCGTAGGTGAGCAATGAGAAACATATCTTAAATTGCTTTGGACATTTAGGTTTGCAAACATTTCATACATATACGGTTTTTTCTAAATATTGACTTTGCCTTTAAACAACAACCAACAACACAAGCAACATTAGTACTTTTTTTCAGAAATATGGCGCATACACATTTTGCGTTTTTCTCATCAACAGATACACAAAAGAACAAACAAAATGTAACAAGCTTGATGTTATTCCTTAATAGGTCAAGCACTTTTTAAAAAATGTTTAATTATCCAACACAAGGAATTTTTAAAAGACACACACGTGGATATTATCTTTCAATATAAATTTATAATTAGATACGGAAGAGCAAAATAATGAATATCACTGCTTCATACACCTATACTCGTCATCGATGCATATTGCTTAATTTATTGGAAGCTAGAAAGTGACTGAGTGAAGAGTAGAATCCGATTGGTGGAAGCGAATATCCGTAACTGTGTCTTGCGAACGCAAATAAATTAAAACGTGGCATGCAAGCAAACCATGGACACAAAAAGTCCACCAGCTGTGTTAAGCACTTACAATCTCAAAGTTTATACATATTTGGCATACCTGTTAATACTAGAACTAGCATTTGGATTAGAGAATGTAATTCTTACACTTGTATTACTTTCGTTAAATATATCAAAGCATTGTGCAAAAATACACTTGACTTGGCACTACGATAATATGTATATGTACTATCTTTATTAACATTCCTAAATATGATATCATCACTGTTTAAAATGTCAAGAGACATAACAGACGAACATTAACATATTCATTACACAATATATTTATTAACAAAGAGTACAAAGTGTACATCAGAACGTTATTTAATATTTGTTCCTGTTACTATTTTGTTGTTGCGGGCGTTGTCAATAACGGAAATGTGGAGTCACCTACTGCTTCCGGTACAACATGGCTGGTCAATTAAACTCACCACTGCCAACTTTAATGAAACTTCAGTTCCTTTTCGGTACCAGTGTAAGCTACACGTATATACAGCAATAAAAAAATCAATGCAGCAAAGCATGTTTCACTACCTTTATCAGTTCATGTACATGTTAATGTCAGCTCATGCGTGACAAATCCTTTCACATTCCGAATCCACCCATAGTGTTCATCCATTGCCTAGCTATATTCATCCACTGTGACATGGCAGCCTCTGGAAACGTATTCCTTCTCGGAGTTACCTGGTTGTTGAAAGCACATTCGCCATTTTGTACAACTGGTACAAGGGTAGATGGATGTACACACACCGATGCTAAAGTTTCGTCGATATGTCTCATCTCTTCCTGTGTGTGTCCGTTCCAATTTCTGTTCAATGTGTACACAACTGCTTCGTCGCAAATGCCGTCTGCTCGAACATAATCACACGAGTACATGACTGCGAATCCTTTGTGATCCGTGCGGAAAATCCAGTTGTTGTTTCCGAAAATATGCCTTCTGAAAGCTAGATTGTTTGAAATAATCGTGAACTTGGTCATATTTGAAAATGGATCCGATACTGCTATACCTTCAAGAAGCATGCAACCCATCAAGACAGTCCGGAGATCTAAAACATAAATGATCCACTAAAATTAATTTCTTTCAGTATCTGAAAGCATTGTACAAAAGCGAAAAGCACATTTTACACAACGATATAGGAATATGGCATGCAATACCACGTGACGTGCTGCTAGTTCGTTATTCCAGCTTATTATTCAGTGATGCTACGGGGCTGATAGACATGGTCATGTAATGTTGTGTGTCAATAGGAACAACATGAGCGGAAAGTGTATAAAAGAAATTTAAAAAGGACCAATAAGCATGAACAACGGCAAACCGTATAGATAACATCGAAAAATACATTTACACCACAAACATTCTTTTATAATTTTATATCGTTCAGTGTCCTATTAACAGCTATGGCGTTTTACGAAGGAGTGTAAACACAATACAAATCGTAAAGCAGGAAAGCATAAAATAATATAAAATATAAATCTGTCATGCTAACTAAAAACCAGTCGTGTACTAACAGCTCAACAGCTTCAAACAGCATATTTACGAGTATCTAAAGTAATATAAACAAATGAAAGTTGCCTCCCTTGAACCGAGACAGATGTCGAAATTAATATTGAACTGCTTAAAAGGGCATTTGTTGGAGATATGAATGCCAAAGGAAAGAGTCGGTGGCAGACTGTCACAAGGAGGCTACACATGAGGAAAACCCTCGATAAGCGCCCCTGGGGAAGCTAGTAAGGTAACGGGTTTCATAGTATATGTGACGTTAAAGGACTACTTCATTCGGCCTTGTCAATTCGTAAACAATAGAGAGGACAACTCACAAATGATGGAGATATCCTTGACTGACACTGACATTTTCTTCTTGAAATAAGCTTTAGATAGCAATTACCATATATTTTAACCCTTCAAATTTTTTAATTAAAAAATGAAATGAGCGTACATCTTAGATATGTATGTGTGGTAGGAACCGCTGTTACCGTTTAAATAACAGTTTTGATATAACACTATATATACTTATACGTATATAAAAGATGATATTGACTTTGGCTTGTCAGTTTCCGAGGTAAAACCAGTTTTATAACAGGTCCGTATCACTGAGGCGTATACACGCGACGGAATTTTTAACGAACTCGTAAATGAGATTATTATACGATTATCGAGGACTAGATTAAGAAAAATCATAATTAATATCGACAACTCATCATAAAGGCGTATAAACTACTTGACCCGAAGAATTTTTGAGAGTGAAATTTCTCGTATGTTTTGCCGTGATTGCCGAATGGTCAAAGTAGCAGCTATGACAGGCGGGAATAAAGTGTTGCATTGACCATAGTGTTTGTTAACAACGTAATTCTCTGAGTACAAGACCGTGTTTTTCTAAAATGCAAATAGTGATCACTGTGTCTTTTCATTCATGAATATCTCGGCGGCAGGGTAATCTCGCTTACTGATATCTTTATCTATATATGACACACAAGCTGTTGCCACAACACCAGACTATGCACTCATTCCTTTCCGTTTATTTTGTGATGATAACAGGTTCATTAAAAAGCACAAACAAACATTTAACCCTTGTGGTGACTTATGTACATTAAGGCCAAACAATATTATAAGATATAAATAAAATGTCTTTATTCCGTTTCTCTGTCGTCTGTCTGGAGAGATATGATAAGTAAAGCTCGCCCCTTTCCACTAATTGTTTAGAAATTACAGCTTGAATTATTTTTGAAAGCACTTACTTTAATCATTACTAAGAACAGAAATATAACAGCATTTCATTATTTCAGAGTCAAATTTACACTAAATGTCCATCAGCAGAATGCCGAGACAACAATGTTGTACATTACAATCAAGGGCATTTTAATAACATTTGCAGTCACGAAAATCCTTATATAAATCCTTTTGTCACAAGAAACTGTATTTACTGTAGATATGAAGGCTTTGATAACATAGTCGACTCCAACGACGCCTTCTACTCAGATATTAGCATAATTAATTGTTTCAAGCATCAACAAAAATTTGGGTACAAGACAAAACTAAGCTTTAACATCCAATCAATAGCATTTCTAATTCATAAAATAAAGGAGGGCGTTTCTTCGTTTGCGTAGCGTGTGCATGTTTTTGAGCGGATATTTTAAGGGTAGGGGGAGAGGGGTGATTGGAATGTTCATTTAAACCACATTACGACATTGCGCAACTGAAGCCTTTTCAGTGTTACCACTATGGACTATACTGTCGAAGGCAATATGCAGAACCCAAGACTTTCAACACAGAGCGAAAGCTCTAGTAAAGGCCAAAGTAAGGCAGAGTCAGGGCAGACATTACGGGTTAATAGGGTCCTCTTAGGAATCATACAACATATGCAGTAGGTAGAATTCTTAATTCCTTCATGCAAGGCCTGTCTCCTGCGAGACACAGACCGTCCTTGTAATCGAATAACAACGTTATGTCTATTCTTATTATGACAATTGTTTTCTTTATATTCCATGTTTTATCACTTCTCAATCTTAATGAAAAGTGAACAAAGTGTAAGACAAAATCACGCCGGTTTCCATAATCAGCTTTTTTTTAACGATATGTTGAATTGCAACGTTTAGTACATAAAATTGTTTTCAGGTTGAACGCATCATAATCAATATAAAAAAAATTGCATTTCAATTTCAATAATCTGTTTGAAATAATACAATATTTTTTATTTCGTTTTCGTTTTTTTTTTTTTTTTTTAATATATATTTTAATCAAGCTATAGGAAAAACATTAATGTAATATAACTTGAATCGTGTGATTATGTTTGTTGGTAGGTTTACACAAGATCTCAAACAAAATGAATAAATAATCAAAGATATGTATGATGACCGATATGGCGTGAGTAAGGAGCCATCGAAAAGCGAAGTCTCATGTTCGAATTCAGCAACCCTTGGCCATTCTGCGCCGTCAGTTGGTTTCTTATCGATATAACATACCATTCTCCTTGAAAATCACTCATTGTGAAATGTAAACAATCTGGGAACCCCATAGCTTGAGTTGTTATATAATACTTGGCCAACTAGGGGGGAAAGTGGATAGTTATTTATGCATTTATACTTTTAGGGAACAGGTGTGTGTATGATATTCATTTGTGGTGATATTATTTGTCTTGTTACCTGATGCCCCGTGCACCAATTTTTTGTCTCTGTCAGTCATTTATTAAGCTGTGTTCGTCAGAATATTTGCTATATTTGCTAGTGGCTGTGTCTATTTACTATATAATTTGCTAAATAATATGTGTCAAGTGATACGTGACCTTGTAAGGTACAACTGACCATTGTGACATTCTTGTGTGTTGACGAGTATCTATAAATAAATACTTTTTTATGTCCATCAACGACAACATCGGTTGGTAAATATATTTGTTTGTTTGTCCGATGGAAACTCGTTGACCTTTGGAGACTCAGTTCTAGTAGCCGTAAAAATGTTACCAAAAATATTATCGGACGAGCGATCGAGAACTGATAAAATCTACCTGATGATTGGACTGTATCATTCTTAAGATGTACGCTTTATTTTAATCACGACTGATCTGTGTTAACGTTTTTAACCGTGAATGAAACACATGATCATACCTTGCTTAACGTGGTGATTTTAACATTAACTACATTTGCATTGTAAGCAAAAACTTTAAATGTGGAAAAATTAAACATGAGCGAAAATTTCCCGATATACATTATATCATAAATTGTCTAATCAAAATTACATATATATTACCTCTGAATAAATAATGACAAATTGAGTGTATCACTTTGTACCTCCATGTTCAAGCAAGAAGCAGTGGATTCGTATATCTCTGGCAACTTATTTACGTCACGATGCAGTTGTCTCAATTATAAAATTTTCTTTTCAAATGCATAAAATCAGGTCTTTGTCACTTTATAAAAAGATTTTGTTTGGGCAAATTCTCAAGTTTTGATTTGTGAAAAAAAAAAGAAGTAAACATGATATTCTTGTTGTGCAGTAAACAACTGCCCTTATGCAGTACGAGTGATGCACTTTTATGAAGCAGTGTATCAAACGGTAGACACCTTAATTGTATGCAAAATTATCAGGTTTACTTATTGAAATGCAATGGGTTTAAGTCTAGTGAAGCGATAAACACAGATTATATAACATTTCGTGTTGTTTCATGGTTCCATCTGATAATGGATTTACCTGGTTGTTTAAACCACATTCGCCATTTTGTACAACTGGTACAAGGGTAGATGGATGTACACACACCGATGCTAAAGCTTCGTCAATATGTCTCATCTCTTCTTGTGTGTGTCCGTTCCAATTTCTGTTCAATGTATACACAACTGTTTCGTTGCAAATGCCGAGTAAATGACTGCAAATCCTTTGTGATCTGTCCGGACAATCCAGTTGTTGTTTCCGAAAACACGCCGCCACAAATCGTTTGATCTAGTCGTGAACCTTCAAGTCTCATGCAGCCAATCCACACAGCCTGGAAATCTTAAATAGGAAATATACATGGATATTCTCAATATATTAATTTATATACAAATAACTTTAACGATGTATCTTACGAATATATATTTTTTCCGTTATTGATGAAAATATTATGTATCTTGAATAAATATGGAACATAAAATTTGCTACCCTTTTTTTTACTAGTTACAAATTCATCCGTAAAAAATGTGGTTCTATAATCCTTATGAACTATCCTCGCCGACATATTGATACAAGCGCGTGTTTTCCATCTTTTTTTTTTTACTTAATTATATGGGAAATCCTAATCGTCTGTACAGCATGATAAAATGCAAATGCGCGAGCCGCCTATGCACACTTTGACCTGTGCAAACGCGTCTAAAAACTAAACAAAATGGCTTCCAGGCCGGAGCGTGTCCGTGGCAAACGGGTCACGTCATCGCACACAAAATGTAGAAAAGGCCCATGACAGAAAGCTCACCCTTGAATAACAATAAGAGAGCAGTACGAGAGGTGGGACAAGTTCAAGAAAGAAAACTTTTCCCAAAGTAATGAAGAAGTTGTGAAGACTCTCCTAGACTGTTGGTAAGTGATAAGTTATCATCACTGGTGATATTTTTGTATGTCATACCGTGTTTGGCAGATTTAAACCATCAAATAACAATTTCACAAAGGTTTACAACGCAATTTCTTTCATGATGAGTTAACGTTAAATCAGACTCACCGTTTCGTCACTTGATGCCTCCATATCGCGTGCATTTGTTTACAAACAGTCTTTTTCCCGTCAGAGGGCGCAGCGTTTCGCGCTATATTTGGATTAACGCTCATTTTGGCGTGGGCTTCCCCAGATTTTAAACTGACCACACAGGACATTGGCTACCTACGAGAAAACTATTATGTACAGATTTGTTAGTCTGGACATATACATTTTCATTTGCAGCTGAATAGAAAAAACGTTGCTCGACTAACAGGTTGGTTTATTTCATGAATGTTGCCACTTTATATCATCCATATGTAATGTGCAAGTGTATGTAAATGTACCTATTGCATATTTATTGTCTGAATAATCAATAACAATAATAGTAAATGTTACTTGCTTTATTTATTGAATGATTTTATATTTGAATATTTTTAATCAATCATTTGGAAAGAAGTGGACGAAATCCATTTTCTTTAATGTTTAAGTTATTTCTACAGTACATTCCAGATGTGACACTAAGTCGACATTGATTCGTAGTGGCTAGACTAACCAACAGAGCATTTGTCAAATGGCATACGGATTCGTTTCTATATTGATAATTAAAATACTATTGTGAAATTAAAAAACAATCTTTCAATCTTGAAAATGCTTTAAATTTGAATGCATTTGTGAATGTAACAAAATTGTGTTGCATCACATAACTGTTGCTCTAGTACTGTCCATACTTGCATACCTACATATATGTTAATGCTTTGAGTGGTTGATGAGACTCGTGACTGCTTATTTTACAAAGACGTTTACAATCTAAATATTACAATATGAGTATTTAACATAATATAACCAATCTAAAAGAATTTTAAAATATATATATGTATATGCCTTACTTACTTGTTTCTATGTTGATTGTTCCATAGGAGGCTATCGTATATCGAAACCTCATGTCTGAATCCATTAAGCCTTGACCATTCTGCGCCGTCCATTGATTTCTTATTGATATGACAAACCATTCGCCTTGGAAATCATTTGATGTGACGTTTTCCTGCATTTTAAACTGGTCAACCAAGCATGGCTGATTTGTCTGACTAATGCTAACGCGAAGATATATCAGAAACGCCAAACATTGAAATGATGTGGTCAGTAATTCCATAATATTGAAGAGTTGTGCCGTTTATAAAGAATAGCTAACGTTTGTCGCTTGGAGTTTACTAGTCAAACTATCAAATGGCAGTTAAAATATCTTGTAATATATGTTATATATCCCCTCTAGGCAGAGAAAGAATCGTGTTTAGTCGATAACCTTCCCTTATAATTCCTTTAGACAGGCGGGATAAGTCTCTCATTAGTTATTTTTCCTTCTGCCCAGATACATGCCAAAATCAACGGCACATATCCTCTTTTGTCATTTATTAGGTTGCGTCCATCAACGTATTTTCGTTAATTATTCAGGTCACCTGTATACTACAACACTTTCTAAGTGTAAACCGTGGTCTTACCGGTGGCCTCACCAGCACAAGAGATAAATGTGACAATTAATGGTATGAATTTCTATCAACGACAGCATCGACAGGTCAACAAATGTTATCATTTGCATAAAGGAAGCCCTACACATACGGAGTCTGTTTTCTGCCATGCCATGTTATCATAGGCACAAAAATGTTCCCGAAAACTTTCATGAATATTAAATATAAATTACGACGACCTCATTCAAGTCCTCTTCCTCCTTTCCACAATCTACCAGTGAATCCTGACTTTGGAGTACGTCTTTCTACCTTTTCTACCACCAGAAGGACATTGCCTGCACATAAGCTTGTAACTACATATAGCAATCCGTTGTATCACGCATAATACTATCATCCCAAATTACAAAACTGACATTTTAATTTGATACGTTACTTTCGATTTGATCATGGATCCGAGTGAGTTAAAAGGTTAATAGTTGGAGCCATTTTTACATATGTAAAATTTTAAGAAATAGAATAGATATAGTTTTCTACATTATAAAGCCGTGCTATATCTCCGTAAGGTTCTATTTCTATCTGCGCTTTCCGTTTTACACAGTTTAGAGCACAACCCGGTTTAGTGATGACTCTGTCACAATCTTCCATACTAATAGTTTATCGGTAAATGTTCTGTCTATAAATAAGATATTTAATATGATGTGTGTGTGTGTGTGTGTGTGTGTGTGTGTGTGTGTGTGTGTGTGTGTGTGTGTGTGTGTGTGTGTGACATTAACACACATTTCATTCTTACAGAACTGTGAGGATAACGCTATGCAAGATAATCTGAAAATAGACGCATGCAAACGTATGTCTTTATATTCATATTTAAATACGGGGAAATTGAAATGTTAAAATCATTACTGTTTAAACAACATGTTTGCAAGTAATTTTAGAGTCAATATTAATATGATTGTCAAACAAGCAATATTGCGATGACAATTTTTAATATTTACAATAAGCTGTCATTTAGGGATATGCACAATGTTCCTGTTACATTCTTTTCTGACTCTTTGTTTTGTTTTCTCCTTCAACTCTTCTCATGATATGTATTCGTTTTCTCTGTGGCACGTTGTCCAAGCAGTTCTTATATATATATAAGTTAAAATGATCTTTTAGTGTCCCAATGCCTCAATAAACAGTTACGATAAATCTTTATCTATAATAACATGTACAGTTGAAGTGTTAACGCTAATGATGAAAATATTGCCTTTCTGATGCTTGCTAAAGTTGAACTTGAAATGTCCTGATATAAGCTTATTCGGTGTTATCTAAACTCCTCTGTAACTTTGAATAAATCCTGATCAAGGTATCTTAACGTATTATCTAGTTTCAACACCAAATAAAACAGACGTGTTTCAACTAGAGAGGCATGTTCGGGTTAACGTCTATGCAACAATTGAGGGCATTGAGATGGTTTCAGCGGGTGGTGGAGCCACGGAGTTTTATAGTGATATCACACTGACTTGTCATTGCCAGACATGGTAGCGCGACACTCAGTCTATCACGTTATATTGACAATACCGACGCATATAAATTTTATAGACTTTGATTTGCTGATAACAACGGACAGAATCAATAATAGTCATATCTCAGTTGATCGCTCGTTATCTAGGTACATCTATTGTTCAGTGAAATGTTGGTAAGAATAAAATTACATAGGAAAAGAAATAGTCACCGTTTACGATATAATGGGGACCCCAGGTACATTTTTCTCGATATTTTCCTACAACGAATCCAACATGAACAGTTATCCACTAAGCTATATGATAAGCGTGAGGAATTCGATTTGATTTAATGTCACATTTCCATTTCAGGAAGGCAACATTTCTGTGTCACCAAACTATGTTTATATGTCGCAGTTATTACAATATTTAGGGACCTATTCATACTATCAGGATTTTAGTGCGAGATGTCAATAACTGATAAATAGATTGGGGTTTCAAGACAGATGCAGGTTGATAAAAATAAAGTTTTACTGTCGTCATAGTAATCTCTCTGACAACTTTTTGTAACGCTTTATGTATTTGATGTTTTGGCTGTGCCAGTACTCTCCGAACTGGTCATTTGTCTGATAATGGTGACCGCGTTGTCATCGAAACGTCACACTCTTACCATCTACTGGTTTTGTTATAAGAGCTTTCATTTATTTTTTACATCCCTGATGATACTCTTGTCGTACTTACTCAAAGTCTACTTACAGGTTATCGTTTGGAAACCTGCATACAAAATATTTATACAAAATTAATAGCTGCTAATTTTATATACGGGAACTATAATCAACACTTTACGTATATTGAAAAAGTACTTCAACACAAAGGCAGCATATAATCCAGAAAATACAAAAAGTTACATAGCAATACAAATGTATGTCAATATTACTATTGATTTTAAATGGGGTTTTACAATCACTCCGATAGGCGTGTCGTGCACAGTCTCATTGCAGATGAATTCAAATATTTACATTATCACAATATAATTGGGAGAGTATTTTAAAAATTGAATTTATGACACAAAGGAAAATTGCATTATAATCTAACATTTATGACATGTTTGTATCACTTACAGGTTTATATCGGAAATTCAAACCAAAATCGAACGCCTGGCCCGAGGAAAATAACCACAGGTAAAATTACAATTTAAAGGTACAAGGCATAAGTGTATTAGAGATAGCGTGTTTATGTAGATTTAAAGTCTATATGTTCAACAACGTGCCTATTGAACGGATACTTGAACAACAAATGATATCGATCTGCTCGGGTATATGTGCCCGGGCTTGCTTTTTCTCTTACGTGTGTTTACATAGACAAAAATAAGCATGTTATGTACAAGTACTCATAACGATATATACTGGTAATTTTATACACGAACCGGGTCGACAATATTCGCTGTGGGCACTGTGTAAATTATTTTGTCATACATGTTCCGTACACCACGAAAAACTTACAACGATGAAGTTATGTGCTAGAAAGTGTAAGAAAGTGTGACTGAATGTTTCGTCATGGCGTTGGAAATCACATTTATGATTTTAATTCTTATATCAGGTATGTATCATCGGTGATGGATTCAGGGAGAGATAACCTACTGTCTCCTTCACTGGGCGTTTTATCAGTTAGTGTAGAGGATAGCAGGGTAGATAAGACCCAAACTATATGACCTCTCTCTCTACAAATTATATAAATAAATATCACGTTAAAATAATGTTTCATACAAGTAAATTTATCAGGAAAATATGTAGAATATATTTTAACAAATATTGTAAGAACTGATAGTTAGTAAGTGCTTAAGTACTGATCTGATATACATGTATGTACTTTTAAAAGAGCATTCTTATCTCGGGAAAACGAACTCAACCAAAACAAAACATATCTATATGCAAAGAAGAATAGCGGCACGTGCTCTGAAGTAAGAATAATAATACATTAAGCACAATAACAAAATGGAAGTTTCTTGAATGTAATTTTGCTTTAAGTATTAATACTCGTTTCCTTTAAAACATTTCTTTGAAAAAAAAACCTCAACATTTCATCAGTTACGAAAATGTGTATAGTTATCGATATTTATCTAGAAATCAAAGAAATTCATTGGACAGGAAGTCATGTGTTTTGTAAATAACAGGATTTGTTTGTTTATTTGTTCTATTTCAAAAGACGTGCCTGTCCGTGCCATTTAAAACATCAAAGTATATGAAAATCAAGTAAAATCTCGGTACATTTTAAAGAACTGTATATTACATCACTCATCCAGATCCTTAGAAATTTATTGTTCAATAAAAAAAGATCAATGCATATATTGAATGGTTCGGTCTGGTCTGAATCCCTTTTATAGATTAGTTTCAAACTGAACATGTTTACAATTCGTGAGTCTAAAGTATAAAAATAGTTCGTGTACAATAACGCACTATTCCGTAAGGTCAGATGTGTTGATTTCAATCTCATTACACATATCGACAGTGACTTTGTCTTTTTCAAAAAGACACGAAACGACATAAGGAGAATGAACAATTAAAGTATTAGTTACAGCACTGTTATTGACGATATAAACGATTGTAAAGATGACAAAAAATATCAGACCCTTACCGCACCTAATTACTTATTAATCAATAGCATTGTACGGAAATCCATCATAACACTGAAATATTAATTTACTAAATTAAAGAAATCATCACTACTGTTATTACGTAACATGTTACTTTTCGATTGTAGTCACGTGACGGTTATTATTTAGTGAAACTATAAAGCTAATTCATCGTTACCATTTTTTGATGGTGAAACTTAATACTCAGGTCACGATGTCGTTTGTATATCTTACGTCACAATAAATATAATCTCCTCTACAGGTATATTACCTACATGCAATTCTTCCCTCTCTAAGCAATATTATCACGTTTCATCTAGTTTGATCATAAAAGCAGCGTGATTCTAAATTAAGAACTTTAATAATTTCATATTCAAATGTTTACATGGTATTATATGAAACTAAAAATCAATTTAAATTTCTTTTCTAATCATATATATATATCCTTTTCCAAGACGGCGTGACACTAGGGACTTGAAAACTTGATCTATAGGCAAAGACGGCATTAGAGGATTTAGAGAGTACAGTCAACATTCAGCAAAAACAGATAAAGAGTCTTATGTTATTATATTGGACGGTTTAGAGAACAACTTATATTTTTAAAAGTTTTAGAGCATTCCCTATTCTAAGCCCATCATTAAATCAAGCAAACGATGTAGAATTAATTTCTATTTCTGGCCACCCGTGTCCTCTACATTGTATAAAACAATCTGCTATATATTTTTATGAGGTTAAGAAGACAGTATCAAATTTGTATAAAATTGTTTAAAAGTTCTAAAACGACGTTCAATTCCATTGCAAATATTAATTTCCACAAAATTCAGCAAATTATGTAAGCCAGCAACTTGAATTACCTTATCAGAGGTCCGAAACCAATCCACATGGGAACGACATGATGGTGGAGCTAGACATTTCAAGAGGTTTCGTAAAAATGACATCCCTTTAACAGTGTATGAAGCTGACAATTTGGGGAGTTTGTCGTTCCTTATATCGTATAACGAAGCTGACAATTTGGGGAGTTTGTCGTTCCTTATATTGTATAACGAAATTTATATATAAATTATCATTAGTTAGTTTTTTAATGCTGAGATCAAGACATCTCTTTATCTTGTATAAAACAGACGATTTAGAAGATAAGTTAAATAAAAATGACACCCCTTTGTATGATATGAAGGAGACAATACAGATAGGGTCAACATTAGGTGAAAATGTTTTATACTATTTTAATATTCATAATGCTATGATTTTCATATTTGTCATTATTATTATTACAAAGTATCTATGTGTGTGATTTGCTTACATTCACAGCACGATCATCGTAATCATGCACATAATTCTGCGATTGTTTGTGTAACAAGACGCAGGATGTAGAAGATCTGTTACAGAAACATGTACATTCTGTTGACTCAAAGTGTCACACTGTTGATATAACCTCTAAACATTTTTTTTTTTTCTTAAATCCTTTTATCAACACTAAATTATATTGTTAGTCTTTTTAAGGACCGCATATTATCATTTTCTAAGAATGAGCATCTATGAAAGTTAATGAATTATTTTGTTTTATAATCATACTTGAAAGTAATTGGTACATGTACCAAGCAAGTTAATACGTGACCCCAATTCCAACAGTTTAATGTGATAATGTCAGATGAAATTGATTACGAATAAGGAAGTAAATGGCATGCATTAATTTAAAGTCACGTGCACAATTTGTTTATATGCAGCCATAGAAACCATGTATATAGAAACTGGTGACACCACCACACGTAGTGTCAATATAATCTATAAAAAAGTAATTTCAATTTAGAGGTACTTTATGAAAAGCTTTTATATAAAGATATACATAATGTTTTGAGGTGTATTGGATCTTAGCGAGGATACCGATAAACAAACGCATCGTTGATATTCTACGTAAGTTGAAAAAAAACCCTGATATATCTCAAACTATTCAGCCCCTTGACACTGACCCGAATCCTGAGATAAAGGGAGAGGGTCTTATTTCTTCTGAAAATGTCTCTGTTTGGTTTTTAAAAGAAAAGAAATTTAAGGATTTCCATTTTAAAAACTAGAGTCAAGTTTCTTTTTGATAAGATTGTTCCCCTTGATTCGCACTATACGTCTTCTGACATCCCGGTCGTCGCGATTTATTCGTGGAATTCCTATTTACATTTTTGTATTTAAATTCTATCATGGTTTTTATGCATTTTTTATTATTTATATTTTTCAGTCAGTGCCGCTTGGGATTATTGTAACTATAATTACTACAGTTACGTGTACCGTAAACGTGAGACTGGACATAACTATTGCGACACTGCATGTTGTGGTTATTCTCACAACAGATACTGCTGTTCCTAGTAAGTAACACTATATACTATAATTATCCTAAGTATCACCATTTACGGTAAACATTACAATACTGAATACCATACTTTTTAACCTGTATTTTTCTGTTACTTTGGTACTGTCATCATACATGTATTATTATTCCTTTATCTCAATGTCGAGGCCATCCTGTAGTATCAATGCCCTAAAATTTATATTCAAGTTAAAATTTTAAAAAGTACGACATAATCCTAATGCCCGACAGTATTAAACGACGTTCAAGTTTCTATATTTACCACAATAGGTGAGTGTTACACAGTGTACTCCAAAGACATCAGTTAATTGTTGTTTTAATCCACACATGGCACACATTCTAAAGCCATTTTCATTGGTTGATACGTTGAACGTCGACCGGGACAAATTTGTGATCGTCGCTGCAATCATGTCATGCGCCCCCGTTGAAAACGAGGCTGGCACACTTTTTAAACCAGTTCCATATCTGTTTGGAGTTCCGATTAATGGTGACACATTTAACACACAACAACAACACTCACAGCACTAATTCATCTGAATCCAATAACCGCGGTGGAGTTGTTTACTATAGAGACAATGAGACATGATTTCTTACGTAGTGATTGATGGTTAATGGGCAATTTGGCGGGAACAGTGCTTCATATAAGTAGTACATAGATCGTACTAATTTGTTTTAGTTTTGGTTTCTACCAACTTACTACATGTACTTTGAAGATAACAAACAAATTACTGACTTCTTGTTGATTGCAATAATTTGCGATATTACCACCTATTTGTGAAATTGTAGGTATACTAGTTAGCGACATTTCACTGCTTATCATTACGCTTCAACTGAAACCGTAATCAAAACGCATGGGTACAAAGGTTCCATTAATATCAGAAGCAGTCTTTTTAATGTGGTAATTTTCAAAAATTTAAAATAAAAAGGTCGTTTACGTTCATTTTAATTGTATCTTGAAAAAATAACTAACCCGAATGAAAAAATAACCACTCATCTGTCACCACTATTTATCTATGCTGGCGTTGTGAGGTACAACATGATACTTAAATATCATATCGGGTGTGAAAACATATGGTAATCACATGTCGCAGTTGATCCTATATTTAAGAGTCTGCTCCTATTATCCCGACTTTTGTTCGAGAAGTCGTCAACTGACGGACAAATTCATAACACGGGGTTCCAATGCATGTTGATAAAAATCACGGGGAATTTTTACAGTCGTTATTGTGATTTCAGCGAGAAATATTCTAATTCTTTGCGCGATTTGAAGCTAGACATGATTGATGCTCGTTAGTTTGCCGGTTGATTCCTTTGTTGTATACATTGTTCTCATTTGAGAACATGACATTATTTACTAGTATTGATCATGATTAATATTGCATAACATGAAGACGCGATGCATAAGACGCATTCTCTTCCGGAACACGTGGTCTTATTATCTTTGTACTTTTTCATGAGTCTCCCTGTAAATCTTTCTTTTAGTCATATTTTGAACTTGTTTATTTTTAATTTGAGTTTGGATTAAAATCATGTTGAAATGTTGTTATTTCTTGTCTTTTATTTTCGTCGTATGTATAGTTCTATTTCAAACCTGTGGGAAATGAAAGAAACATGAAACATGCCCACTGTATGTTTGCAATGAAATTGTCGAGATCTACAATATACTTCACCTTATTTGGTTAACAGTTACAAGAATTGCATAGATTCATCTCCTTAATTCGTGCTTCTACAGTAAATTAAATTTGACAAAAGTGTAAAGAGTTAAATAGTAAATGACATATTCCTGTTGATTTCAGTGATGGAGCGAAGGCGGGAGCCATTGTTGGTGGGATTTTATGTATTGTAGTGATAATAGGAACTATTTCATGTTGTATAAAATCACGTTACTTCCGGTCTCGGAGAGTAGTAAGACCCCATCAACCTGAACCTCAAGTTACGTCTGGAAATATCACAATCAGTAAGTATACACGTTAAAAAGATGTATGTAAATCTGCTTTAAGAAAAAGACACAATATACATTTAGTGCAGTTTTGTACGATCTAGTGTTTTCTTGCTTGACTGACAACGTGCAATTTTATTTATAGTACAAACCCCCGGGATGATGACAACGCCTCCTCCTTACTCCAGTTACCAGACAATACCAAACGGAGCTCCTTCCGCGCCAGCCCCTCCCTATCAACCTCCGGCAACAGCCCCTCCCGGCTACGTACCTCACATCGGTGACAGGGGACCACTTCTCCCTCCGCCTTACACAGGACCACCACCCAAATACTGAGTTTCAAACATGACGGAAGGAAAATAGAATACCAGTCTGGACATTCGGAAAGTAGTCTCCTGGCACGGACTCCGTGTTTCTGGAGTCAGCTATAGGGCGATCTCAATGCATGTTTCAATCAAAAGTACCATATAACGACGTAACGTTACTAGAGGGCGCATCTCCTAATTACTTGTCTCAATGGTAACTGTTATATATATATATATATATATGGGAAGCAACTCACTTTCCAATGACCTTCAGTAACGGTACAACTGGATTGGACTACCTATTAATATGCTACGTTGGTATATTACATCGAAATACGAAAACATGCTCTGAATTCAGCATTCTTTGGATCTGATATTCGCCTACTATACGGAGCCAATGCCAGTATCATGGCATCATGCATCAAACGAAGGCTATACAATGAGTTACAATATATCATCGAGCTTCCATTGTTGAATAAATAAATCTAGCAATCATAATTATTTTCCTAAGTACATTTTACTGCCATGTTGTCATATTTAAGTGTGAAAGCTTGTCTACAATCACATTACTTATCTTAATTTATTCGTATGTATATTTGATACGTTTCAACATATCATGATAATTTATATTTTATAATCCATCACATACCATTGACCATATGTATATATTTGCATTGTTTACATATTGAACAAACAAACAAAGCATCCGGCTTGAGCATACTATCTTACTTTTTTCAATAACATTTAAGCTTTATATGACATTTGTTTTATGCGGTATATACAACTACTTTAAGTCTATGACCATTAACTCGAGAAATCGTCAAAACTGAATGGTGTGATCCCAATTTCTTATTGTGTTATTTTCATAGCGAGGACTGATTTAAATGTTAATTTACAGCAGTGTGTTTTGTTGAAGTAAAATTTGATATATATGTATGAATACATTGTATGTTCTTATTCCAATTTCATAAGTCCGCACGCGCACAACGTCTTTATTATTGAACACTGAATCGCTACAACCAAACCTTGGGAAGTTTTCTAATCGATAGATTGTATTAATGAGAAATTAGGTAGTCTTAATTAAAACTATTAACGGACATAAACAACACAACCGCCACACCAAAAGACACACAATAGAGCCAAACAATGAATTAAACTGCAACATACAACTGTTTCGTCCCTTTTTTCATACTAGTCAGTAATGTTAAGAACCTCAATATTAAAATATAGGTGTCGACTATGGAAAATTCCAAAATGATCGAAAGTAGATTTTACTTAAAAGAAACATTTTAACAGGAAGTATAAATTAAGTTATTGTGTTCTCAATGATGTCATTGAACATTTACGCCTAATGATAAATGAATTGGCTTTATTTATTTTACAACAACCACTTTTGTTGGCCCGGATCGAAGAGCGAGGGGTCAGTACCCGGGTAAAACCCACGTAGTCGGACAGATGATCCCATACCTATTCATGTCCGTTCCAGTAATCGTATCCCGGACGACAAGGTGAAAAGCAAGTGCGATGCCACAGCGCCATCCGACCACCCTTCTGCCTCATCCTTAGCTGCCAATAGAAATGAAAATTGACTATCATATATTTTGATTCATACAAAAAAATTCAAATGAAATAATATTTTCTTGATCATGTATATATCTTTACTTTTGTTGACCAGGACTACAAAACTATTCACTCATAGGTTGGGATTTTGGGTCTTTTGAAAACAGAAAGTCTTAAATATTTCACACATATCAGCCATATAAATGCACTTGTTAGTTCATGGACTTCGCCAAGTAAAAAGCAATATGATAGAGTAGTATATTGCACGAACATTTGTCATGCCACGGCACTTGTATACATTTCTGGACGTTCCCATTCCCAGTATCTTATCTTCTCTCTATCGACATATATCTAATCATTTACTCCTGAAACTAATTTCCATTATGGCCGTTGTCAACGACGCTCCTGTGTTATTATCTACTTCGTCCGGTACAATGAACTCACAGCTATCACGAAGATAAGTATAAAGTACACGTATATACCTTGGCTTTATGACTTATGGAAATACGTGGTTATCAAAAATAGTTATTCGTTATTCTAGGAAGAGAAAGCCCTAAAGTAGATAATAAAACGTTATATCTCGATTATCATTGAGCAGATTTCTGTCGGGTGCGGCATCTCTTGTTGGCCCAGATGGAAGTGCGCGAAGGGAAGAGACCGGACTATCCGGGGAAACCCCCACCTTTTCGCGTTCGTTCCTGCAATCCAACCCCGGACGCCTAGATGAAAGGCGAGTGTGTTACTACTTTCGCCAACCGACCACCCACTTAGACACCTTTATGTATATTTATATGTATCTATTGTAGAATAAAACAACCAGCAACGTTTGCTCCTTAGTATAAATGTTTACCATATACATTGGTATACAGTGTAGTCTGAATACCACAACTAACAGTTACCAGGTCCATGGCCATTCCAGGACTGACTCTAGTCAGGTTTGTACAAACAGTTCAACTTACAGTAATGACATCAGCAAACACAGTGTGGATGGTCAAGCTAATAAGGTACAGTTTCAGCGACTTCATGAAGTTATCGCATTAACTGTTGACCCAGTGGGTCAGATTCACACGGACAAGTGTTTTACCATGGCTTGTCACATTCCCACATCAACATGATAGTATAAGATAGATAAATGCATTATTTCCGACTTGTTTTCTCAGAAGGAAAGATTCACCAATGTGGACGGACTCGGCCCATCTGATAAGATGTTTGGTGTCGCCAGGACAAAAGACGTATATATTTAACTATACTGCGAGTCCATGCCCGATGCAACACTCCCGATAGACAACGGTAGGTATCATGCCTGTTTACATCAACGGTACATTACGACCTGATTTTTGATAATTAAAAATGTGAATTCCTTGCTGTAATAATCCGCAGCCTCATATAGTAACATATTTCAGTCGACATGATGACCATGTATATTGTTCGAATGCAAATTTTGTTGAAAATGGGTAAAAAATGTTCCGAAGTACTCATTCGATATTACCTGCATTTTGTTCTTTTTGTGGAATATACACCAACATAGAAAAACTTCTATCTGATTTAGTGTCTTATTTGATTTTTTTCTTCTCTCAACGAAAGGTGGCAATATGTATTTAGATATCAATATTTACCGGATAATGTTTTTTTCTTATCACGAGAACTTATCTAGAGACTTTTTTCAAGTGAAACACATATTTGGATTATCATTAAACTTTAAAAATGGTCAGTGAAAACAAGGCAATAGAATTCATCATTCACTTTAGAAAAAGAGAGTAAAACTACTATTTTTCATCCTTTATAAAAATCTAAATGGTTTGGTTTACAACTAAATTCCGGAATGGAGTTATATCATATTACGCCGTAAAATATGATATAATTAGACATAACCAACAGTTTTGTAAAAAGTATAACTTTAGCATTCATTGAAAATTCAGTTCAAACTCCAAATGTATACGAGTTATTCCCCTTCATTGTAGACGTAATTCTTTTCATATTAAGATAATTTGGATGACTTCTGATTTTAAAAAAAAACGACAGGAATCTACAACTGTTTGTGACTTTGATGTGAAAGCAAGTTTCCCCTTTATATTTCAATCACTGCACTCCGTTATGTCAAGTGTATATATCTACACAAGGCCGAGGTTTTATATAAATACCAACAACACGTGCAAACGACCGTTGGTAAACAACGTCTATCAGTAGTTATCAGTAAAGTCAATGCATTATATAAATATGATATCAGATACTGTATGAAGTCTTACTGTACTGATATAAGCACATCATCACCACATCGTATGTGGTTCTAGCATTTGTGACCAGACCACGAACATGAAAGGACCTATACAGATATTGCTCCTCTTTGGGACGGCTGCCCTCCTCCAGGCAGGATGTCCGACCATCCCACCGATGGCTGACTTTAACACCGAGCGGGTAAGTCACGTGTGCATTAGACTAGAAATAGTGCAAAATCAATGCAAAGATGATATCGCGGCATTCAACTAAATTGACAAAAAACACAGGTTCCTTACATCACCGAATTTATCTAAAAACAACTTGCCATTAATTGTTATGATAGAAAGTCTTTATTCCTTTTGATAAGATGGCAACAGAAAACAGATATATTTAAACTTATTTCTGAACCTATGGCAGTGTTTTGGTCACGTGCACCAGACGTTGGTTATATAAGTTCACACGTTGGCCCACAGCGATCACGTACCATGACCACCCTTGTTTTAATATCTCTGTATGAAAGGGTTACGACAGCTTTTTCAGTCGATTGTTGAGGTATTACTTTATTTCTCTAGCTGTACGTGTAGGCCCCAGTTTTAATTTTTTTTGTATTTCACTCATCCACTGTATCGGCAGTTGAAGTTTTCTTATTAGTTATCCAACCCATTGTATCGAACGTTGAAGTTTTTTAAAATATTTATTTCTTTAACACATTGTACCGGTCTTTGAAGTTTGTAGTCATACTTCATTAGTCCATTTTATGTAACTGCGTTTTGGGAGATGGGGAGGGATTCTCGTCGTTGAATTTGACAATTCCTTAATCATTATCCAGAGTGGTCGTTCATTACACTCACTAGAGTCAGTACGTATGTAACAACATCAATATTCAGAAGCGTCATTTTTCTGTATCTTATCGACAGTACGCAGGCACGTGGTACGAGACGGAGAGGTTTGACAATCCATTTGAGTGGTATACAAGATGTGTGTCTGACACGTACATTTCACGAGGAGATGGCAGCTACACTGTCCTCTACAATAGAATAGGCACGTGGTAAGAATCATTTGGAAATGTAATACTAATATGACGTCATGATTTCAAATTACTATATTGTTTTTGCAGTGTCTCATGTTAGGAGAATGAAACAATATTAATTGTATCAATCCTTCATAAGAATCAGAGAATATAGATAACTGTAGAGCCATTTGTTTTATAAACACATTTAGTCGGCCATACTTGTACTTAGTAGAAATTTATTTTGATTTTTTTTTTCTGTTTTATACCTTTTGTTTTTGTTTTTGTATTTTTTTTTTATCTCTCTCTCTTTCCTTTTCATTTTATGTCGTTACACATACCCCGAGCTTTAACAACACAAACATCAATTTAAATTATTGGCTTACAATATCTTAAAAAGGGAAAATATAAAATTGATATTACACAATGCACAAGATATTGATATAAGATTTGAGACCATTATATTTTTTTTATATCCTTGCCTGGTTTAATCATTGATAGGTAACTTAGCAATGTGCTTTTTAAAGAACACTTAAATTTTTTTAAACATTCGTGTTAAAATAAACCCCAAAACTGATACCATCATTTGTGTTTGGTACTGCAGGACGGGATCGAACCGAACAACAGAAGGTGCCCTAGACATTGTCGACGACACGCACCCTGGGTATTTCATAGCCTCATTTTCGGGATGTAAGTAACTGTTGTTTGGTGTCATATCACAAAAACAAATTGAAGGGTACATAATTAATCAATCCTAGAAAACGAATAATCCGGGTAACCATTTTCGTTACACCGGGAAATGGAGAATTCGGCTTATGTATAATAAAATATATCCATAATAAAGCGATACACGCGCCTTTAACGTCAAATTTGTTGTTTTTGTACATATTTTCGGCGTCGGAACATTGTTTATTTGGACTATTTTACACGCGAAGTTCAATCTATGCAAGTAATGTCACGTTCTCAAATGAGAACAAGGTTGATCAAGATTTACATGGCGGGTGTCGTCGATGAAGCAGAAGACGCTTACTTTGAACCACAAGGCAAAATAACGAGCATCAAACACGTCAAGCTTCATATCGCACACAAAACAAAAATAGAATATTTATTAATGAAATCACTATGATCGCTGTAAAACTTCTCCATACTTTTAATTTACCTGAATCTGCTGAAACCCTGTGTTACGAGTTTGTTAAGTTATAGTCCATATATAAATTTAAGAACATCAGTTTGTATGTTAAAACAATATGCTCTATGTTTAAATACTACATTACTCATTTAATTGGTAACTTCGACTTGCTTAAGTGGAAAGAATTAATAAAGCTTTAGTATATATTCCATATGAGAGAATGTGGTAATATTGAATGACCTAAACACAAACCTGTCATGATGTCAGAAAAATAACACTGAGGTTTATTGTATATCAGGGATTCCATCAGGTGACTACTACATCATTGATACCGACTATGATGACTATTCCATTGTGTACTCGTGCTCCGACATGTTTGGAATCACACAAATCGGTAAGTATACTATTATCTTAATTAATTTCAATTACCACAGCTTCTCGATTCAATTTTCAACGTTAAAAATAGACGTTTAAGATTATTTTGAAATTTTTTAAATATTTATTATTTATTTTTATTTTATTTATTAATCATTATTATGAGTCATTATGAGATACGTTTCTCTGGTTGCATACACACATTTACACTTGGTATGAAGCCAAACAGTAGTTTAAATAAATTTCAGATCTGGGCTGATACAACATACTTTTATTTTCCGGGATCAAAAACGGTTTGCATGCAGTCTTGTCAATAAAGTTATTATAAAATGGCAATCAGCAACTCACTATAAATGATACATTCACGGGTGTTATAATTGACAGAAAAATCGTTCCAAATTTTCTACGGTGTAACTTTATTGAAAGGTTTGGTCAAGTTTCGAATTCTATCAAAAGCTATGTCCTTATTTAAGCATCTCATTATGATCGCTATATATGTGGTTAGTGAGTTGGTGGGAGATTCGTAGATCTGAAGTTGACTTTAAAGTGCTAGCACACTGAAGTATACTTCCGATTACATCCCGCAGGACACCTCACAATACATTAAAAGATAGTTCCCTATACTGTTAGGGAAGACATTAGGAATGTACTTCCAAGACTTTACAGAACGCCCACGTGATCTGAATTAGACTAGGAACCCGCATTGTATCGCTGCCCATCACCAGGGTTTGTGACTTTAAGTGAAACTTGCCTTACAATAAGCCGTTCAGTTTAAGTAAAATTTGTCGACTCCGGCGTATTCATCTAAAGGTGTATCAAAATAAAAGTGTTAATTTGCTACTGATTACCTTTTCTTTGTTGATAGATCGTAAGGAAAAATCTTAATGACATGATGCTTTTCACTGTTCCAGAACTTGCATGGATTATGTCCCGTGAGAGAAAAAGTTTAACAGGTCGCGAGAGGTCTGGTTTGTACAGGAAGCTAAGAAGGCTTGGGATTGATACTTCTCAATTCATCGTGTCCGATCAGACCGGATGTGACGCATAAAACTAGCATGGCCAACATCACTTCCATTCTAATATCGCAAACCGGTGTGTTTGTCAGGAACAAAACGTACATACAACAATAAATATAAGATAAAGCTCCAAATATGTTATTTTTTCGTCTTGTGATTTTATGTTCATTGTACGCGGTGTTTGCTTTGTTCCAATTATTTTACAACTTCAGTCTCCTTTCATTCTGTGTATGAAACAAAACAGCATCGTCTTATTTAAGACAAAATGCCGAACTGCACATAATATTTGTAATCCTGAATTTGAGTCAATATAAAACACATTTACATGTACAAAATTTCTAGCTCTGTACCAAAGAATCACACTTTACATAGATCAACAATGAAGCTGTAAGACATTTGACTAGATCTGTGTCGGAAAACGGGTCTACTCATTTATTTGAGGGGGAAAACTTCAGAAACCTTTATTTCGAAATGAAACATACCAAATACAACTATAACCACGTGTCTTGGTCGATAATGTTTCAACCCACAACGGTTTTGTGAAGAAATGTACACGAAAAAAGATAAGTATAAGACATTAAACCCGTATGAAAATATTTCAGGACGTAATGAAAGGCGAATACTTTTGGTACTGGGTTGGACTATTGGGCGGAACGAGGCGGAATGGCTTAGTAAAGTGCTTCGTTCTCATGTTCTCACACCCTCCTCCTTTGTCATCCAGATAAGCCATCTTGGTGGCTTTAATGACAACACATCACTAGACGTTTCGAACTGTATGGCCTGGTGTTGCTAATCCTGACGTAATATATACATGTACCATTGACAATTTCATGTCATAGACGAACTCCCTTGAATCTGTGCAAATGTCTCCAATAGCGATAACCAGTCAATTGCCGATTTCTGAAGTTGTTTGAGCATGCGTGAAATTTGAAATATTTCTGGGTTAATGAGTGTCGTCTGCATAGAAAGGCAGTTGAAATTTTAAAAAGGTACGAACATGTACATTTTAACCCCTTGAAGGGCCGTCTTATCCTTTACTTGTGATTTGCAACCTGTGACATTGTGTTTCTTGGGCAAGACGCTATAGCCAAATACCTCTGGATGGCATGTGACGGGACTCGTGTACATTGTTCAGCGAGGTATCCTCTACGAACCACAAAGAGACCTCCCCTCAAAGTGATCATTCTGGTCCTATACAAAGGACAATTCACTTTCCAACAATCACTGAACCTTCTTAATGTCGCTATAAACCCTACAAGACTTCAATGGGGCATGATGTGTGGCTATTTTTGTTCTAGATGTGGCTGTTGTTAGTTGTTTCCTGATAAAATGATAATAATTTTACTCTTGCATGGAGATCAGGTCCTTTGACAGATTCATTTTCGATACAAAGTTGAAACGATTTATAACCGTAATGACAGTAAAATAGTAATTTCTTGAACAATATTTTGATTTAAGAATTTTCGAATAATTTCAAAAGTTGTTCGTTTTTTCAATAACATTTATAGTTGTTCCCAAAAATCTATTCTCATGTTTCAAACGATCTCTTGGAAACTTTTACCTTTGTATATTTGATCCTACCGTCAATCGCATACAGCACGGTTTTCATCTGTAGCATTGTGGTTAGACATTTTATTTTTGGTAGAGCTACACGATTATGATTTGACATTTCTTGTTACATCATAATACTGAGTTGACACATAAAATTGTTTTTAAAAAATTGCATTGGACTCACTCTTTAATTACAAATTGTTTTGTTTCGAACAAAATATTCAATATCAATTTTTCGATAACATATTTTATTGTAAAACATAACAGCAAATAACATCAAATATACTGTAAATTAAAATAAATTCATCATATATAAAATCTAAAACATACGTTCATCATGTTTCTGTATGTGACTTTTTTTTCTGAAACCGTTTGATAAGGATATCATCACTACGGAAAAGGGAATCTTGTCTCTCTAAAGGAATGTCTTCGACATCAAATGCTTCCAACATCAGCTGAAACAAAACATTTAAAAATTTTACGATTAAATATGTAGATATGACAACATTTGACACAGAAAGATTGATAACTTGTTATAGTAAACTTATTGGTGACTTGTCAAATTTATTACAATGGGTCTTTGAATTATGGCAAGTAATTCCTACAGCAATATACAGACAAGACAAGGACTTGGCTTTGTAAGTGGTAAATTTACTATATCAGAAAGAGCAAGATGTGTTTATGAAACACTCTGCCCATGGTAACGACAATATTCTGAAGTGGGATATCATATAACTATACTGTGTAAGGCATTTGCTAATTGCATTCAAACTTTGTCAAAAAACTTTTATCTTCTAACAATGTAATGAACCTGAGAACCTACCTCTAAGAACTTGCGCTCCAGTTCGGGTTTATTCCCTGTGGTTCTCTGCTCATAACAACATAACACAACTGTTTTGTCTGAACAGAGAGAACAGACAGTTTCCACTAATGGACCAAGAGACTGCAAAAATAAGTATAGATACACATTCTTTACAGAGTTTGACCAAAAAAAAATTGAAAACATCAAAATAATGCAATGAAATTGTTATCATGGTGAAAAAATGTTTTTGACTACATGGATCAAATAGGTTAGTTATAAGTACCAGTAGGTACTGTATCTATTTGGCAGATTGTACAAAAAACACACAAGTGAATAGCTCCTTTTAATACATAGTTAAGAGTTAGATACAGTCAAGCAAACAATGAATTAAACTGCATCATACAGTTGTTTTGTCCTTCTAGGACTTGTCAGTGATGCTAAGGGCCTAAATGTTGAAGCCTAGGAAACCATTAAGGAGAGATCAAAAGAAAAGTCAAATCTAAACAGGAAAGTGTACAAGCCCCAAAACTAATTTTCTTGTTTTACAATTTTCATATATCAGTTGATTTTAGAACAATGTCAAGTACCTGTGAATGTTCTAAAGTGTGCTATTATTCAAGTGAATTAATATTAACAACAAACCAATGTCAACCACACAAAATACCCTACAATCACTTCCCAACAAGATAAACTCAATCTTATCATGAGAATCCTACTTTTTCATAGTAGATACAGTCTGCCATGAGAACATAGTCAACAGTCCGTTCCAGTGACTCTTCTCCCCACTGTAAGGACTGGGCTACAGCAGTCCCTGTTATGTGATGTTTGTTGGTGTTGATGTTCAGATTCATCAGTGGCAGGAACTCTGGTAAATCTGTGACAGTTACATCAGCTCTATGAAGATAAAATGTTACAGTGAATTTACTACATTAGAAGCAATAGATATAGTGGGGTTGACGAATGATCCCTGACACAAATTTATTACAGGTTATTCCGTGAAATTTGTATTTGGTCTTATTTATGACCCTACTGTTAAGACATGTTACAATGGAGAGTTCGTAAGTTGTGAGGGAGTTCAAAGATTTTAGACTTTGGAACAGTTTTTAAAAAATGTACTTTTTTGGTACTATAAAAATAATAATAATAAACATAAAGATGTGGTAAAGGATTCTCAACATCCAAATACAGTTTTGTTGTTTATTCTGGATAAGATTACTTAGAGATGTTTCCATTGCTATGTGGCCATCACAGCTGAGATATCTAGTGAACACCACATGGCATTTTACCTGGAATATTATTAATTTTTTAGACTTATGGAGTAATGGTTCTTACGGTATATTATATAACTATAGCACATTAAGATCTTGTTCTATCTTGTTTCAATCTAGGCATCAATTTAAGATACAGTTATGGCCTGGAGACAAATCTTAACAAAAGACAACTCTGCAATTAGGAAGTTACATGCCCTTTCTTTGGTTTAATGCATATAATTTTAGTATGAGCAATGTATACAACACCATTCATTATTCTAGTTTCCATATGTTAACAAAGTTATGCTTGAAACACAAAATTATAATAAGGGCAATAACCCTAAATAAGGGGTTGTGGGCCTTGAATCCAGTACAATGGACATGAAATTTGAGTAACTAATGTACACACCAACTTTTATGATTCTTGCTTAACTGTGGACAAGAAAAGGACAGACAAATGGGCAGAAAGGCAACTATATGCTCTCCAGAAAATTTCTGTGGAGTATGAAAATGTAAAGATAAACACTGTAACAGCTCATTACATATCCATTTATTTGAGCCTGGACAAGGTTGACAAACAGTAAACTACTGTTAGTGTATTGGTAATTAAGATGTTAAGGCACTGTCAACCTTAACTCGAGTCCATGCTGTCGTCATTGAGTCCTTGGGAAAGACACTTCAGACTAATTGTTTTATATTTTATTCAACATGTCCCCTGTACTATCAGACCAAATTATTTTGACGTTCTATTGACTTTTTATATCAGTCTGGAGCCGATGAACTCCTGACCCATATTAAAAAGTGGATAAAACATCCTAATAATTCAGACTTCTGTACTAGATGCTATTTAGTGAGGTAACTGGCACCAGCTACAACAAAGAAGCCTGTATCAAAATGACTTTGTCTGTTCCTGGGACGAGAAACACAGAACACAAGTAAAAATAAACTAACTATAACAGACATTGGATTTTCCGGATCTGTACGGCCACATTTTGACTTGACATTTACAATCCATTTTCAGTTTATTTCACACGCGTTACTAGTTTGCAATCGACGAAGTCACAGTCAGCCGAGTTGTGTTAAAAAGGAACAAATGGTTAACGTAGATATCTATTTCAAGTATTTATTTACCCGTAAACTGCAGCGTACACACCAAGTACACCTGTGCCGGCTCCCACATCCACAACATCTAATCCGCGCCATGAATTTCCACCGTCGAAGTCGGCAGTTTCGAGGTATTTACACAGCACTAGCGCCGCATCCCAAACTACACAACCAACATCACCCACTTCTAACTGATGTATTTTAAGGATTTGGCCATTTTTCATTTCTAATTCACGAATGAATGTGTTTTCTATGGGCGCAGACATATTGAAAAGATCAACTTCCGGTTATGTATAGTCTGCACCATATATTCTTGTTTTAAAAATTGATAAAGGAATATTGAATGCAACATGAGTCACGATGATATATTGAAATTGAATACAGATTTATTATTCGTTTAATGAGTGTGAATTTTTTATACATGATAGATATTTTGATTTTTGAATTTTTAGTTGATTTTCTGAAACTAACTATAGATATAAAAATGAGAGGGAAGTACAAAGCAAGTGGTTGATACTCTCAGCATGTCAAGATTGGAACTAGAAATTTTAGAGTTCATTCGTCCAGAAGGAAATAATAAGAATTTATATATTACCGGTATACCATGGATGGAAGAAGCTGAGATAATAGTAAGATGTGTAGATGTTAAAAGATGCTTGGATTTATTTTGCTTTCAGTTTCACTTTCAAATACGTACGTACACGTTTGTATATTGCATAATAAATGTAAGTTGTATTGTCGTTGTTACTGGGCCACAAGGCTTTTATCATTCTTAGAGATTTTATATTAGCCTATATATCTAATCTGATCTACACTGGCACTAATTTCTGGCAATGAATAATCCAAGGAAACATCTATAATTAGCCATGAACTTTGTTAAATATCAGATACAAGTGTAATACATAAACAGAGGTCATAGGTCATTATTTGTTACAATTAACAAACATACATACATGTACAACTACTCCCACATTAAGAAAATCTAGTATACATATATGAATAGATACCGATGTAACAGAGGTCATTTATTTCAATCCCTCTGCTGGGTATCAAACCCAGAACCTAGAGTCCTACATTTACATTGTATCTATAAGGTTCATATCATAATATTTGTTATAAACATGAATGTATTGATGATTCTATTCGCAATGGATGAACCAGAAGTTTCTTGCTAGACATGAAATCAGGTGATTGGTGTAATTGTTTATCGGTAATATATACATATACTGACAGTCCTGAATACTGTCAAATAATTTTCACAAGTGCTTATATGTCACAATTGGTGCAATAACAACGCTAAAGATCAGACAACTAGCAGTCCTTAAGTTACACATTTTAGGAGTAGATAACTACATTACAATGAGGCTAAACATAATGTATATTGTACCTGTATAATTCAGAATTCTCAAAAATTTCAGATCATACATTATTGTCATTAAGTCTCTTAACATTTTTGTCTTTTGCATGTTTACAGGATAAGTTCTATCAGCTCTTTACAGTCTTTGGCCCTGTATATGGTATACGTCTATGTCCAGCTAGCATAAAAATATCCCGACCCGTGTCTGAGCCAGACACTCCACCTTTCAATAGTCAAAAGAGGGAGGCACCGGCTGACAGTGACAAAGAAAAATCAACACCCCCTGATTATAACAAAGAACAAAATGGGTACTATGCTTTTGTGACATTTTATCTGGCAATGAGTGCTAAACGAGCAAAGGATGATTTAAATTGCCGTCTTGTTATTCAAGGGAATGAATGTAAGGTATGTACCTCTATTATACCAGTTTGTGACCCATGGATGCTACACATACTTACAGTATGACTGTTATTTTCTTAAGACTCTGTGCTGATCTTAAAAATAAAACACCAGGTAAATTTGAAGACGTTTTATTGAACATACAAATCTGTAGTGTGAAAGAAGCTGATGCAACATTTCTTGAGATGTTAGGTAAAAAAAGTACCTGCAAAGGATAATTGAATTTAAGTAGAATCTCTCTTTAAAACTCTTTTGCACACTTTCTGTTCTTCCTGATAAGATTTCAATGTACTATGTTATGAAGTACAGAAGATGAATTAAAATTTGTGACCTACATGTGTAATTAGTCCCATTCTGGGAACCGGGGCAACATCGTTTTGCATTCTTTCTGTTTGTCATGTTGTGTTTCTTGTGTGGAGTGCAATCTCCTACACTAGTACTAACTTGAACTTTATTTTTTTAGAGTATGAGTTTACCTTGGTGAGGCAGTGTGCCATGTATTGTATATATAGGCCACTCTGACACACATTTTGACATTGGATTTAAATCAAGAAAAAAGGTTTTCCTTAATCTATCTTCTATACTATTGGTCACTTGAACTTTACACTTTGGGCAATGGTTCATCTGCTGTGCATTCTTGGTACATAATGTCATACTCGGTGGGAAACAGTATAATTTATTGATTCTCTTGTTTTTTTATTTGGATGCTGCTTTAAACTCTCTTACTGTAACAAACACATAGATCATCATATGTACTCAGTAAGCTTAAAATTACAAACTAATCAATTACAATGATCCTGTAATGGAGACCAGGGTGGTAACACATTACCAATGGCTTATTCAGAATGTAAAATTTTCATATTTGAAGGCTTCCCACAAAGTCTGTCTACACATGCTTAATATTATACATTGGTAACCGTACACTGTAATATTAGAGTGCATTTATGAAATGATTGTGTCATGTATCACTTATTCAATAATTTAACATTACATGTATATTCTAATATTGTGATATTCCAGATTTCCACAGCTAAGAGAAAGAAGGAGATGATTCGAGCATCTTTACACTTTACTAAGTGTCAGGAACTGGCAAACCACTACATAGGCTTCAACGGATGGTCTACTTCAGTCAAACTGGTACCGTAACATGCCAAATGTGTTTGTTTTTATTGTTTTGACTTCAGTACTATAAAATTACTCAGATTTTGGAAATACTTTATTTCACAAAGTTTCCACTTCAGACATATGGATACTCATAAGTACACGATTTCCCTAACACTGACTTAGAAATGACTTTAAGTTCACAAATGATATGCTATTAGATACCTGAACTCTTCAATACTGTGATATCTATTACCAAGTCAACACGAATGCCATCCATTTTTGTAACATACAGCAAAAGGTTTGAATTCACATTTGGCTCTCCTCGCGTATTAACACAAAAATAAATCCCAGGTGAAATATACATGATTTACAGAAATTCCAAAACAGGTTTGAATCCCTTAAATTATTTCCATGATATAAAGTGCATTTAAACGACTAAAATACTTTAATTCAAGGTAAGAATTTAATCACACTAATTTTGTTATTAGAAAAAAAAACCTGCTTTTTACTTTTCCAAATTTAATGACATATAGTGGAACACCATTTTATATAACATACCAGTATATAAAATAAATTCACATTAAACAGACATGATTTGGCAGTAGGAGAAAGAGCAAAGTGTTTTCAAATGATTTCACATGTCATCGTTTTATAGACTGCATATTTGCATCAGTGTGTAGATGAATTCTGAAAATAAGGTCCAGCAACACAGAATAAGTATTAGATTGAAGCCAAACCATACTTGTCTGTCACAAGAATTTATTCTTAGTACATGTTTAGAAGCATACCTCTTTTCCATTGCAGCTTGATAGTGACTCAGAGGAGCAAGATGGTGACTTGAAAAGGTTGAGGTTTATGTGTGTAGTAACACTCGACATTCCTGTACATGGTTTAAGTACAGCTGGTCTCGGGGCTTGGGAAGAGGCTTGTCTCACTACAGGTGATCTCATTATGTAGGATGGTCCCTCCCTGTGCCATTTCATAACAACATGGAGTACTACATGTACAAGATAATCTTTAACCATGCCAAATACATTGTTTTACCTGAAGGAAAACAAAAAAAGGAAATGAAGAAACAATTATTGTCCTATGCACAATTTCATGTCTACTAAGTTTGAAAAGAAATCGGTGAAAAAAATGAGGGGATCTACAGACAAAAACCTTCAGTCAAAATGATTAAAAAGCAATAACCCTTCCAAAAACTGAGAGTGCCTCTGGGTAAAATAGTGCTTTAAATTTTGCTGATAAAGCACAGCAAGTTATAAAGAGGTTAGTGAACAACTGACAGAACAAGTCTGCAGGAAGATTAAAGTACTGAAGAGAAACAAATGGCAAGAAATAATGATAAAAAACTTTTGTAAAATAATGTTACCAGAGTTACCTCCCTTCCACATTTTAACCGTCTGTCATATGTATCTTCAGATCCCACAAGCAGGGCCAAGGCAGTCTGTAAGGCTAAGAAACTATCCTACCAGAGAGCTGTGGAAGATGCTTTCTCCAGGGTCCTTCTTATTGTTCTGAACAATGGCAAAGTTTCTGTAGAGATAGATACCACTAGACCAGATGCCTTGCTGGCCCAAAAACAAGCCAATGCAGAATCTGTTTTAAAGGTATAGTAAAATTACATGTATTTGTAGGATGAAAAATAATGCACACAGTTTTAAATCCACAATCTATAATCCATGATTACTTTTCATTGTAATCACTTCACCAATAATGTAGACCCAAATCCCAGGACACCCATAACCATTCATACAACCGTATACACATTCCTTCACATCTGTCCATCAAAATAAGGCATTGGAACTAACTGCCAGCTAGAAGTTGATATGTTTCAATGTAACCTTGTATTTTCTTTTCACTGACAAGATTTATTTGTCTAAGAAGAAATCCAAACATGGAAGTAACTGTGACACACATTTTTCTGTTCGCATATTTAGTTGAAAGTGTGAGAGTGACTGAATTTAAGTTATAAAACCTTCTCCAATGCTGACTTAAAAGCCAAAAGCATTTGGTGTTGATATCTTATATTATGCTTTGCTAAACCTTAATTTGTAATGGACATATTAATTATCATACAGGTTAATGAATTAGACGAGGAACCAAAGGAAGAACAAGACAATATATCTTTTGATATGGACAATATTGATGACATCAACCTTCATATTCTTCATCAGTTGGAAGACGAGATGTAAATCAGGTCAAGGCATTCTTGAATCAGCTTTTGTCATGGAGTTATGGAGAAAGAACTACAACCATTCTTTAAAATAAGATGTGAACCAAAGGTGACTTTAAATAAGTCATTGTCAACAACCAGCATGATTTCCTTGATTTCACTGAAATTCCTCCACAGTGAAAGAGTTGAAGTCACTTGATTGATTACAACCAATGCCAATATCATGCAAGTTATTTATGTCCAATGAAGATCAAAATTACTTATCAAGTCTGCAAATACAAATTATGATGGGGCACCTCAACTCAACTGTTCATTGTTATCTATTTTTTGTTAAATTTTCATTAATCATTTGAAAATGTTATCAATGGCTTTACATTTGTAAATTTTCAATACCTTTGTATTTAATATTTCAATAAATATTTTGCATTTTCATGTTTGTGGAGTTGACGATTTATCATACTGCATCCACATGTAGTTCTTGTCACCTACAGTGTACATCCACATGTAGTTCTTGTCACCTATAGTGTACATCCACATGTAGTTCTTGTCACCTATAGTGTACATCCACATATAGTTCTTGTCACCTAGTGTACATCCACATGTAGTTCTTGTCACCTATAGCGTATATCCACATGTAGTTCTTGTCACCTATAGTGTACATCCACATGTAGTTCTTGTCACCTATAGTGTACATCCACATGTAGTTCTTGTCACCTATAGTGTACATCCACACATAGTTCTTGTCACCTAGTGTACATCCACATGTAGTTCTTGTCACCTATAGTGTACATCCACATGTAGTTCTTGTCATCTAGTGTACATCCACATGTAGTTCTTATCACCTTTAGTGTACATCCACATGCAGTTCTTGTCACCCAAAAGTGTACATCCACATGTAGTTTTTGTCATCTATAGTGTACATCCACATGTAGTTCTTGTCACCTTTAGTGTACATCCACATGTAGTGTACATCCACATGTAGTTCTTGTCATCTAGTGTACATCCACATGTAGTTCTTGTCACCTTTAGTGTACATCCACATGTAGTTCTTGTCACCTATAGTGTACATCCACACATAGATCTTGTCACCTTTAGTGTACATCCACATGTAGTTCTTGTCATCTAGTGTACATCCACATGTAGTTCTTGTCACCTAAAGTGTACATCCACATGTAGTTCTTTTGTCATCTATAGTGTACATCCACATGCAGTTCTTGTCACCTATAGTGTACATCTACACATAGTTCTTGTCACCTAGTGTGAATCCACATGTAGTTCTTGTCACCTTTAGTGTACATCCACATGTAGTTCTTGTCACCTATAGTGTACATCCACATGTAGTTCTTGTTGCCTATAGTGTACATCCACATGTAGTTCTTGTCATCTAGTGTACATCCACATGTAGTTCTTGTCACCTAGTGTGCATCCACATGTAGTTCTTGTCATCTAGTGTACATCCACATGTAGTTCTTGTCACCTAAAGTGTACATCCACACATAGATCTTGTCACCTAGTGTACATTCACATGTAGTTCTTGTCATCTAGTGTACATCCACATGTAGTTCTTGTCACCTAAAGTGTACATCCACATGTAGTTCTTGTCATCTAGTGTACATCCACATGTAGTTCTTGTCACCTAGTGTACATCCACATGTAGTTCTTGTCATCTAGTGTACATCCACATGTAGTTCTTGTCACCTAAAGTGTACATCCACATGCAGTTCTTGTCACCTTTAGTGTACATCCACACATAGATCTTGTCACCTAGTGTACATCGACATGTAGTTCTTGTCATCTAGTGTACATCCACATGTAGTTCTTGTCATCTAGTGTACATCCACATGTAGTTCTTATCATCTAGTGTGCATCCATATGTAGTTCTTGTCATCTAGTTTGCATCCACATGTAGTTCTTGTCACCTATAGTGTACATCTACACATAGTTCTTGTCACCTAGTGTGAATCCACATGTAGTTCTTGTCACCTATGGTGTACATCCACATGTAGTTCTTGTCACCTAGTGTACATCCACATGTAGTTCTTGTCACCTATAGTTTACATCCACATGTAGTTCTTATTTCCTATAGTTTCCATCCACATGTAGTTCTTGTCACCTAGTGTGCATCCACATGTAGTTCTTGTCACCTAGTGTGCATCCACATGTAGTTCTTGTCACCTATAGTGTACATCCACACATAGTTCTTGTCACCTAGTGTGCATCCACATGTAGTTCTTGTCACCTATAGTGTACATCCACATTTAGTTCTTGTCATCTAGTGTACTTCCACATGTAGTTCTTGTCATCTAGTGTACATCCACATGTAGTTCTTGTCATCTAGTGTACATCCATATGTAGTTCTTGTCATCTAGTGTGCATCCACATGTAGTTCTTGTCACCTATAGTGTACATCCACATGTAGTTCTTGTCATCTAGTGTACATCCACACATAGTTCTTGTCACCTATAATGTATGAGTCGCATCCACAACCATTTGTAGTTCTTGTGACCTGAAAGGGGTACAGAAACTGATCACTGGACACAGCTTTCATCCATCAGCTTTTCTTTTAACAACTTCTTCTGAAGAACCAGTTAGTGAAGGATTATGATATTTGGCAAAGTAAAGTTCTAGTCAGGAGTAATATTTTGCCAAAAGGTTTCTTGGATGAAGCCAGATTCATCTTTGATCAAAAAGCATTTTGTCAAAAAAATAGCTTTGAGCAATATTCAGTATTAAAGGAATAAAATTTATGAAGAAAACAAAATTACTTCTGAATGAACAAGACATATCATGATACTATATAACAGGTTCATTTCACAAGCAACAAATTTCCTGATTTGGTGTCACAATTAAAATAATAGATTTCAGTTGTGTTATGATTTGTATAATGTAAGTCATTCTCAAATGAAATTTTGGTTATTTTTGGTTATTAGATAAATGCCATGCCATCTTCAGAGGAAAATCAAAGGCTGGTAAAAAATGCCATTATACCAAATTTGCTGAAAGTTCACTGTGATGAAGACTGAAAAGTCTGCAAAGCTTGACACTTTTTCAGTATCATGGGTCACATTTGTTAAACAAAATGGCATGGCATGATTTGACCAGGATTTTTTTTTATAAACAAGATTCCAGCGGGAACTGTGCACCCACCATCACAGGACTTTTAAGTTGGAATGTTTCCCTTCTTATCTCTTGTTTTTGATCCCCACAAAAATCAAATATGCAAAATAGAGAACCAAGAGGTGCCAACTGATAAAATCTGCAAAGGATCCATCCAGAAATTTTCAAGAAATTGCAGTAACAAACTCTAACAGCCAAAATCCTAGGAGGCTGTCTTTCATCTATTTTGTTTTTTCTGATTAGCCACAAAATTGTCAAATCATCAATGCAAAATTAAGGTTCATGGATTCCATACATATGAAATTTGAGAATTACACAGCTAAAACTTTATCAAGAAATAACAATAGAAAACTTAAAACTGACAAAATTTTGACTGAATATTCAAATGTTAACGTACAGATTTCAGTTTGTAACTTATGAGAATCATGAATGTTAAGAAAAATAAATGCTTTTCTTATATCATCAGAAAAGTATTCAAAATTAATGAAACAGGTAGTTCAAAGTTTGGTGAAAAGATGAAATGGCCCAAAAATTCCTTCTAATTTAACAAAATATGTTATTCTTTGTTTTGATATTTATATTTGGAAATATTTGTAAATCTATGATTCCTGCTGTTACAGAAGTTCATTCATAGTTTTATGTCATCAGTAAATTTCCAAATTTATGTACAAAAAAATGATGCAACACCTTTTTGTAACAAAAATAGATTTAATGAGCACTTCACATTTGTAATAAAATCCACTCCCAAGCACATACAAGAAATGTACATCAAATATTTCATTTACACATTATCACACATGTTAGTATGGCATTCTGATTTCAAACAATTTATTCCACCATGTTTCATACTATATAATATAATTTAAATGTACCTGGTTATAACATTTTATACCAAAACGACATCAATATTTTACCACTTCTATTTTAATTTTCCTAAAACATGTGACTTCTCTATGTATGATTTCTTTAAAAATGAAAAACAAACAAAAGACCCAAGGACCTTAACAGTCACCTAAGTTCTAAACTGTTGCTGTTGGTCCTGTAATATATATAATACGAATAATTTCAATTCTGCTTGTAAAGTAAGATGCTTATGTAAGTAAGTGTATAATATTAACTGACATCCCATGATAAAGATGCTAATTTAGAATGAATTACCGGGTAAAATAATTTATGCTGAAAACTGCAGTTTTCCTATGTAAACTACAGGTATACTACATTTTACCTCCTTCCCAGGGGGAAATATGAGACCCCATCCAATTCCCAACTTTGCTACAGCACCTTTAGATCTATGAAGAAACATCTGATTCTACCATAAAGATTAAATTAATTTGACCCCTTTTGGCCTCACCTATTAGCCCTTGGGGGTCAGCCAGTATTAGATTGTGCATACCATCAACTTGTCTTCCTTTATTGATCATTTCAACCCAGTTTGAAAATATTTGGAATGGAAATAAAATATATTATGCTAAATAATGTAATTTTCCTTTTTTCACAATTTTATACCTAAAACACGTTTGGACCCTTCCATCTATGAAGGGCATTTGATTCTACCATACCTGGGCATTGAGAAGAAGATTTTTTAAATCTGAGACAAAATGACTCTTTTGCCCACCATTTACATGTAATTCACAAATCTGGTCCTCCTTTAGCCATGGAAAGTTTCTGCAAAGTTTCATTGAAAATGAAAGAAAAATGATAAAAGTAAAAGACAAATGATGACAAAAGGCAATTGCAATAGGTCACCATAAGACTTTGTCCATGTCAACTAAAATGTGCACATTCTTTGAGTTGATTGGAAGTCAAAATCTATACGAGTCAGAATTGAAATTTTTGTCGTATATTTTGTTTACTTATATTATCATAATTATTATACAATACATGTTTCCCAATGAAGAAAGCACTGCAAATTTGCTTGAAGAAAATTTACGATTGCTGTAATAAATATGAAACTTGCATGAAATAAAACAATGAGATATATTAGCACTATTAAGCAATGCACTGTGTAGCAGCAAGAATGCCTTCAAATCTCAAACAAAATGATATCATTTGGGGATTGGCATTCCCATATAAGATGGTAAAAATCTGCTACACTTGCACTATTCAAATCTAATATTGGTACAATCCCAATTGTTTTAAATCATCACATCTTCTAAAAAAAAAATATAAATACACAACAAACAAAACAGGTTAATAACAAACTCTTGCATAATCATCAACATTCACTTCACAATTATCTTCACTGTTATTTACGATAAGGTAATCTATATATTCCTTTTCTTACCTCGATCATTTATACACACTAAATTATTCCATAATGAAATCAAAGAAATAAACTTAGTTCTCTAAAAGCAAATCTGGCCCAAGTTAAATTACAATTATGTACACAGTCAGAATTATTCTTATGTTCTATCAACATTTCAAATCTAAAAGTTTTTGAACATCACTTTATTACATTTCTGGAGCAGCCTTTTTTCATTTGGATTTCCTTTAAACCAAAGAAAACAAATATTAATGGCTTCCCATTTAATATCATATCATTTTTACCCATTACTCATGAAAAGTACCTATACTTTTCATGAGTGCAAAGCATGAATGAAATATAGATATTCTGTCATTCTTGTGAAATATGTATGATATTAAATGGGAAACTATCAAATATCCTCTATATGTATTGGAAAGTAATAAGAATCACATAAAATGCATATTATATTTTCAGGTATGATTTCCAAATAGGCTTTGTATAGGATCAACATTTAAAATGACCCATATTTCAACTGTATTCAAACCCCATTAACAATTCTTGTTATAACAGATATATCATTAAGCTAATCACTTTTCCATTTTCATCTTTTTGAAAACCCAAATGTTAAAAAAAAAGGAATTTTCTACAAGAGGTCATAGAAGTAGTCAAGCCCTTGACCTATTTCCCAGATGGAGATCCCGGTGCCCATTGTCTTCGCCAGGTCTAGTCGTACTTGTATAGATTTCAGTGTTGGAAAATGGACATTGTGTGTCACACCTGAAGACCTGGAATAGTAGGTTGCAGACATTTTATTCTATATATCCAAGGTTTCTGTTGAGTATGTATTGGAATGCTACATTCCTGTCAAAAAGATACATTAGTTGATAAAGTAAATTTTTTCTTGCAGTCCAAAAGTTTGTCTTCTATGCCAGAGTTAATGAGGTCAAAGTTAACAGGTTTAGTATCTAACATACAGTGAACAGTGACTCAAGGCTACAGACTAAACAGGCATCACACAAATATAAATTTAAATGACATATAATTAAAAGGGACAAGTGAAAATTTTTCTTTGTACATTACTGAACGTAAAACCATAAAAGTCATATTTGTTTAAACTATATTTATCGTTACTTTTAGCCAATGTTGAAATAACGATTTTTATATTCAACGTATGAGGTTTCTGAAAATCAAAACATTCATTGATACAAACATTACTCACTTGTATTCACCAACATGTTCAGCAGTGTCTTCTTTCCACTGTAGCTTTGGCTTGTGTTTCTTCAGTATATCTATGTATCTAAATTAAGAAACATTCAGATTTTCAATGTGCTTTTCTCTATAACAAGCCATGGAAGTTAGACGATGTATTTCAATATTCTATTACATTTGAAAGAGGTTGAGAGTGTCTTGTTTTACACAAACTTAATGATCTTTCACCCATGCAAAGTACAAGCCAAACATAATTTCTTAACACTTTCGAAGATGCATTAGAACTTTTTCTTTCAAGATTGACCTCTGATCCTCGAAGATGGTACTGGTAATTATCATAAATAAACTCATTCAACCACAAAAACAATAAATGTTTAAAATATTAGGCTACTTACTGACTGCCCACAATTGCTCCTCCCTCACCTCCTTTAACCATTGTGAAGTCGTTACCATAAAAGTTGAGTCCTAAAAGAATTTTTGACCTAGATGTTGGATCGTCTTCAGGCACCAATGCCTCAACACAATCTTTGACCCAGTCAATAGGACTATTGGCTCCTGGTCTGTGGATAAACAATGGTATTCTCTTTATTTCAGTGTGATATCTATGATCACTTGGAGATATTCGAGTAAAACATTAACATGACCCCAAGTTTCTAAGATAAATCACCCCTACTTATGGTCTCTATTTACTACATACCAGTATTTCTTTTAAGAAAAGCAAGAAATAAAATCTATGGGTGGTACCCTCTACACAGGCTGGAGTCCTGGGTAAAGATAGATGTGTTATTGGATTAGCTCTGTATGCACATTCAGGTTTTTATCAAAATGGTATACAAATGTTAAAACGATTTTGTGAAAATACAACATTGAAATCCATTATCTCATTTCTTTTTAAAATTATACTGCTGATATGATTGCAGATAACTATCATTAGTTCTCATGTTTAGATCTCTGATGACAATGCAATGCAACCTAGTCTCATTAACTAAAATATGACCTAACTCTCAGATACATCTGGGAAGCCCATAAGTTTTCTTAACAGCCCCATGTGTTGAGGATAATTATAATATGCAAAGTCCGAAAAGCAGTCAAACAGGATGGACAGGGCGTACATCTGATATTGAAGAAAGCCAATGGAATCATATGATTAACAAGAGAACCATAAAATCTGTAATGCTCACCTGGTTAATTCACTGAAATTACTTCATCTAAATCAAATGAAAAGCATTAGAAGATCTATGGCTATTTCCTCTATTAGGCCTGCCAATCTTGGAGGAATGAGATGCATCGTTTATATAAAATCAAGTTCTCTTCACCAATGGATGTTTCAGACCAAAAATAGGATAAAGTTTACTATTCCTGAAGAGAAAGAATAATTTCAATCAATTTGCTATATTTACCATATTGTGTCCTGTCCCTCATGCCCCTGGGGGCCTAGACTCAAAGTATATACAAAATTGATTCTCCATGAACCTAGCTGGCATGTTTCAGACCTATTTGGTACAGAATCCTTACAATTCTAAAAACAGAAGGATTTTTAAGAAATTGTCCTATAGACCATTACTGGATCCTGCCCCTCCTGTCCAAGGGAGCCAGGGCCTTTCATTTTTACAAAACTGATTCCCTTTCACCCAAGGATGCAGGTCTTATTGTACAATTTCTGATGAGAAACCTAATGGAACATTAAAACAGTTGTTTTGCTTACTTCCTCTGACTGGAGAAGTCGTACGTCATTAGACTGAAACCATCAACATTGTTTTCTAGGGCATCAAAGTCCTCCTTAGTGAACATACCTATCACTCCGCTGTAACAAGTAATTGTATGGTTACTGGTAGGTAAGTTAAGTTACAGTCTATTATATACATCATTGGTAACACACAGTAGTCTTGTTAAATGTATGTTTCTCTTTACTTACGACAATAAGTAATAGTACCGTGTAACCAATGTGGGTTACCAATTATTACTATTATGTACTACCAGTTTTTTAATTTTCTTATCATATCGAATCATGATAAATCTCAAAAGTAGAAAATTCAAATTTTGAAATTTTGCTTTCAGATTCAGTTATATATCTTACAATCAAGTGTACTAGAATTCACATATATAATATACAGTGTACATGCAAGAAGGATTTAAGATTCTTATAGTTTGCCATCTATATCCCACATGTATCTTTCTTATCTTCTCAAGCAACACTACAGTGTACTAGCTGCATGCTTCATGTTCATTACAGGGATTACTAACCTCAATCTACACATGAATGGCTCAAGGTATTCATATAAGCAGCATGATAGAGATAAGTTTGAAATGTATGCAAATAGACTATTGTACATCAGCACCAAGTTACATTGAGTTAACAAAGAGGATGCTCTACCACAATTTTCAATGTGGGGAAATGGCTGTATGTACGAATGAAAATGGGTAAAAAAATAAATGGGACATAAAGGATGACTGTAACACAAGGTTATTACTATATCTTTAAACCCAATAAGGTAACATTCTTTGTTTCTGCATCTCTTTAAAAAGAAATTTTCTCCCTATTTTAGAGGTAAACAAAATCAAAATGCTCTCCTGAAAATAGGTGCATGATAGGGTCAGTACAGAGTGTGAAATATGATCCGAGGTACTTACCCTGGATACATAGGTGGAGGGATGACAAGAATGAACAATTTCTTTGCTGTGTGGAACATTTCACCTAGGTGATTCAAGAAGTGTTGCATCTCTCTGAGGAATTAAGAAACAAAATCAGCATAAAACCCTCAAATTTGTTCCTATTTACGTTTGTGATAACCTTATTTGCATCCTGCAAAAAGTCCTGAGGTCCTGTACATAACCTGTTACTCAAAGGCTTAGTACATGATAAACTTTTTAATTTTAATAGTTCTTAGTACATGTAATACATCTCAGAGTTTAATGTTATATTTATTGTTTACTATCTGACGCTAAGCCAGGACTAGATTTTTTTTTTTTAATTTCAAAATCTACCAGGAGCATGCTGTCAACTTTTCTAGATAACCTAGTGAACCCTTGTACATACTTATGAGCCTGTCCTCCAAGCTGTGACCAGATCTCAATCACTACTCCTGCAAACTTGTTCTTCTGCAAGACGGAACAAACATTATGTCAATTTATAAAAAGTAAGCCTGTTAATATCATGACTCATTTCTTTTTAAAAAGACAATGTGATATCAACAGAAGCTTAATTAAGTAGTGATAAGTTACAGTAAATAGTTACTTAAAAGTGTCATACATTTATTCATAGTTTCATAATTGCTATAAAGAGTCTAAATATCTATGGTGTTGTTATGCTGGAGTATATACCTTTATGAAGTCAAGAATAACTTGTATACAATCCTCCATGGCATCTTCACTACTGAAGAGAGCACCATAATCTTTTCCATTCCAGCCATCAAAGAACACACGGGGCACTTTTGAAAAGATACAAAATTTCTTAAAAACCAATATCTATGTGCTAAATTTTACAAATGCATTAGAGTTGTAATGAAAAATAATACCAGTGCACATTGGAAACATCAGTACCTTTATGGAAATATCTGTGTATATCATGATATATGATATTTTAAAAGCCAGGAATTTACGACCTGAAGTTACAACTTGCTGAAATACTGGTATTTGCAACAAATTCAGTATAATTTTCATAATTTACAATAATGAGGAAAACATTACATTTAAAGACCAAGTATTCCTAAAATAATTTGATATAACTAATTTATACATTAAATTTTCAGTGTCATATGTTAATCAGGCATTCCTAGATAATAAGTTCAAGTAATTTGTGTTCAATCCCTTTGATATACTCATCGTCATGACAATTAATGATAATTATGCTGAAAATATATCATTTGATTCATATGACTCTTACAAATTTTGGCATGCTTTCCTGCGGTCACCTCATCTGCCCAGCCTGTACACAATATAAAGTTATATCAATAAAATGGACTTAAAATGTATTTGGAAAGTATTATTAGGTTACAATGGATCCAACATTTAGACAAAACGTAGTTCAGTTTACACATTGGCAAAAATCATTATGTCATACAACTGTCATAATTCATAGATATAATTTGTATCCGAGAATAACTGTCCCTCTTTAAAGGAAGTTGTGATATCCTTAGTTACACAAGTAATGACACTCATTCTCTCACATACATGGTGTACACATGTACACCTTACAAATATATTACCCATGAAATATGATACATATATTATACATTGTATTTATAAACAAAATTCTGCATACCAATGTACTTCTAAGGTAAAAGCACTGCATTGTATGATGTCTTGATGACAAATTACTTGAATTTGTGGTAATTCATCTTTCAAGTATTTGTGATGTGTATCATAAAATAAATGAACATTGTATATCATTTTCAAGAACATACTCAACATCATGTGATCTCTCAATATCAGATTTAACATGATCAACATCATGTGATCTCTCATTATCAGATTTACCATAATTAACATCATGTGATCGCTCAATGACAGACTTACTTTGATCAACATTATTTGATCTTTCAAGAACAGACTTACCATGATCAACATCATGTTATCTCTCAATGATGGACTTACCTCGATCCACATCATGCGAACCCTGTATAAGAAAGGCACCTCCAGGTTTGCGCTTGACTTGAAGCCATACAGGTGACACATAGGAAAACTTCTGTGAAAACCTCTTGGCGATGTTGTAACCATGAGCATTCCACTGCAAAATCACATAAAAGAAAAAGTCGAAGGTACATCAAATTAAATTTGGGAGGTCAGGATTTTTACTTATGGAGTTATTGTTGATATTGTTAATGCAAGCCATAATGTACTTATAGTATGTCTGAAGATAATAATAAACAAGCATTCATTCTTACACTGGTAATCCCTGAGGGCCTATAAGCAACCTCTGATTTAAGTTGGGGAATGGGCTTATTACAGGACAATCAAATAGCATTTGTTGGTAACTCTACTGAACAACAAATAATTTGTGTGGTCTTGTCATCAGGTCAAAGCTTGTATGTGGAAGTTTGCATTAACAGGTGGTATGATAAATGGGAAAGCCAGGGCAAGAAACATTGAAAACATTTGTTTTGGCACATTCATATTTCAGTTCATTACTTTTTGGTAAATTAGTACAATGATAAATTCATCAATCCAATACTACCTGGAACAATGTAAGTAAGGATACATGAACTGCAATTAGTGTAATCATAATTCAGCACAATACTTGAAGCATGAAAAAGCTCAAATACAGTACTGTTGACTTACAGGGGTTACATAGGCCAACGTTTTACCCGGAAACCTCTTGATTTCTTTTTCTACATCACAGTAAGCCTTGTGTTCTCGCAAGATGTCCTTAATTTTGATATCCTCTGTTACAAGGTCTCTGTCAAACACATTCTTACTGCTGTAGTCTTCCTTCTGTGACTTGAACATGAAATTAAAATGGAATATTATGGAAACATAGATGATCATATATATATTACTTAAAAACTTACTTAACATTTGTAAAAGCATATCTTCCAAAATAAGAATTAAAAGTCTCAGATAATCTGCACACTAAATGAAATCACGCAATAAAAACGAAGAAGCAATTCTTGTAGAAAAGGCATTGAAATATAAGAATAAATAGTAGATGTTTTCAAGTAGAAATTGTATTTACAAAGTTTCAAAATATCTAGTTGGGAGGACAAGAAGCCAAACACTATTGTTAAAGAGACCACTTACTCAGAAACAGAAAATAGCTAGTATGAAAACTTTGCACCAATTTGCAAAATTGAGCAAATATTGATAAAGCAGCATTACACAACCTTAACTTCTATATCTACAGGGAAACCTCCATTGAATGCCTACCACAGGCCATTATAGCTGGACTCAACACCCACTTATAGACTTGAATTAGGTTATATCTTTCAGAGCTTCAGAACATTTTTGACTTAAAATGTTTCCTGTTCCTCCAGTATATAGTTGCCATTATTGCTAGTGGATGTAAACCTGTTCTTAATCTAAGCAGTAAAAGAAATAAATACCATTCTTGTGTTTTTAATACATATTTTCTTTTTTGCAAAACTGGGGTATATCAGAATACCAAAATGACAACTTATGTATATGTACCCAGTTATATTTTCCGAGCACCCAGCTATCCTATAATCCTAGAGAAAACATTTCATGACAACACCTCTAAAGGATGACTGCCTCAATATCTAATACATTCCATATGAAGATCACTAAAACTGTCTCATCAATATATTTTCATTCCATTTGATTTGGTGTTTATCTGGTAACCTCTCTGAGAAAGAAGTGTATGATTCCATTGCTACTTTGGGCAGTTTTTATTTCTCAGGAAGCTAAATTCAGTCAGGCTGTCATGTGTTGTCATGATTGTGTCCTTAGGCAAGACATTTTACCCAAGCTGTTCTATATACCATGTAGTAAGTCGTCTTCATGTTGTTCAGTGGGTAATCCACCAGCTGCGAGAAGACACCACCTAAAGATGATTTTGTGGCAAAAGCTGATTTAGTTATCTCTATTTCCTTGTCCTTTTAAGGAGTTACATGTAATGACAACACAAAGTTTTAAATCTCATTTTCATACATCTATGCCTTGAAATATATTTGTTATTTAGGACCAATCACCTTTTTCTTTTTCTGACCCTTGGAGAGAGTGGCTTCAGTAGCTATCAAAAGATGGCTGGTGATGATCAGACAGATCATGTGTCGACACAGAGTAATGAGGTCCATCTTCAATCAATCTCACCCTCTCTGCATATATAGATTTAAAATATTGAAGACTCATGTATTTCTAAAACAAGAAAATGACCAAAATGCAATAGAGTAAACTTTCATTATTATTGTTTTAACAAATTCCTATTTTAAATCAATCTGAAAAAGGAGATTCAAAAGATCTCAGGAGTCTACTATGCATCTATATATCTTCAATGTGATAATTATATGCTACTTATAATAAGCAAATGTGTACAACAGGTTTCGTCATTTTATTAAAGGTATAATTCAATCTCCTGTGATAGCAATGAAAAGTTTCTCCACAATTATTTTGAATAAAATGCAACTAACACAGTAGATCACACCTAAAGGAATGTTTGGCTTTTAAACAAATTATGGTTGGTCTCTCAATATCAGTGTTAGGTGAATCTGTACATCTGTTTCCATTCTTATAAAAGAGGCCCATATAAAGGACCAATCAGAATATTACGCTTGGTCACAATTCCAAAACTGATGTAGAAGAAAATTAAAGGTTTACAATTATTTTCACAATTGGATACTGCCCATAGCAAGGCCACAGTCATTTTTAATACAAAAATGAATCCCCTTCAATACAATTTCTTCAAATTAAATATGCATCCCTAATGAAGGATTTTAGTGACAATATAATTCAATCTTTAATACTTGGCATCCCCCTCTTTGCCCTCGGCGGTCATACAGACCACTGTTTTTTTTGTTATATATTTTAACAAATTTGCTTGTTATTATGTTATAACTCTCTGTAATCTGCCAGAAATTCTCTACTGTATGTGATATGAATTTCGTATACCGAATTTCAATTAGTTCTCTCCCATCATCACACTGCCGTCTCTCCACCAAACTACACGTTGTTTACAGTATAACCTTTGTCAGCCTCCACATTCAAAAGAGTTCTACGTCATCAGTTTAAAGGCGGTAAACATGAAGTCAATGTTACGCAAACGTAGAAGTTACTGTTTATCGTGTATGAAATGTAAATATATCTTACACGTTCATTTGAAATGTTAGTTTCTTATATATTTGTTTGTAATAGTGTTCAATATTTTACACCTCTTTATTTGAAAGTGAAAAGTGTTTATAACCCATGACCAGGGCAGGGATGTAGATAACTGTTATCTACGTCCCTGCCATGACTGATCAATCAAAATCGATTTTCAAATTATCCGGATGTTCAATAATATAATATGTTTTCAAGCTTAGCATAGATCGCTAGATCAGTGAAGAAATATCTGAGTTATCAAAATACGTCCCTGGTTCAAGTAAAATCCAGTATGGCTGCCAGATGACCATATTTTCCTCAGATCAGTCCCAAAATAAATCATACAACTCAATATTACAAAAGGATAATCTATACATTTGAAGAAATTACGAAACATCGGACCGAAATTCACCCGGGTTTGCGTTTAAATAATACTTGACCTGACAACACTATTTAAAGTTGTATAAAAATCCGTGGTTGTCAATGACACCTATTTGTGAATCAGGGAAATCTAGTCTATATTGTCTTTTAAAAAGACGACAGATTTTTGTGTTAATGATGAATTTATGATTTTCCACAAGTTTTCGATTCCTGAGAGCGCCGCAAAATATCGTCGGGCGTTATATACAATTTTCAATCCAAATCCCGCAGATTTTATGAATACCTAACCAACTAATGTTGAAAGGATTATCAGAATGTGATTTCCATTCCCTCGGCCAAAAGACCTAGTTTTATTTAGTTATTTATTTATTTACAACGAGCCCCTGACGTTCTACACCAAACCAATGATATGATATCCGGATACATGAATCACTACAGTAAATACCAGTACTGCCATCTGCTTAGAGAGGTTTTTAATTCCTGATTCAGTGAAACACTTTTATTCCGGAATCGTCATGGATTTTCTTACCAAAGGGTTCCAGGACCAGAGCATACAAAACGGGAGATAATCTGCAGCCTTGTCTTACACCGTGCGTGATTGAGGAGGGCTCTGATTTAAGTCCATTAGCAATGATAAACATGAAACATCTTTGTATGAACTGCAGACCTATTTACATCATGTAATATAATCAGAATGCGTTAGCAACAGGAGGGTGTCGTAAACAGAGGTTAAGAGCGTCATAGGCTTGTCAGTTTCAAGTCTGACAGCATCCATCTTGTCCTAGCTACTTACAAGTCTATACCACAGGCCTCGCCTCTATTCCCGATTCCCTCTTCGCGTATCTTCTCTCTCACTATAGGCCTTTCCCCCTTGCCGCCTGAACATTTAATCCTCTGGAAATGGGTTGTTCCCAAACATTACCGCCCTGCACAGGTTGCCCAGACAATGCCCTGGTGCCTGAGAGCACCCTCGCCATGTTCCATTTTCTCACTCTTTTAAGTAGTTTCACTTTAAAAAAAAAATGCGTCCCTTCTAACCTGCAATCCTGGATCCGCCCCTGAAAATATCAATTTGATCTATAATTTCCCCTTTTACCTTCTTCGTGCTCCATCTTTAAGGACTTCTCATTAAAAAAAAAACCAAAAAAGTGAGCCCTCGACTTCCATCATGGATTCCTGTAAATTCCTAGAATGTAAATCATGTACTGTAAAAAGATTAATTTTCGTGGGGGTTTCATTTTAGCTTATTCTTGTGTACTCTTGATCAGCGCATTTAAATATCAAAGAGTTCACCAAACACAATTTATTGATAATAACTCACATTTATAGTAACATACACTTTTGTATATGTTGAATATGTTGAATATCTACAACAACACGTGATAGTGGGGCGGATATGTGACATTTTTTTGTTGAGTTGTGCACTTCCGGAAAGAAGCATGATAATTTGGCCTAGGGGGGTCTTGGGTATGCTGATTTCAAAAATTGCGGGAACCACGACCTTACTCCAGCCGTTCACGCCAGAGGTCAGTGGGCTCATCAAATAACAGCAGCAGCTCTGTTCATCCTGCTTCAGAGTTCATATGGTGAATATCAAAAGAACACACCAGAAGATGAACAACTATGCTATGATGTTTGATTACTGGTTTAAAGTCTGGCAGTTGGAATGCCTACTCCTATAGTTCCTTAGATCACAGCGTCAACCAAATTTTATGTCCTACTTGGATTCTCTTGGAAAAATTATTCCATGGATGTTTACCCTTGACCACTTCCACTATTCACGATGGATGACAATTCATGTCAAAGATCTTCTTGCCCTGGAGATTAACAGTCCAGACACCTATGCAGAGTTCCTTAAAGGCAACTTCGTCACTCAGAGAAATCTACACTCAAGTTCTCAGCACTAGCCCATGACCAGGTTCATGAACAGCTGAATGCAATGGTGAAAGGACATGGTGGTGCTATAGGTATCACAGAGAATGAAGCTGCATTGACACGATGGATGGTGACGGGCCAAGAAACAACTAGGCTTTTGATTGTGTACTATGAAAAACACTACATGAAAAAAGACACAGATCGCCACCATGAAGAGATACCAAGTGTACAGAAGGCGTTCATATCACAAGTCAAGAACGTCACTGATGTGATGGAGGAACTAGGAAACCCCTTTGCAGATACTGGCACAGATTTGTATACGCTTGACACCAAACGGATAATGCCTGATATCCTTGTAAATGAAATAAAGTCGGCAGAAAATATTCGCAAAACACAATACCAGAAGTTCGTTGCAGAGCGTATTAATGCTGATTGCACATCATTCAATGACACAATTCACAAAACCAAACTGCCTCTGTTTAATGCTAGTTTGGGAAAGAAGCCTACCAAGTCCGCCACCAAAATCTCCGACTTGTGTGATGATGCTAATCTCTTCTCACGAATGTACATATTATGCCAAGCTCGAGACTGTGATATCTTCATGCATGCAAATCATGCCTGGCCTCCATCACTAGCATCAAATCGCATCATGTACCAATAGAAGAAGTCTGATTTGATGGAATGTTTGGAATCGTTGGCACCAAAATCAGAATCTACACCACATGTTCATGTTAAAATTGTTGATGACGCTGCCCTTGTTCAGACACTTGATCCAAAGAAGTCAAAGAAAATTGTGAAAACATTCCAGAACTATTCACAGTTGGTGTTCTTGCCCTCTTTAGAACGCATGCTACAGGATGTTGCCCATTTAGATGTTGTTTGGAATATCTATAAGGAAGACAGCCTAAAGTCACAAACACGACAGAATTGTGGAACTGGTAACCAAATTCGAGACTTGTCCTGCACTCATGAAGAAGCGGACACCCGGCTCCTGTTTCATGCCTCCCATGCATTCCATCAAGGATTAACCAAAGTGATGATACATGCCACTGGTACGGATGTGATGGTTCTCGCAGTTGCTGTGTCAAGCGTTGTAAAAGATTGTGAAATGTGGTTCTAAACTGAGATACATCCCCTGTGACCTAATTTCAACTGAACTAGGCAATGATACATCATGGGGTCTTCTGTTTATGCACGCGATATCAGGATGTGATACTGCTTCTGCATTCTTCGGAATTGGAAAGAAAACAGCTTGGGCAGTATGCCTCAGCTCACAGCTACATTTGTGCTCCAACTCAAACAATGGTACGTCCTAAAGACATTTTGTCACCTAATTGATTCGGATTATGACATTTTAAAAAAAATAAACATATGAAGGAAAACTGTATAAGTCTTGAATTGCGTTTTATTACATTCCTTGACCTCAAAATATAGGTATAAACATCAAGATAATTGAAATCGGGACACTGAGAGGAATTTCATGGACGAAATCATGTTTTGTGGCGGCCATTTTTAATTTCCAGATTTTTGGCGGGAACGGCTGGAGTGAGGTCATGGTTCCCGCAATTTTTGAAATCAGCATACCCAAAACCCCCTAGGACAAATTATCACGCATCTTTCCGGAAGTGCACGCCCATTTCACATATCCGCCATACTATGAATATTGTGATTCATTAAAATGCACATCAAACCATTAAACGAAGTTACAGTCCCGCCTTTCGGAATTCAACACGGTTTATATACATGTAGAGTTTTCAATCAGATTGGAAACCTTTGTCAGCAATAAATTTACAGACAATACAATGAGGAACTTATCATAAAAATCAATCATAATACAAATAACAAGAATACCGCCATGGTAAATATAGTACGCCCGTCATTATCCCAGCATGGCTTTGTATGTAAAGTTTAATAAGCTTCCTCATATGATAAATATGATATAGTTATTCTTATACTGAACATACATATCTAAGTTGCGAGTACATATTCATCTCCGACTGTTGTATTTATTTATTTATGTGAATAACCTAGTCATATACCACAAAGATTTTTTTCTTTTCTTTACTCGCATACAAGTCCGCTGATATGACGATGCTTTTTTTCCCTACAGCTGTCATAAAATGGATAAATGAAACCTCTTTTCTTTGTAGAGATCATTTAACGCTGTACTAGAATTAACATGTTTATATTTTTTATCCAGTATTTAAATAAAGGTTAGATGAATATAAGACCGAATGCTATGTACTGTTCAATATACATTGTAATAATGAATCAAAGGATTTTGTCATTCATCGGGTACAAATATATATATATTTCAATATTTTCTTCTGCTATTGTTCAAATGCCAATTTTTTCGGTGACATAATCAATTTAGTTTACAAACAGTACATTCGTTTTCATTTTAGTACTGTTTTGAAGGTTACCAATGTATTATATTAGGCATGATAACATTGAAGCTCTGAAGATATCCTTGCTTAAAAAAACAAAACCCCAAAAATAAAAAAAAAATAAAATAACAAATAAATAAGAAAGTAAAAACAAAACAAATACTGATAGCTTAAAACAAGCATGGAAAATACGAGCTTAAATGTGGGTCATCTGTATGAAAATCGATAAACGTGTATTTAGAAAATTTAATATGCTATACTTTCTTTCTTATCGTACAAAAATATCGGTAATAAATAAAATGCATCGTATTAATAAAATATACCTAACATATAAATAATGTGAATTCTAACCTTAACAAAATGTCATTTCCAATAAAATAGAAAGTATCACCTGTGTAACGTAATTAAAAGAAAAATTATAGTACTGAATGAAAAGAAAGGGGGAAAAACTAAAAAAAAATTAGTACATAAGGACAAATCAAAAGTCAAGCGCATATCAATGCACAACGACGGCTGCAATTTGTAGTAGCGGGGGAATGAATGGCGATCGCTACCTCCGACCTAACGTACATTTTAATATCGTCACAATTTAAGTTTTAAAAAAAGTTTCCATGGTTCTCCAGGATGTTTTAACCCGGAAGTAAAATGTTGATCTCCCCGTCTAACATATTCACCAATCAAAAGCTCCCACAGATCATGTGTCACTTCCCAGCCAATGCAGTGCTCCGTCTTGACCGCCTTTAGAAGAGACAGGTATCATGGCGGAAAGATAGCGAGCAGCAGACAGCAATATAAGGCCGACATTGAATAATTGTAGTTTGCTTTCTAACTTATGCGCAGTGAAATAAGATTGTAGCAGAATCAAAGAAGAGGCACAATACAGTTAACTGTCTGGGTATTCAACAGACTCAGGTATTCCCAATAATTTATTTCTGACTGAAATCTGCGTAGTCAACAGTGTTTTAAGACATAACAACACGGACGGTTCTTTGGGCGTTTACCCGTTTTCTGGTTTCGGGATTTACAGTTTAGTTGCTTTTTTAGCAAAATTGTTTCATGGTCTTCTCAATTACGTTGAACCAAAACGTATCCTATTTAATTTGATTTTAGAGTTGGCAGTGAAATCAGACGTAATGTCGGGCATGCATTCATTATAAATTCGAAAGTGACACAATATACAGAGGTGTGAAAATACTTTTGAGATTTCGGAAGTCTATCAGTAATGCATAAAGGTAAATTGTTAGAATCCCTGTACAATGTGATCATGCACGCTGTTATGTCCACATTTCAGTTTGTGCAAAATCCCGCATACTGGTAGGCCTGATTAGAGAAATCAATTGGTTACTCAAAGAATTTTTTGTTGGGTGTTTTTATTTAAAATCTGTATTAGAAATGATCAGATCCATTAATTTTGCAGAGTTGATGCTTTGTTGATGGCATATGCCATAATTTGGCATATATGTAGCAAGTTATATTACCTTGTACTGAATAATTTGTATAGCATGTATGTGTCATTGTTCCCCATTATCCCAGAATGAGAGTACTACCCCTGCCCCCACCCTGAAATTGGCGAAATTCAAGATTTGTACCCATGTTTTTTTTAATTATGACATTGTTAGGGATGAACTGTATGCCTAGTTTAAAATTACAAGGTTGGACTCTGATATGTCTATCAATTTCAGTTTCAGAGAGATGTGTTTATTTTGAATAATCTGATATGGAATAAAAGCAAGCTATTCGAACAATATTGGAACTGTACACAAGATTTAAAGTTGACTTAATCTAGAATCTAGATTGCATAGATGTCAGAAAATAGAGCACAAAATTCTTTCATTCATCATGTTTATAAGTGAAACATCAGATAATAGATAAGCTATAGAAGCATACATGCAATTTAACCACCCACTTGACCTAACCTGTGTGTCATACAACTATATTTATTTCATAATTGTAAAATTTTGATATTTGATATTCTAATGCAGGATGACAACCCCAGACAAGTTAAAAACTTTATTTGAAGATCTAGGCAAGCCCACTTTGCGGGGAGTGAGAAAATGTCCGAAATGTGGGACATACAATGGCACTAGAGGCATCAGCTGTAAGAACAAGACTTGTGATGTTGTATTTAAAGAAAAGGAGAAAAAAAGAGGCCACAGTGCAGATGCTGTAAAGATTATCACTGGATCTACTGTTCAAGTTTTTTCAGTAAGGCTGCGGGATCGTGGTCCAGACTACAGAGGCTTTGTACAATTGCCATTGGTACAAGACCTTGATGGCAATCCAGCACAAGTGGTTGATCCAGCAATTTTGTCTCAGAATGCTAGATGCTTTGTTGAAAGTTGCTCACACAGTACTCCATTGGGTTCTCAAGAAGATGCATGCCCTCATATAAAAGCTGCAATCGACTGCAACCAGGAAGCTCACCCACTGACACTAAAAAATTCTGTACTTAATTCTCTTCAAGTGTCAAATGATACCAAACAAGCCATTTGGCTTCTGGCTACAGAGACAACTGGTCCTCTTGTTCAGAGAGTGACAAAGAACATTATGGTTGTGAAGTGTAAAGCTACTACAAAACAGCCACTTGGATTCTTACACTTTTCATTATTTGAAACTTCAAGAAATCGTTCACAGCCAGAGCACAAATTCCAATGTAGCTGTAAAGCCTTTAGAGTAAGTAGTGGCTGAAACTGATTTGGAATTTTGCAGTTTCTGACTTAATGGTTACAGTAACATTTTCTTTTGGTATTATACTAAGACTTGTTCTGTTTGAGGGGTTCAATTCTCGGTTACTTTTAAGGAGGAATAAAACAAGGAAAAATGAAATATCTGAAAAAAAAATTAACAGAAGAAATTAGAGGCCATTTCATGAGTTGTGATAATAAATCAGGTATAATTCATATTCATTTATTCTTTAAATCAAATTAGGTTGGTGCAGTTAATCGATTACATCATTGGCTGACAGTGTATTCATAGAACATGAATGCATATTCTGTGGCAGTAATATATTTTTTGTATCTTTAACTTAAAATATCTCCTGATCATTTACCTAGAATTAATTTTATTGACAATCAGCATCTTTATCGTGAAGAATATGAATTTTGTTTCTGCTAAAGCACAAAATATCATAGCACTGATGGTTGATGATGAAAAAATTACGATCAAATATGGTATCAGATGAGGTTAAATGGTTAGATAATCAATTATTTATCAATTATAACCTGTTATTGTCCCATCATTATTTATTACTAATGGGAAAAAAATGAACAAAAAAATCTTTTTTTTTTTCAACTATCAGGTAAAGCACCAAGAATTTTAGTCATCCTAAAAGACCATCAAGGCAATTTCAGTTATAAAATAAATAACTCCCATCTCTCATTTAGTTTAAATTTCTTACTCTTTTCTCCCTACTTCTTAGGCAAATAATAAGCAATTTAGAGACCATGATATTGGTGTATTGATATTTTAACAATTTTGTTACAATTGAACGTTTGTGAGTGATATTACATGAGCATAAAATGTGCACATGTACACTGAAGATCTAATGTATTTATGACTAGATATTATCATTATTACAAAATTTTTAAATGACAATGCAAAATGATGTTATAACAATGAGAACTTTCAATAAATGAAAATCAATTTAACAATAAATCTTTAATTCAAATGAAATGAATTCATTGAATATATGTGATGTCCATTGTGTTAAACTTAGAATGCCAAAGCAGGAGGAAAAGACGACATGATGCGACGATGTGTCCATTTGTATGCTTGTGTTTGCGCATTTGCTAGTGATGAGAAGCTTGCTGAAGAATTTGAATATTACATCAACATGGATTCTACTGGAGTTGATGCCTGTAAGTAGTGCTGTTTATGATACTTGTACTAAGAACTTCCAAACTGTCATGTACACAAGCTATCACATGTCTTCTGGTAATTTGGCATTGGATGTTCAATGGACAAGAGTTGAATGTAAACCAAAGTGAGTTTTTCATCTAGGTCTTCTCAATTCTTAACTGCTGTTGAAGTACTTATACAAAGCAAGATATTTTTAGAATTTTGTCTTTTCATGATTTCAAATAAAAGTAGTTGACAGTCCTTCCGTATGAACTGTTATACTGTTAGTACATTAAGGGAATTCTTCACAGTGGCAGAGTCAGCCCCATCCCCAGAGCGTCAGATTGTGACAATTTATCAGGCCCAGGACACTGGACTGGACACTGGAGACCCGACTACACTAGAGGTAGTAGTAGCAGAAGAGGATCTTCTGCCACCAGTGATGAAAAAACAGAAAAAAGATGATACATTAGGTAAAGTGATCTCAATTGACAAGGGTTGTTTCATGTAGACTATTGCATGTGCAGATACTTTCATATAGTTTAGCAATATTGTCATGATCCTGAATACCCAATATAAAATTAGAGTTATACATTTGACCCTCGACAATCCAGATACCTCTGTTCCACACTAAATTTTTTTCTAGATTGCTGACTTTGGCATATGACTGGTCATATGTAGTTATTTCCCTTTGTGAATAACAAGAGGCATTTGATAGATGATCAGATTATTAATGTCAGTAGTTCTTTATACTGTTTAGTAATGATGAATCTACTTTTAGAAATGACCTCATATTCAATCTCTATGTGAATTTGATCGAAGTCTTTTTAAAGAAAAAGAAAGTGATTGAAACATCTAATGACCTTTGTCAGCAGAGCATTTACTATGTTGGAAATCAAAAGCTTTTTGAATGATAAATGAGCCTCAAATTTATGTGCTGCAAAATATGTTGTTTTCTGGTTACTCCAACTTGTGTTCAAGTCTTATCCTTCCAATGAGTGACATGTTTCCTTTGTTTATATTACAGTACATGTTCAGTTTTTAGAAATTGAGTAGAGCATCCTCAATATAGGAAAATAGGCATTTGTGATAACACTGCTTGTTAAATACAAATTTTAATATATCTTTATGCCACATTTCTGTGCAAGTGTGAGAATGGGTTGATATTATATTTTGTTTTCAAACTTACACACAATTCAACTGCAACCGGATAATTGTGTTTTATGTGTTTGTTAATGAAGAGTCATAATTATCATTGATTTTATCATTGAACCACTTGCTTTTAATTTTACTCCAAATTCAAGTGATAGATGTTTCACACAGCTACGGAAGCTGGTTCAGCTCTCCAATCAAGTAACAGTGTGTGCAGTATGTGTTAGTCAGGGTTACGGTATATTATGGAGCTCAGTGCTTTTTTATCATTTGAAATCAGAATCAGTTAGATACTGCTACTTAGGAAGTAGGGTTTGAAATACATGATTTCATTCAGAGAAACATTTTCTAAGAAGTTGAACTGTTATAAAATGTTTGCTTATTTTGATGTAAAAACTGGATTCATTTGCACTAAAATTATTTCTTAATGTGCTGATAAATGGTTGTTTCAGTCCAGGCAAGTAATGCTTTGTTAACGTTACAAGAGGGAAACACACCCGCACCACCTAGTCCAAAGAAAGCTAGTCCTAATAAAACAGCCCAACTACAGAACAAACCAGCAACTCCTAATGCCAAAAAGCCAGGTACAGGTGAGCACTTTGATATGTCATATACAATTGTACTAAAATTAATCTTGATATTTTCTTATCTGTGTTAAGTTAAGGAAAACTTCAATACTTTAGTTGATGTAGGTTACTGGAATGATAAAACACATTTTACCAGGATGCCTATTGACTTTGTGCAATACAATCTGATCAACCTATGGTGGTGGGTATATAGCTGATAGTATATGTATTGAATTTAAACACCACTTATTTATAATACATGTATTAAAATATCAAGGATATTACATATTTGCTCATTACATTAATTTTGTGATATAGGATTGATTAACACTATCTCAACCATTGTACATGTGCCTTGTGCTGTATTGTTAGGTTCAACAAATAGGTTTATGGTTTAAGGCTGAATTATGATATCCCAGAAAAAAAGCTCACCTGAAAGGATAAACTGATACCTTTTTTGTTAAATAAACGTCAAATACCACTACTATTATTGAAAATTGATATGACCATTGTTCTACCATTTGGCATAATGTTAAACTGACTTATCCTCATTGTGCTTATATTTTACAAAGTTTACAGTATATAAATGTGTATGGGTGTTTAGATTGATTTGGATTAGAACAAGTTTTACTATTAAGTGTGTTACTTTTTAATTTCCACCTAAAGTGGATTAACTTATAAAGAGTTTTGATGTCTTTCATGCGAATTTGCTTATTTTGAATGCGATACAAGGCACCAAAGTTTCTTTTCTTTTTTTTTGCAGCAACACTGTCTGCTATTGAAGAGTCTGAGGTAATGGTGTCATTTTACCAGTGGCTTGGAAGTGTCACTGAGCGAGTCAACCAGACTATGCATTATCAGTTTGATGGTATGTCAGTATGCTATTTCTTCAGATTTTGTTTGATTTCTCAATTTCCTTTGTCATTACTCTTAGTAATTGTAAAGTATAGCCACAGTGATAAAAATGTTCATTTCATAACAGAGAGACACAATTTATATCAAAACTATGAAAGGTGTTATATCGCAATATATATACAATATCTGTGCATCTTGATATATTACAGTACTGTATGGTTAAATCCCTTATGTAAAGAAATAACCTAAGGATTAGGTCTAGTTCAGATATCACACATAAGAACACTTATCTGATTAAAATTTTGCTGTCAGTTCTTGATCTGTTGATGTATGTAATTTTTCTTATATTACAGGTAATCCAGATCCACTGGTGTTCCATGCTCCACAGGTTTTCTTTGATTGTCTACAACAAAGAATTTCTGTTGGTAATAGAAAGAAACGACTTCCGAACTTTACAACAGGATTTGTACGCAAGGATGCACTTCCGCTAGGAACTTTCACCAAGTACACATGGCACATCACTAACATTGTCCATGTCAAGCAGATCTTTGACACACAAGCGGTAATTATCTTCATTATTATGCTTTTGCAAAAATTGTTTTCAAGTTTAATTATGTTGATTATTTCTTAAGTTTGTCTAGATTAACTTCATTAGATTAACAAAATTACATTAGATTTATGAAAGTATATAAACACTTCACTGTTTTCCTAAGGCTGACTTAGCATGATGGTACTGTAACGCTTGGATTTTGCTTTGTTACGTTTGGCCTAATTACTGTTAAGCATACATGAGGTCAGAAAAAAATGTATGTATTCAACAGAGAATTTCAGCGTGGAATTATTGTCAGTCAACATTCTGGCTAGGCCAGCCATTCCAAAGGAGACGCTATGAATTGTGACACTACCATAATGCGGGCCTTATCACATAGTGGTGGATACCCTATTGTGACTATAGGCTCACGTATGTGACATAGCAAATTCTTGTTTGTACTGCAGAAGATCTCAAATTTTGGGGTTTTTATGGGTCCTAAATATTGAAGTATAGAAAGTTGTCTCTTTCATTACTTTGAAATCATTCATAGTAGAGCAGTGAAATTTTACATAATATGAATTACTGTAAAGTGACAAGTTGCATATTTAATTTGTATTTTCCTTTAAAGGCAAAGGTGAAAAACTTTAGTTTCTCATGATAGCCAATATGATTAACTAGAGAAGGTTGTGTCTGCTCTGTAACTTTGCAATCAGTCAAGTCCTGCCATAACAGTGGGGCCTTTAGAGATGGCTTCTTTCTCCATACCATTTAGTTATACACGCACAGGAGGTGTGGAGCCTTTGGTAAGGCCTAATACATCCTGGTGTCGTGCATGGGTGCTTAAGGGAAGTTGATAATCAGATCATACTGTTAATTTCATTATCACGGCCAATAAATGATTAGCTTGTGGTTACAATTGAGGCACATTACTTCAAAACCAAAAACTGTTTATGACTGCCAGTTTCATAGAAACATGGAGATGGAGTCTATTTAACAGAAACATGGTGACTGTAAGCAGTTGTACTCATCATGACTTCCATATTCGGGGGGAAAAGTAATTAATAAAGTCGGAAACAATCATGAAAATCAGGATTTCACCATGACTGCCAGTTTCATAGAAACATGGAGATGGAATCTATTTAACAGAAACATGGTGACTGTAAGCAGTTGTACTCATCATGACTTCCATATTCGGGGGGAAAAGTAATTAATAAAGTCGGAAACAATCATGAAAATCAGGATTTCACCAATGGTCTTTTATACAATTAAAAACTCAAAAATGCAGTGATCACAATTTCATGTTTTTGAAAAGAAAAATGAAAATACTTTCTTTCAATTTATTAAGATCTTTGAGGAATCATTGCAGTTACTCGGGTTTGTGAATAACCAACTTAATTTGCATTTTTACGATAGAGCAGTTGATATGACTTATATTTAATAACAGGAATAAGTTTGCATTTTTACGATAGAGCAGTTGATATGACTTATATTTAATAACAGGAATAAGTGAAAACATACCTACACATTTGCATTACGTGTGCGGTGTAATGTGATCATGGAAAAATATCAGTAATTGGAGATACCTCAAAAAAAGGTGTAATTTGCCACTGTTTTTTCTCGTCAGTGACCAGGTTATTTACTGACATTGATTTGGTACAAACTACATTGTCATAGACATCATATGAATTATTGTGTCCTAGACCTGCAGCTGAACTTTCTTCTTAATATTGTCATTTACTCTTTATACTAATATTTTTCCCCAGATGCCCCTGGACATTACTAGAAACTTTGTAGAGAATCGAGATGGGACCTATGATTTATATGAAGTTCCCAAAGTAGAAGTTGAAAACATTGATGAGGCTTTTAAAGGGAAGAGTCCTATGCCTATCAGGCCATTTGAGCTCAAGACCTACCTCAAAGTTGGTAAGTAAACTTGAGTGATAAATTCCATAAATCTTTTGCTATCATTGTTGGGGCTAGATTGAAATATTAAGGAACTCCAGAAATCCACTTTTATATTTACTTAAAATCATGTCATTGATCAAATATAACTTGAGAATTGTAAATTCAAGCAAAAAATTATTTTTTGAAGGAAATGAATGAAATATTAGTATTTAAACTCCCTGAATTTTCAAATCATGTAAAAGTTGTGGTATTGTTATTGCTGTTGAAATGTGTTTACAACAAGGATAATTGTTTTCATACCACTGTTTTATTGCATACAGGAAATTCTACATCAGACCAAAAGGAACCAACTCCATTTATAATAGAATGGATACCAGACATCCTTCCAAAGACCAGAATAGGAGAATTGAGGATCAAGTTTGAATATGGACATCAAAGAAATGGACAGATTGAACATAGATTAGTTGCCACTCCTTCAGAAATTCCTGTTCAGACCATTCATGTACAGGAGTTATGATGATAATTGTATGAATGAGACCTGTATGTTAATTCAGGTTTGCCAGAGGGTTGTGTGCTAGTTTCGTCAAGTTAGAGTGTGTATGCATGTGTTAACTATCTAGTGACAAGTCATTCAGTAAGATTTGTGAAGATACAAGTGTGACATAGAGAGAAATGATACAGGCAATTACTCCTGGTTTTGATGAATGTCATTTAGGTGTTTGTATATATCTTAAAGATTGAAAAATAATGTGAAACAACATTTAAATTTAGTCTCAATGTTGTAAACATGTTACTGACTAGTAGTACCATCAAAATTGCTAAATTGTCAGATGGGAAAACCACTTATCTGTTTTTCTGAAATATCTGTATTAGGCGTTTGCAAGTTGTATCCTGAGATAACATAGGTTGATAATTAAATATGAAAATGTTTAGTAATTGCTCTGATATTTGTTCGGGAGACAGACTTGGAAATGCATTTAAAAGAAACTTGATTGACATGCTGTCAAGGTGGCTATACTTGGCACTAAGAAGCTTTCACCAAATCAAAGGCTTCATTTACACTATTATTTTCAAAGTTGTCTACATGTTTTATTGTACTGACGAAAAGTTTATACTGGTCTGTTCTTGGATTAAGAAAAGATCAATTTTAGTATGGAAATTTGAAATGTCAGATTCTAAAATTTTCCAAAAGCTAAGGAATACATTGATATTAGACTAATGAAAGAAAATGTTTGCTTCCCTCGCCATAAAATTTAATGAACACAGACACAAGCTACTACTTGAATTGTACTTCTCAGGGTACAGTAGATATAGACCTGCGCTGTTAATTATCATGAAAGACAGCAAAGTTTTCCTATATGAGTAAATGGGTTTGTGTTCACTTGCACACCTTTCAAACAATTAGTATTCCCCAGGTTTTACCAACAGATCTCGCCACAAATACACTGTAATAAATATAAAACTCTCCACTTAAATACTTAACATTATTTAAGAGAATATTCATTTATTGTAATTGTACTTTGCCTGTGTTTTCTTTTGACAACAAAATTTCTGCAATACCTGAATATGAGTCATTCACTTCATTTTTAAACAAAAGGGAACTAATTGTTTTTCTTGTTCAATGATACGTTAAAAGATTCACCAACATCTTCATCTAATGACGTATGTTGAAATTTAATTGGATTTATTAAAAATAATCTGGAGTTAAATTTAATACTGTTGTCTATGTTGTGAAGTTTTTGCTTTCTGTATATGTAAGTAAGTACAGCATTATGTATTGTTGTCCCGAGTCTTAGTAAAATAACAAACTCTTGTAAATATTCCTTGCTTTGCATACTGTTGATAGTGAAAGCTAGATATAAATGTAAATGGTGGTATGGAAGTAATCTCCAGTGTTGAAAATCTCAGACAATATCCTACTGGCTTTACACTATATGATTCAGTAGCTTTCATCTACTCTTATTCTTGATGTTTACTGTGATGACTAATACTGGCATAGACATCAACACAAGCCAGTTGAATCCAATACTGTATTGCTGACCAGCTCTACCAGGTTAAATAATTTATGGTGACAGTGACCAACCCATTTCCTAGCTGAAGAAAGTGTTGGTTGGTTTTTTTTTTAATTAAAGAATTAAATTTGAAAGTGAACAGTTGAATGAAATATTGTCAAGTCTAATTCGAATCCATGCTTCAGCTAGTTTTCTTTCAAAAACAAAAATCAGGGCAGGTTTTGTCCATCTTGGGTTATAGTTCCCAAATTGGATCAGTACTCAAATTGAAGCATTTTTCTCAAAGGAAATTCTATTTCTGTATTTACATCACAACTTAAGCTTTCCAATTACATGACTTAAGAACACTTTTGGTCCATAGTTGATCATTTTATGACGTCAATGTTGTTGAAACTGGCAAATGTTATTTGTTTTCACTGTTAAGAAATGACATGCTAGGACTGCTTTTGTTCTAGGAAAATTGGAACAAATCTGTGCAAACAAAATATTAAAACTTGACACAGATTCTAAAGATAACCATCAAATACTTATATTCATAATAAAATTGTTAATTTTGAAATCAAAATACTCAATTTTTTGAGCTAGGATTTGGGATACTGATGTTTCGCAAAAATGAAAAAAAAACAAATTGATAACGTCACAGCATTCTTTGATATTCTACATTTTGTGGTACAGCCTAAAATGTATCTCATTCATCTTCTGAATTTTCAATAAACGAATGAAATGATGGCTTGGTTATCCAATTTAGATACCACCACCTTAGCAAAAATTTAAGGAAGTGAAGAGTGTTTGGTTCTTTGGCATTTACTGCTGACCTCCATGCTGTTACGAGAATTAGATATGCATGATCCGTAATATTTTAATGTAAAGCAAGGAATATAGCACCAACATGTTGATGTGTCACTTCATTTATCCTCAAAATGTTTGATGCATGTAAACTAAAGAGTTTTATATGTAAATACAGGAATAGTAACTTATTGTACTAAATGACATGATTGTCAATACTCTCCAATCAAGACAACCTATAGAGAATTCAGGCACAGGTGATTGTGCCATGTTAAAGTTTGGATTTACTTTGAGCTGTTATTAAAATTTGTTAATTGTGATCTTGTCTGTTGTTGTTCTTCAACCCTCAAATTGTGTAGAAGTAATGGTTTTTGTCCAGACCACAACTGTTTTACTTTTGAAGATGAAACTTGAAAAATGTCAATAAAATCTGAATTCAAAGTCAAATTTGATGAAATAAGGGCAACACCTGGAAGAAGAAATAAGGAGGAAAAAAGATTACAACAAGATGCCTTAAGAAGCACATGGAGGATAAAACCAGGTGGTCTGAAAGAGCAAGCATCTTCTGCTTCATCAACGACACCTGCCTTGTACATCTAGGTCAATACAAGTATGTTTTACATTACCAAATGAAAACAAGTAGAGATGTATATATGTATGTCTCTGAAACAGATTAACAATGGAACAGTTTGGTATACTAACAAGCAACATAAATATCCAACATCATATCGCACAAGGAAATAGAATAGTTGGCAATGAGATTATTAAGATGACTCTTTAATGAGTCATGACCAGTTCTGAAAGGAAAGTGTTCATAAAACATAAAATAACGTTAATCAAGCTTTAAGGTCTAAAAAAATTATCAGGTTAAACAATTATGATAAAAGTTGTCAACAGAACAGACATAAAATGCAGAGGCTTAAACTTCATATAACAGTGGTGATCTTAAAGGATATTACTTTATATTGAGAATTATGCTACAAAATTTTACATCTGATATTTTTTCACTTGGCCTCATGTGATAATATGAATTCTTCATTATGGAAATGCTTCATAAATGTAAGTGAAATTATATATATTGTAATGTTTTCCTTATCTATAAACTCAAGTCATTTATATTGCTGAGAATTTGTGTTTTGCTTTTTTCAAAAAGGCATAACTCGCTGATCATATTTGATTTACCACGACTAACAATTTATAAAATTGTTTATCAAATAATCTACTAATAATAAGGGTGTTTCAGCTACTCATCAGAAAATCGATACATGGCGGTAACTGTTAACGCTCTCTGTCGACATCTTGGTAACCTTTGTGGCATTTCGTACATTGCTGACTATATTCGATCACTTCCGGTTGAGAAAAAAACACGTCGAAAGTACCAGCGAGAATGGCTGATGTAACGAATCTGTTCAAGGCGACGATTAAAACAGTAAAATCAAGGAACAAGGTTCTGGGCGATTTTGCAAATGGAGGAAAGAAAAACAATTCGTCTAATTCCATCTTCCCTGCGTCGAAACAGAAAGGAGATTTCGAACAAAAAGCGAAGGAAATGGTAAATGTGTTGCTCTGTTACCGTTACCGAGCCCAATAAAGAATAAATGACACTGCGAGTGCACTAGCAGTTTGATTGTTATATTCGGAAATATCACCCTTTGTTTGAGTGCAAACTTATTTTGTTTTATTCTATGATTTACTCACACTGCACATTTACATTCTATACCATTGATCGGAACAAATGTCCAAATTATAGAAATGGTAGGCCTGTCGATAGGTTAGAATTACTTTTACCATCCCAATTAATGAGATTCAATGCTCAGCTGCAGTGGCACATATATCTTGATAAAAAATAGCAGGGATTGCATATATATCTAACCATATACCAAATACCATTTCCTGCTTTCTAGTACACACATTCCTTCTATTAACATGAGACAAATATTCACCTTGAACATTTGGAGGATATTAAACGGCGAGATACACAACAGTCATCGCTTTAACACCAGTTGTTAAATCGGCCGTCTAACGACCTCTTACATGTATGTTTAAGAGTACATAACCACTGTACTGTGTATGTAATCATCAGTGTGTTTATTTGTGGAAATGTTCTTCAGGTTGGAAATTAATATGTACAAATAAAAGTTTTTACAACACAACCGGTACAAGATTTAAGTATTATGTTTAAATGACTACACAGTCACCTTCATCAGACATATGACAATTCTGAAGCATACTTGAAATACTGTAAGAGAGGGTAAGGAATCAATTTTTGGCAGTATGATAATCCTAGGTACATCAAAGTTGAAAAGAGAGTGACGAGATGGTAAACACTGTAGTCAATTTGGCTATGCTTTGTTTAACACTTGGTCATAGTTGCCGCCCCCAACCCCTGCCTCCCATTCTTCTGTTTTAAGAACTTTTGTTTTAATGGTAACTATGTTTGTTTATACATATTTTGGTATTGAAACAATTTTAAATACCAAAAAAATGCAATGAAATTTGTTGTCATTGTTTGTTTGGTTGGTTTAATGCAATTTAAATTTCTGTTGAGTAGACTGATGTGTTTTTTTTCCTTATTAGGTGTCCAATATAACTAGACTGAGAGATTTTCTGCTCGAACACAGGAAAGAGTATGTAAATGCAGGCAGGTGAGTTATACTTAAATCACATATTGACATATAGAGTAAAGCATATCAATAAATATCATTCACCCATGGGTAAGATTGGGTCTTTGAACCAGAGGGAGATTATTTAGTTTAACTCTTTTGAATTTTCCTTAATATCTTAGAAGTAAAGTTTGAGTTCCCATATAATAAGGGAAAAAGTGAATACATGTATCACACATAGATAAATGTTAATTTAATGGCACAACATTTCACTATAAAATAGATGTTAATCTGCAATAAGCCCAACTTCTTACTTAGTTCTAAGTGAGAAGTTACATGTTGTCCCACAGGAAACATACTGCAGAAAAAGACAACTTTCATGTACCTGTAGAAGAATAAGATCTGATGATCTGATTCTGTTGTACATGTATTGGTATCAACTACTATAGTGTGTCTAAATATTCTGTTGTTTCCAATGTAGTACCACAACAGTACTGTCAACTTGCAGTAGGACACTACTGTTGAATGTCTTCACAAAGTAAATAGTTCAGTCAAAGAACAGTTACAAAGATGATTGATATATGATCAAAGAGATTCTGAAATATATGAGATATAGTTGTGCAAAAATGTGAAAACAGAATCTCGAATGTACCAGGATTTAGTTTAGTGAAATACTGGCATTGAAATATTTAGTATGAGGAAAATAAAGAACTTCGATCTAGGCAGTAACTAGTATATCAAGATAACAAATGAAATGAGTAATGTCAGTTGATAATGTTGGTTCATAGTTGAACTGTATTTCAGCCACGTGACTATGGAAGCATCCAGAATGACAGATGCTGAGAGAGATCAGATCGATTCAGATGCTCAGGATATCATCAAAACATGTAGGGAAACCATCATGAAACTGAAAACTGAATGTAAGTGTATAGGTTTTGATGGTACTTATTCCTCACACACTGTAATACATCTATATGGGCGAAACTCATTTATTCTATCAGAAAATAAGCACAACCACAGCCTCAGAAAGACGACGACGATGACCACGATGACGACGACGACAACAACCATGACCACGACCACGACGACTATTATTATTATTATTATTATTATTATTATTATTGACTGTTAAAATCATTTGTGGGCCATCATCTCTCAAACTGCTTGTTGTCTGTCCTTAAATAAATCTTGTTTTTGCAATTGAATGGCTCTTTTTGAGTTTTTTGAAAGTTCCCCTGGTTACCTGTTGTGTCTAACCAATTTTGAAATTGAAAGAAAAACCAAAATGGCCAACTTGTACCAGTCTTAGATTGAAAGTTAAGATTGCTATCGCTATTTCTTGAAAAGATTTTTTTTACCAGAATCTATTCTTAATAAACTGTTCCTCAAAATATCTTTACAGCTGAAGTTCAGAAGGTCCACCCACAAGTGAAAGATCATCGAGATGGAGTTATTCGACTGATAGAGGAATATCTAAAAGGTGACATATTTGACTGTTGCTCTTGCAGTGTATATACATAGCAGCCAAACCTCAAATTCTGGAATCTTTAACAGACTTTGAATGGGACATGATTTTATCATTCTACATGACATTTATGGAATTGGATTTTTTTAATGCTACATATGATATTCAACATTTATCTCTATAACAAATTCAAGTATAATTTTTAACAGATTTTAATATCAAACAATGTTATTTTAATGTATTGATAAGCATAGAAAGAAGGTGTACTCTTTGTGGATTTATTTAACTGTACATGTGGTTGGAATTTGTTCCAAATTCCTGTGCCCTACCAACTGATTTACTTTCTCCTTCCTTTCTACAAACCACAATTGTTTTTTTCAAGTGTAAAATGGTAACTACATGTAATGTTTTAGAATCTGTCCACCTAAATTTTCCATGTAAAAAAGTACACAGAAACTACAAATGCCACTCTTTACCCCTTCTCCATACACTGTATAACTCCTAAAATGTTTAGAAAGTCATATAGTCATATTTTCAAAGCATGTTTTTTTTCCCTTTAAAACATCCTAAATCATATCAAGGTCAACTCTGTCTGCTATGTAGCCGAAACACAACTAGAAAATACAAATTGATAATCATGAAGAGCGTATAATGTACAGCTAGAGCCTGTTTGTTACAAACCAAATAACTTTAATGGTTGGCTTTAATGTGTTTTAATTTTATCTTTATAGTTGTGTGCAAAATTTATAGTGAACAGAAAGCTGTGCGTGTAAAACGAGTTGTTGATAGGAAACGCATGTAAGTAGATATTTTATGATCTGATTGGTTCTCAGAATTTCTTGATATTTTCTTAAGATTTTACAAACAAGCAACTCTGATTAACTTCACCAATGAGTGGATTTCCATGAATTTTTATTGGTTTCAACCCTGATCTATTACATAAATGGCCTGTTTTGTCCTGTCACATAGCCTTGCATAGATATGCTAAGACACTTGTAATAATGCTGCTGTGACATCCTATCTTTTTGGTGTCACATAATTGTCACGGTAGCGAGAAACACACTGTGAACATCAAAATAAATTTGTTTAATAAGGAAATAAATTAATGAATTCTTACTACATTTTTAAAAAGAAAAACAGGTTATATGATAAATATCTTATACTTGTGCTATTGTGATATGGACTTTATTAAACTCATTAAACAATTTGTTATGTCACTCACCTAAATATTCTTTATGAAAAATATTCTGATTTTGTGTAATAAGTTGCTTATTTCATACTGATAATCATGGTCCTCAATATTTCTTTTTGGAATAACCATGATTTTTCTGTACATGTATAATATCATAAGGTTGATATTATAAATCCCACCATCACACCTTACAGTGATTATTTCATATTTTGTTGGACATATGAATCTGAATGAAGTCAAGAACTCCAGTTGAATATTATTAGAAATTAACCTTATATGCTCTGTGATCAGACTTCTGTAATATACAGAAAACAGGTAATGTTCAATCAGATTCTCCTTTGTTTCAGTTCTAAATTGGAGCCAGAAAGAAAGAAGAGAAAAGAACTTCTTGATGCAAAAGAGGCAAAAGAAAGGAAAACAGAAAATAACATGGACAGTATGTAATTCATCAACTACACAAAGTTTTGGATTGTTTTTCTTATCTAAACTAGAATTTGTAATTGGTGCCTGCCCTTTTCCTTCCTACCTGCTTTGTAAAGTAAATTTCCTTGATTTCAAATATTCATACAAAGAAACATTCAGTTAAACATTTTGAAAACTGATTCCTTGTAATTGCATATTTTGGCTTTATGTTGCAATATTACAATTTCTTTATTACTTGTCTTGCTTTATAATGAAGCCTAGACCGAGACTTTTTGGAAATTTGTTTTAATTGGTATAGTCCTTTGCTGCTACTACCATATTGACAGATATGCAAGCTGGTGTTATTTTTTCCATACCATTGTTTTTATTTTAAAAAAACCAACAATTTTCAATAATCATCATTCACTGAACACATTCCCATACTATTGATTACAGTATCCAAATAAGAAAATAGGTGATGCTGTTTATAGCCATCTCAGATGTTGTTTGAATCTACATTACAGTTGTGGAATCAGAAAAGTCCTCAAGGAGTTCTCTTCCACCTGAGAATCCAATGTTTGATGATGATGATAGTGATATTTCACCAGAGGATGCTCAGATGGTAGGAACCTTGTTCTACAATGTAGAGTTACTTCTCTTTGTACTGCTTGGCTTAACTAGATATATCATGGAGAATTTAGTTTTGACATAGAATGTTAACAAATAGTGAAGATAAGATAGTAGGGATCAGTTTGATCCAAAGACATTTAGAAAAATAAATAGATCGATAAACAATAACAAATAACCTCAACAGAAGTAAACTTGTCAATGAGTTTTGTATAAGTTGTAACAGGCAAATATTGTGAGAAAAAAAAGCATTGGAGATATTATTTTTCTATGAGAAGGGACTGCTTTATACAATTTTGGTGACATCTCAGTTAGACTTTATTGGAGGAAATTTGTTGTAAGGTAATCACATTAAATGTAAATATATTTACTTATCTTGTTATTTGTTACAGTTTGAGAGAGAGAACCAGACACTGTTTGATGAAATGAACAGTCTGGCTCAGGAAGTTAGGTAAGTTTTTTGTCTTTTATATGGTTATCTTTGTATTCTGGTATTGTGTCGTTATACCACCAAAAAAACGACAGCCCATATATATTTTTCCAAAGTTGTTCATTGTTTGAAATTTCTGGATTTCAAGTCAATTCACTTTAAGCCTTGATTACTTTTGATTAAGTATTCTAAGTATGGATATACTAAATTCTGTGGTTAAGAGGTTTGTATAAAATTTAGGAATCTCCTCGGATGTTTTATATTTTTTACTTTGCATTATTTTAACATATTTGTTGTGATGGGACAAAGAAACTTTTCTGATATGTAGATCTGATGTACCATATCTTTGATTGAATTTAGCACTTTTTTCAAGTTCTCTTGAAGGAATATTAATTTATTATGTTATATCTACAGTCATATTGAAGGTCAGGTTGTGGAGATAGCACGTCTTCAGGAGATATTCACAGAAAAAGTCTTAGAACAGGTAAGACTTAAAGTCATTATCTACATATAAAAATATATGATATTTGCCCTATTTTGAATTACAGATATGGTATTGTATGTAAAATGCTATTGGTGATCTCACATATCGGTAAGTGAAAATAAGTGTAGTTGTATCGAACCTCACTTAATGATGAAATTAAAACATATCAATGAATATATTCTGCAACGGTGGCATTTATCCATCTGTACATTGTAAGAGTTATTGCCCTTTTATTTTTGGTTCTTGTCAGGATTCCATTTTCATCAGGTTTAAACTTCATTTTCGAAACTTGGACAGCTTTGTAACCAGGATATTGTTTTCCTGTGCAATATTTTGATCTCATGACCTTTTTGGGAGGGTTTTGTCCCTTTTTCTTTAAAATTGTTCTGTGATTGTGGTCTAAGTTGGTGTGTCAATAAGAAATTCTTCATATGGCTATTTCTTAAAAATACAAGATGGATCTTTCTCAAATTCCAAGTGCAGAAGCCCCTTGCTCAGTATTTATGCCCTTTTTATTTCAGACTGATCAGAAAAAAACAGAATGGCTGATAAGTGGCAATCTTGGATTTTAAAAATCTCTTTTTCTTGAGAAATGTATGGGTCTTTCTCAAATTTTTTTAGGTGCCCCTTGGTCCCTAGTTGTGCCCGTTGAATTGTGAGACAGATATGAAAAACAAAATTGCTGACATCTACATATGTAGTTTAGCATTAATCCTGATCTGAAATCTGCTTACTCATTTTCCAATTGATTTCATTTTGAAACTCAGCAGACTTATATGATGGTGGTAGAATGACAGAATGGAAGGATTTAAATGTTAACAATCAAAAACAAATTAACGAGTTTTGTATTTGCTTCCACAGGAATGTAACAAGACATGTCTTTAAACAGATAAATTACCCAAAGCTCAATGCAGTATTTGTTACATGGCACAAACCTTGATTGGATTAGATTAGGCTTGCCCTTTAAAAAATGAAAATTTTGATATGAGAATTCTATGTTTTGAATTTGTATGGTACTGGAATGAGGTCCATGTTCCTAACTACTTAATTGTAGAAGGGTAGTAGTCCACTCTTACACAGGTATATTGATAATCAAATAACATTAAGATAGACTTTTAATAGTGTCTGTTGGTAAATTAAAGCCACAATATATGCATCATTTAGCAAATTTACATGATTCAGAAAATTTCTGAGAAAACTTCCAGTTAATAATTATGCATTGTAAGATGAAAACGAACACTCTGAGGGAATATAAAAACAAATGAAAATTAATGAAAGTGGGTCCAACTGGAAACACAAACAGAAGGCCGTTACACAAAAACCGCACAGGTGTAGTAGATGTGTTTCCAGGTAAAATGTGATGTGGCATGATTTTCTGACTACTGTTTGGCAAATTGTAAATAGAGGCATGTTTTATTGTAAATGAATATCAACAGCTTTTATATCAGTTTCAACACATGTTATAGTCTAGAGTATTTCTGAGATTATTTGAATTTTTGCTCTATAAATATCAATAGGTTACATTTTATCTTCGGTATTTTGGTGAATGGTGCATATTTTGGGACTTTAAATCTTATATCTACAAGGTATTTAATCAACTATCACTTTTCATTAAATTGATTTTACTTTTGAAAATATATTTCATTCTATCTGAAGGACAAAGATATTGACAGAATAGCGGAGAACGTTGTTGGTGCTACAGAAAATATCAAGGATGGAAATGAAGAAATTAGAGAGGTAAATAAGTTCTTATATATTTGGTGATAATAGGCAAAACTCATCATCAGTCTGAAGTGAGGATCAAAAATACCTATAACTAAGTCAGAGATGGGTTCACCCACAAAGAGGTCAAAGGGCAGGAGCTATAAGGGTTCAGTGAGTGCAAAGCACCTTTTTCAATTCTTAAAAGCATTGTTTGTAATTGTCATGGTTTAAACTTGGTTGTAATTATCAGCTATTTGTGATGATCAGTTAAGTGACTCATTTTTATATTGTTCACTTGTTAAGTGAAAGTAATCCCTGGAGTATTGAGGTTGATTTTCACTGGGAATGAACAAGGAAAGCCTTAATGTTCTGTTAAGCAAACTGTCATGACAAATTTTATGATGAGTTTGGCTTTTTACTTGTTAACTTGATTTAAAAGGATTTTAAGCATAGTATACTCCATATTTTACTTGCATCAAGGGAGCAAATCTATTTTATTGAGGTGTTCCCAAATGACACCAACTTTTAAATACATGTAGCATTTAAGTGCTTATCTTGTCATTTCTGAACAAAACATTATCCACCAATACAGCTTAATGTGTGACCTATTTTTGCATTAATCATTAAATTAAATCATTGAATGAAGACATAATGACGAAATGGAGTCCCATCTAAAACTTAAAAGATCTACGCCACATTAACAGATTGGCATTGCAAGAATTCATCCTTGCTTCACAATTTTTTTAATAGCTGTGACAAAGTAATCTTTAATTCAATATACTGAAGCATCCCCATTTATCTTGACTGCAAATAGTGATCTAATGAAGGAGCTGATATGTTTTTTTAAAAGTTACTATTAATTACGGTGTTGGTTTGTCTCAAACTTGCTTTATTCTCCTTTCAAAGTTGATTTTTTCTTAATGCATTATACATGCTGTTTGTGTGACAAAATATAGCTGACTTCTTTTTCTTTCAACAATCATTAAAGATTGATACTGTAACTGAGTTAGGTTTAAGGAATACTTCATTTCCCAATCTTACCTCTTCAGAGATATTCAAGAATATATGATTTCGCAAACACTGATCTAGAAATGACATTAAATTCTTTAAATCCTTTTTTTTCTATTTACAGGCTATAAAGAATAGTGCTGGATTACGTGTGTGGATTTTATTTTTCTTCCTGGTATTACCACTCTCCTTACTCTTCTTACATTGGTACAATGATTAAGTGTCATCATAAATATTGATTATGAAAATACATTTCTGTGTATCAAAGCTGCTTTGTGAGATGAATGTTACTTGAATTGCTATTTTCTATTACTTGTAATTAAAAAGTGATTGCTATTGATTGTTCGAACAATTAGGATGGGTTAGATAGAAATCTGCATGATTCTAGTAGAACAGCCAGACAGATTGAATTGCTTAAGAATCAAGTGCAACTGTTAAATAATTTATATCTCCTCCTTCTAAACCAAAGATTTATCTTTTGTTTTTTCCTGTCTGAGAAATTCATTTGATTTTAGATTTTTATTTTTTTTTTAAATATAGTTGATTAAAACAAATAAAAAATATTCATGCACAAACAATTTAAGATTAAATGAATGTGCAAGGAAGGTCATCCTAATTTTTTCCTGTTTTAATGTTTAGATTCAAATGATTTAAATGAGAATGTCCCTGCCAACAGGTACTACATGGTTATGTATTATGCTGAATATACATTGTAGTGTAAGATAAAGTGCTTAATTTTGTTCCAACTTGTGATGTTTTGTGGCTTTAGAAATACTGCACAAAGTAAATTCAATCCGTAAGACTTCAGATACAAAATAGAATCTACGAAACATACACTTTAAATAATGTCATAGCTTATACTAGGATCAAACTAATTTTGAACATTTCATATAGGCAATAATACTATTCTGTAAAAATCTAATGTTAGCAGGTTTTATTATATGAAACAGAACTCTTCATTGATGCACAGCTATCATGGATAATCAGTAAAGAAGAATACCTGTTACACAGGGAGCCATTTATATGAATATGCATTATAGATTTTGTAGTAAATGACACACTTTACCTTTTGTAAAATACAGATCAGTTGTCATTGTCTCAATTTAAGGTATCGTCACCATATAGTGGGATATTTCCATGGGGATGATATTTTTGCTTTTTCACAGTACATTAATATAATTGCAAAAATTTAATCCATGAAACAATGAGACACATGTGTATTGGAGATCCTTTTACATACAGATCAGGAAATTTTAATTTGTTAAAATTTAATTAAAGGGTTTCAAAAAACCTTGACCCATTAAAATTACTAGCTGAACAATTGTACATGAGCCAGTCAATGCCCTATCTTAATTACCAGTGTAGACTGTAGGTTTTGATTGTGGTAGGTATGCATGGATGATTTGTTTGTTAGTTGATAAAAACATTTTATATACAGACACCTACACAGAAATTGTTATGGGTGTAATGATCTTAGAATGACAGTCTTTTACTAAAGTGAAATTTCATACCTGATAAAGGTTCAATCTGTATAGCATTGCCAAGTACCTACCGGTATGTTCTTTATTTAGTACCTACATTTATTTTATTTTTTATGTATTTGTCATAATTCATTTTCTAATTTTCCATCAACACAATGTACAAAAGGCAACAGAGATGACTCATACACATTATCTTACCACATATGCCTACATACCCAATGTCAGATATGCATAATTACAAGCGAGCACACATATACACTTGTTTGTATATGGTATCAATGTCCACACTTCCAAATAACTGCCTCCTCCTACACACACTTCCACATGTAATGAATAATATGCATGCATTAGTTTATATATTTATACAAATGGTACTCTCACATATCTGTACACATAATTTCTAATATTTATCTATGTATTTCATACCCATGTACACAAACCTAACCATACACCAGAAAAAGAAAACATTGGACATTCAATCATGTACACATGTTTGTACTTTAATTAATTACATTTGTAATGCTGTGTCTCACACAGCAAGGTACAACATATATCCACCTTCATACTGATGAGTTACATAATAGCAATGGAAAAAACAGACATTCTTCCCTGTATGTATATATGTATATGTAAACACTAATCAAACACATGCAAAAAACACAGTCAATATTTGTTCAATACTTTCAAATCCACTTACATGGTACATTTCATAGATACATCTATATGCATAGCATTTGACATAACAAGACATTCTGTTATATGTACTGCATACAGGTTTAGAAATGATGTACTTAGTAAATCAGTCACATGAGAAAAGACAAACTGAAAAAAAGGGAATTTTTAGGATTTTTTTCATTCTGAGTAGACCAGGGCCAGGTACTATGTAGATTGTAATGATTTTATGTGAGAAAGTAATTGAAAGATATGTAGGGAATGAAAAAGGGGAAAAAATAGAAAAGTGAGAAGAAAGCTAAGAAAGATTGGGGATGAGAGAGAGCACTTATAATATTGATCAAGAACCTTATTATACACAGTTATGTCCCTTTATCAGTATTTTTGTAGGAGGTAGGAGTATGGATTGTTTATATGGTTCTTAGCAGATTTTGAATCCATGTTTATTTATCATTCAAAGGGGTTTACAGCATGCAGCATTTCTATATCAGTTGAAAAACTTTGAAACAGAATTCAATTATCATGTTTGTAAATGTGCAATATTTCATGCTTAAAAATAAAAAAAATAAGAAAATGCAAATGATTTAAAAATTTTTTATCTGTGTGTCAATTTATCAAGCTTATACATATCATCTGTAGGCATATAGGAGTTTTCACTATAATAGTAAATGTGTTGTGGCTGCTGTTTGGTCAGTGGTAAAATAGAGAAATATAAACACAGTGATTCACTTCAGTATTAACTGATAGCTAAATTGAATATCCAAGGTGACTTCAAATAAAGATTCATTAAATAATTTCATAGTCTAGAAATTTTTATCAAAAGTTGAATGGAAATTAAAACATCAGCAATTAAAGTGACAAATTCCAATATTGTCCTTTCTTATGTCCATGTTGATTTTTATGACTATTAAAAAAGATTTGCTTATATTGTGGGCTAATCTGTCTTCCATTTTTGTCTTTTACATGGATTTGATCTGCATACTTTCAATGTGATCCAAAGCAGGCAGTTCAGTAAGTGAGAATACTGAAATTTGAGTGACTGACCAAAGAGAACTAAAGACAATTAAGTTCTACTTAAGGAAGCAATATAAAAGAAATGAGAATACTGACATTTTAACAAAAGTTAAATTTAAGAAATAACAACAAGAAGTCTAAAGGGCATGCATCGCTCCAAGTAGCTTTTAAAATTATGATGGATGATTGATGTTTCACCCTCATCAATTTTTCAGTAGAAAACAATTTTAAAGTTATTTTAAAAATGACCTTGATGGTTGACCTTCAAACATTCAATAATACAAGGAAGCAAACAATCAATTTATTAAGTGGATACAATTTTTTTGTAAAAGTTTCCGTTCAAGGATATTTTCAGAAAATGAGTAATGATAGTGATTTTTCTCTTCTCATTTCTCCTTTCAATTGCTGGAACAATTAAAGCAAGTTTTCAACTTCCAGAAGACATTACATTTGAGAATTCGGGTATCATATGGAGAGGTCCTTTTCATTTACTAACAAGAGGCCCATGAACCCCGTATCGCTCACCCAGTTCGGTTTGGCAACAATTACTCTGTTTCCGCTATTGGATCCAGCCATTCAGGTCAATCCTTTACCAAAGGATGCTTCAAAGCAATATTCGGCAAATTTCTGTCAGTCTTGCAAAGACCAATTAGAATGCTTCATATCAAACTTGGGTCAATTCCCGTCATTCCGACGAAAGGAATTTAAATAAATTGCTGTGTATTGTATCGTAAATCGCGTATCAGGTTTATACAAACTTGGTTTTCTTTCTCCTAATGATGCTTTTAACTAAAATGATCAAAACTTGCGCTATTGCCGTCTATGTCGATTTTTAGAAAACCTCAAGTACTGTTTACGCGTATTCAACCTATCACAAGAAACAGAGACCTTCGTTCAGAAGAGAACTTATGTCAAGCAGGAGACCCTCCGCAAATGATACGAAGAAATATTGCAAATTCATAACGATTGCCATTTTCTCTCTTCAAGTAAACTTTCTCTTAATTGCCACCACAGGTGTCCTAAAATGGAAGTATAACTTTGGTATTCAAAACATATTCCGTAAGGATTTACCATAAAATATCATTAGGATAACGTGCTGTAAGTACAAGAATTGTGTCTAATTCCCTGATAATAGACTTTAGATCTGATTTTTAATCAATAATCATACTTTACTGAATCGCAAGGGTCGCTCGTACAATGACTTTCATTACCAGCTAAGTTGATTAAGAACCAACGGCTTGGGATAAGAGGTAGGCAACCATCATGGTATAACTCATTGTCATTATTTCTGCTAGTTTCAAATCGAGTAATTATCATCGATAGTGTACAGTAAGTGGTATCCTCTTGGTGGTGTGAAATACGCATAGAAGCAACAACTTTTCATCTGCATAGATATTTTTCTTCTTAAAATCCATATGTGAATGTAAAGGGATACTTATTTGTATCTTTACATACAGATGTACATTATACTTACAAAAGAAACTAGCTAATTTGATATCGTATATGCCACGAGACATAATATCTGTGTAACAATTATTACGATAAATGTTAAATCGGGATGTCCTTGTCGTAGCTGTTGGCTACCTTACTGAACAACATTCGCGAGGGCAGTCACAAATGTTAAACAAAGCCGAATCGACTACAGCACTTTGTTGCCATCTTGTAAACACTTTTCCTATAATCTTTTTATCACTTTGTCTCATTGTTTTCGACTTTAGTGTACGTCAGTGCAAGGACGCTTAACACTGGTGATTTGTCTGATGGAGATGACCGTGTCCAAACTACGCAAGTGTGTACTTCATACATTCAAGATATTAGCAATGGAATGCCAAATCACAGACGCTAGATCCACTGTACAATTGTGATGACAATCAAGAAAGTTCAATTGGCACAACAATTTTTTATCCTGTCTGATGTTACACTGGAGATATAGCAGTGTAAAGGTATTTGTTTGTCAGCTTGCGAACTGTGTAGTTGAGTCTGAGTCATAATGTCCACAGGAAATTAGAAAAAAAGGATCTCAACGTACCTGTTCGGGAGCTTAAAAGTCCCTAAAACAGAGGCATATGTGTACAGACGTCAGAAAGAACGCCACGAGATCGTAAAAGCCAATGTCATATGCAGGCGTTTCTGATTTTGATCAAATATTGCAGAAATTATTTAGATAGGCAATTGACTGGGATATATATATATACTTTGTAAAGTAACGTCTGATCCCTTGGGCTCCATACTCCCTCTCACCTTAAGATCAGTCAGCAGTTTTTGGAGTATATATCTCCAACAAGACAGTTACATAGGAAAAGCCCAAATCAATTTTCTACTAAGTCAGGCCTATTACCATAATATGTAGTTTATCAAACATTTTACAGAGTCGACCAATTAATACCCTATTTGTTAATATACAGTTGTATGAATAAAACTTCACACGACAAGAACGCGGGATCTTTGAATGTAATTAAAATAAATTGAAATCAACGACCTGCACCATATCGACTGGAACAGGAAACCTGTCACAATTTTCTTAGACTATGTAGACACTAAACACCAATGCCAAATCAAGAAATAAACTATTTTAGGAAGTAATGAGATCGTTTCGAGACAAAACATTAGGTCCATATTCAGCAAGTCCTGTCTTTTCTCATAGGAATTTCTCATATTACTGACGACACATATCGATAGAAACTGAACAGACCTCTGAGTTAAAAGTAAACATTATAGTAAAGTTTTCATGACTGGAGTGTAGGTTTCAGAGAAGTGTCCATCTGCCCTTTACAGGATTATTGGTGAATACCATCCACCTTAGGACTCTCTTTATATCTTTTTATCTCTGTGAATCTCTATATAATGTTTTTTTTATAGATAAACACCGTTATCACGGTCTCGAGATAAATCATGCAGGCACCGTAACCTTAACCATTTAAACATCTAGTGTTAGCAGTGTCTCCTCAGGTAGGCATACGTGAGGTAAGTGTTTCAAACATCCTATGTCTTAATACAAAAAGTACTGGTCACAAGGTATATAATTCTTACCGATACATTTATATACAAGAGAGAGAGAGAGAGAGAGAGAGAGAGAGAGAGAGAGAGAGAGAGAGAGAGAGAGAGAGAGAGAGAGAGAGAGAGAGAGAGAGAGAGAGAGAGAGAGAGAGAGAGAGAGAGAGAGAGAGAGAGAGAGAGAGAGAGAGAGAGAGAGAGAGAGAGAGAGAGAGAGAGAGAGAGAGAGAGATTCCCTCATATCTCATTGTGAACATTCATTACTGTATCACTGACTCCTCTAGCAATTAAACAATTAACAGATTCGTACCAGCCCTACAAAACACTACTAAACAATGTTTGTCAAGCTGTTCAAATGTTCATCACATCCAATACTATAGTGAAGTTCTTCCTTTCTCAGATATCTTTTTCCATCCACTGCCACTGCCTGGACCTTCACACGTTCTGTACAGGTGATTACTATGTACAGAGGGTCGAACACACAACTTCATCCTGACTCTTAACCATACGAACCGACGCACCCTCCGCACACTCGCACTTCGTTAACACTTAATAAGTATATGCATAGTACAGACCTACTAATTGAATTTAGCAAATCATTTGACCTGTAATCATATTTTATTGTTTTAAATATACACTGTACTTGCACACAAGTAAGAAACTCAAGTGCCCGCAGGCAATGAAATCTGTCAAGCAAGGAACAAGGGAGACAACTCTTATTGATGTTTTGAAAATTTTCCTTAATTAGACGATAGTTTACACATAGAAATCGCGAAATGAACTCCCGCGAAAATTTTCAAGGTAACAGTATACAAATTGAGAAATGAAAAAAATTACCATTGGAAAAATATATTATAGGTTTGTGAACATTCGTAATAGTTGTGGAGTAAAATATAGCTTGTGAAAATAACAAACTGCTGATAGTTTCATTAGGAAACCCACATGCACTGCCGGGAGAGTTGATTAGTCTGACATAACAATATCAACGTTTAGTTCACTTAAATTATGTCGAAGTCTTGTTAACAAAGACTTAATTAAAGGTTACCAGGTAATTAAAACCTTGGCACTTTGGTACTAATTTTGTTTACAATGACATTCTGGAAAGCTATAGAAAAATGGTTTACTTTGAGTATCAGCACCAAGACTGTACCAAGGGCACACATTAAGCGTTAGATACAGTAGAACTAAACAATGAATTAAACTGCATCGTACAGCTGTTCCTCCCTTCCACGACTCGTCAGTGATGCTAAGGGCCTAAAGTTTGAAGTCTAGTAGGCGACTGTGCTAATCCCAAAGTGATGTAATGAAAATCAAAATCTAGATCCAGACCAAGAATTAAATAAATGTTGTAATTTCCATACATGACATAATTCTATAACATCAAGTTCATGTGTATACTCCGAACCGTTTTTTTTCAAGCTACCCTTTACACGTGATTACAACGATACTTATACAAAACTAAACTTAAACAAACACACCACCTCACCAAGGTGAACCCATATGCCATGTATGGAATACCAGTAACTACTCGTGTACGAGACAGCACCGGCATACAATTTACCTCGATGTAGGTTAAGGGTCAACATATAGATCAAATGACCTACTTTTGATACATAACCCACCGATCTTTGTACAACCTATACGGGCATATCTGTCTTTGGTTGATTTAGGACAGTGTGAATGTCGACCCTCCTTCCATTTTTCTGCGCTTTAATGTGTTTTCCGACCACCATAACAGTTATAACAAAGAACAAGATCTCTGGTGTGAAGACATGCACCGCAAGCCCTTTCGGTCATAACTTAACTTCTGTCTACCAAAGTATTATCATATATAATATTTCTGCTC